TACAAAACGCATTCCAAACAAACCAGATTGGCAATCTCACAGCACAGCGCACCTCAGTGGAGGACTGAGCATCATCGCTCTCGCTCACAGATCAATAGAAGATACAGTACGGGCCGCAGAGAGACGGGTACAGTACATTACGCTGACATTTGTTGGTGAAGCTATACCATGATAATTATTCAATTACTTTGTTATTTTACTGCAGTTTAACTAGAGACGCTGTGACATTGTAACATTTGAAAACCACTGGATTGTTAACAGTGAAAACACATTCCATGTGGGTACTGCATGAGGTGCATCAAATGTTGAAAGGGATTGGTGTTAAGGATAATGTATTTCTTTCACCTCTTATCTTTACACCTTTAACGATATATTGAAGATTGCATGTTTCGTCAGATGTGCGTCTGTTCTTTAAATAAATCTTGAAGAGCCATTGCTTTCATCCAGTTACTGTTTTTATTTGTAGCACTACCGCTGTCCAAAGCCGGCAAAACCGGTGAGCCGGTTGAGCAAGGATGCACTCAGCCTTTCGTCGAGAGAAACCGTTGCGTCAGATAAAGACATGGGAAAAATAAAGGTTCTTTAAAAATATTTTGTGTGGCCACACCTTAACTGTCAGAATGGCTACTGAGTCTACAGTATAGTTGGAATTAAGCATCAGATAAAATGTATAACTATAAAGGAGACCCAAAGTTATTAGGGCTACCTCCAGATAACAATTTGTGCATATGCTACTATTATCAGCTCCCATACCAGCCTTATTTTACTATATAGAACAATTAAATGAAATAAATGTATAACTAGAAAACGTTTATTAATCACATTTGAAGAACACATAATAATAAATTACACATTTGACAAAGATAAGTATTTTAAAAATGAAAGTGTTAACATGAAACGTGGTAGTAAAACACCTCAAGCAGTCTACGTGTCTAGCTATAAAATGTTTCCGTTTGTATGTTAAATGGATCTGATTGACTCGAAATCAAATGAAATACAAAAGCGTTATTACAATGACGGTTTCGAAATATTTTCTACACTTAACTTTTCTCGGCACCCAATAGGTACGTCCTTTGGGAAGACAATGTGCGTTTGCCAGTTGCAACTAAATTATTTTAATTTAAAACCACTACAACATAGCTTGTAATGCAAGTAAAAGGTCACTTGTAATGTTTCATTACACATTAGATGTAATGATCATCACACCATTTACTACTTTCCGAAACTGAGCGATCAACACTCGGTGTGGCAGCAGCTGAATCCGCACTGATACTTTTCAACATCTACAGTGAAATTAACTTCTACACTTACATTTACAGCCAATAATATTATGATTTATAACTAACAAACATTAAACTTTAGATTAGCACAGTAACAACAGAAAGATTCACTGGTTGGAATTTGTCTTTTAAATTTGTGAACGTGCCCATTAGAAACAAAAGTTGCCTTGCCCATTGAGGGGCCCTAGGCAGCCGCCTAGTTTGCCTAAGCCAAGGGCCGGCCCTGCTATAAAGAAATAAGCTGTTCACCCAAAACCAATTAAGCCAATTTAACCAATTTTATTGTGGAGGTGGGTAGAGAAGGGGTTTGGCAAATGATTAAAGAGATATCGATTCTGAACATGGTGGAATTGGAACAATCTTATACCTAAGAGGACAACTGCATGGCCCACAGAACAGCAACTTGTGAGCAATCCCATCCTGAGCTTGACTACGCCATCTAGTGTTGTTTGCCGGTCATTAGAACCCAAAGAGTAGTTACATACTGTACCTGTGCACATTTTTTTTTATCCAAGCCTCATAGCACCAGAGCACCTTCCCAAAACTGCACAATCCTCTACAAACTGTGTTGCACTAACTCAGGCACTAATCCACTAACAGAATACAAACTCACAAGAATCAACACCTCACTTTGCAAACTCATGCTTCAAACCAGCCAATTGACCATGTGCCACTACAGTAAGTACCCCCCTGTGAGTAACATACAGTACATAGCTCAAATAGGAGAAATTGTGCTTCCAAGTATAACAAGCAGCTTCTCTCAGGTCATCTATCTCCTTGGTGAGGTAAACCTTTCTCTTTCTTCAAAACTCAGTATTGTCTATAATCTTCAACTGTTCTCTAATCAGTGCTCTGTTTCGTTGATTTTCTCAAGACTGTTTTGTTTCAATCGTAACTCTGTGCATTCCATTCTTTCTTCCCTTAGCATACTATTTCTATCTGTCCTGTCTATTCTGTCCACTTGGTCTCTCACTTTTCTCCAAACCATTCATTTTTAACCTGCCCCTGTTTCTGTACCCAATTACCTTCCACGAGTTCGTTACTTAAACACAACTTTGTGTGCATCCTCTAACTCTTAACTGCTAGTTAATCCTCATAAAACCAGAGGGGAATCCTCATAACCCACACCCAGCCATAAGTAATAAAGGAGAACAAGAAAATATGCCTACTGTATTATAAAGGAATCTCCATTGGATTTGTAATTAAAATGGCTGAATATGAGTTTTCAAAGTCACACCTCTAAGGGGTCTGTTTCTTGAACAAAGATCCTGGATTTCTGGAGATGAAAAAGTGAGAGCCAGCAAAATGATTTAAATAACAATAAACTCATTGCAGGACAGCTACAGTAAGTCATATCATGAGAGAATGAGAGCACACTTGTTGATTACTATACAACAGACTGCTTTTGACTCCTCTAAAGGAATGTACAAATTATGAAGGGGTACAGCTTGCATAATGCAAACGAGGTATCTGAAAGGGGGGATCTAGGACCTGTCAGGCATCCATCAGGTTATGAAGGTCTTTCCTCTATAATAAGCTTCAAATCATATTGAAGAAGCATGTTTGGTAAACAGTTGAATGTCTTTATTAAAAGGCAATGTTATAGAAAAGAATGCTATTCTGTCTTTTAAGGAGTAGTTGAGAAACCAAGTTTCTGCCACACATTGGACTTTTAAAGTGATTTTTTAGAGAAGGTAAAAAAGGTAGGTTGGAAATAAAGAGAAACTGAGGAACATAAGAGGAAACTGAGATTCCTGAGTAGGGACAGAAATGTATTAATGCAGTAGTTCTTAAACTATGGTACTGTGTGTGTACCACTGGTGTGTCAGATGACCCTGGAAATGTGTTGTGCGCACTGAAAGATTGGGAATTAAAAGTTGAAGAATTAAAACATTATGTAAAGTTTTCATCTGTAATTTACTTAATCGGTTTCAGAACGCTTGGGACGGATTTTCATATTTTCTATTTTAATAAAATTAGTTTATGTGTCAAATACGCAGCCTACGCACTTAGCTACGTCCATACAGCAGACGCTAATACTTGAGTGTTCATACTCCTCTCGAGCTTTCATGATTTGTTGATGTGTTTTTAAACACGTCACATTGCGTGCAGTCAAAGCAATCCCGAAGCTGTTCAGTGCTCTCCGAGTCCAAGGCTTTTACTATTCTTGTCTCTGGTTTGATCCTCTTGAACAGCGGCTGGTAGATCGACCTGAGAAGCACAGTGTTGTGGTCGGAGTTGCCCAGTGGAGGTCTTGCAAGGGACGAGTAGGCATTAGGGACTGTCCTATAGCAACAATCAATGATTTTGTTCAACCGCGTGGGGCAGGTCACATATTGGTAATACGTTGAAAGACTGTTATTTAGCGTGCAGCTGTTAACGTCTCCTAAAGTAAATTTAGGAGCATCTGGAGATATAGTGTCCAGTTTCTGGGAACCATCAAAACTTATATTGGAAACCTTTACCGCATTCGCTTTAGGGTGGATATAGACAAGTGGAATAAAAAGCTGCAGAAATTCTCAAGGGAGATAGAAGGGGCGTAGAGAAACACTGAGCAGTTCGATGTCAGGCGTGCACACACTCTCACGGACGGTGATGTTCTGACACCAGCGGTTATTTATCATCAAGCAGACCACTCTGCCGTTATGTTTACCTGTGCTTTCAGGTTCTGTGTAGAGAAAACCCCTCAGGCTTGACGACATTGTCCTTCACGGTCTCGTCCAGCCAAGTCTCTATAAAAGCTAGAATGCAGGCATCCCGAAACTTGTGCAGGAACCGCACGCTGGCATGCAGTTCGTCTAGGTTACTCCTCAGTGAGCGCACGTTCGGCAGAATGATGGTGGGCAGTGGGAGCTTATTCCTCCTCCCAGAGTCGGAGGGAGGGCCGATGCTTGCTCTTTCACTAAGCGAATTGGAAGAAGTGACACAGAAAATTTTACTGGAGCCAAAATCACTGTAGGTAGGATGCCTGAGTGATACCGGGACAGAAAAGGGGGTGAGGACAGAAGCAGATCAGGCTTAAATAACCGGTAAAACAGACATACTGGAAAGAAAAGTACTGTCTGGAACTGGATCCTGAGAGGAAGCATTGTTGAAGCTGGTACTTTGGCTTCTCTCGAGAAATTGTTGGATGAGATCCTTGGATCAATTAGCTAATTGCTAAATGTTAACTAAAGTTATATCATATACTGTATATAACGTTGTTATGCATCTGTCTTTGACGTCATCTAAGCAGTGTAACAAAGCAGGTAATGCCAGGTTTCGTTGTAACTACTAATGAGTTACATGGGCCGAATTGATACCTCTTATTTGTAACCATTCTATTTATTTAAAATTGATGTACTATTATCTTATGTATTTAAAATTTAAACGCAGTAATAACATTGGTGGTATGGATCAAATTTGTCCATAGGGCAGCAATGAACAAAACACTTTACAGCCAATATGAGGAGAAGGTGCGGCCCTGTATTGACCTGATCGACTCCCTGCGGTCTCTCGGAGTGGAGAAAGACCTGGGCCTACCAGCCATCGCTGTCATCGGAGACCAGAGCTCGGGGAAGAGCTCTGTGCTGGAGGCTCTGTCAGGAGTAGCCCTGCCCAGGGGGAGTGGTAAGTGCTTGCCCTGCAGCCACAGAACAGTAGCTGCTTCTGAGACTGCACCCTGTCCAGGGATGGGACATGCAGCTCTTTGGAGGACTGTGGCGAAGATCATTGATTAACTTTTCTTTGCATTTCACCTGTCTTATTTTACCTAGCTTTCATTGGGCTTTTCTGAAGTTGAGTCACAGTATACAATTCCATTTGTTGATATGAGTATTATTGCACATGCACATTGTGTATGTCTGAAGCCTACATGGCATTGACTGTCAAAGGCATCTGACTCTCTACTGACACTGAAACAGCGCTGCAACAGTCTGCTTGTGTTGAACATGACGACCCAACTCATTCCAAAAATGTTCTGCTGAAAGCCAGTCCAACAGTTGAACATTGTGTGCATGAGGAAATGCATCAGTAACCCTAGCTGTACTGAGCTGAGCATTTCAAATACAAAAAGTTGAATTGGAAAATGAGACATTTCTGTTTTGCTTGTCCACACTAACAGTGAAAGGAATACAAAGGAATCTGGTCACAAGATGTAGTTCACATAACACCGGACAATTGGACTACCCTTTATACTGTAGGAACAAATCCTCATTGGAACTCAGCATGAACTGTGCTGTACCTCACACTGTCATTTTTTCCTTTACCAGCTCAGTGTTGTTCAACACTGGGAATTAGACAGTCTCTTACACTACCAATCATCCTAAAACAATTTAACAGATGAGGAATGGTAGCTGGTGCCTGGTTTCTCTCCACAGTTGTCAGTCATGGCATCTGGAAAAATAAGAGTAGTGCTCATTAAAGCATCATTTTTACAAGACTGTGTTGCATTGTGTTGAATTCTATGAATTTCAGAAACAGTGCTGACTAATCATTCCTTTTAATTTTAATTTGGTCTAGGCCAAAATACATTATATTGTGTGATCTATATTCAAAGATTGTCATGGTATCTTAATTGTTTATCACTATACATTGCATGATAAGTTTTTCAAATTACAGAATCATTTGAGAAATACAGTTTTAATAGGATAAAAAAGCAAATAAGCTCATGATTAAGTCCAGCCAGAAAAAAACACAACAGAGATGAGGCAGTTATTTTTGTCTTTCTACCCAACACCTTTTCTTCAGTTTAAAGTGCTACTGAGCCTTTGTCAGTATTATTCAAGTTTCCTTCCAAGAAATTACATCCGAAAATATACTTATGAATTCAGATAATTGTTCATCTTAGCTGTATGCGCTGTTCTTTAAATTGAATATTTTTCACCCAGGATGGATTTGAACGTCATGCTTACAGAGCTGTTAAGTTGCATGCCCTCTGAATTGAACATACTCCTGATTGCTTCAGAACTAGAAAGCTAGTATTATCTGTCTATTGAGATTGAGTCACTGTCTGCAAAGGGCCAGAAGATCTGTTTCAGTAGACATACATATCTGACATTTTTAATAGGCATTGTTACAAGGTGCCCCTTGGAATTGAAGCTGAAGAAGATAAGGGAAGAAGATGACTGGACAGCGAAAATAAGCTACCAAGGTCATGAGGAGGACATTTTACTTCCCTCCGATGTGGAGCAGAAAATCAGAGAAGGTGGGTTTGAGCCACCTCAGACTTATTTTCTATTTTGATCAAATATGACGCTTCCTGTTTACATTCACCTACATTACCTACTTCTATGTTCAAATAAAAAAGGCATCTCCTCACATATTGTCTTATCAGTCCTATTTAAAATCAGTGAAGCTTATAAGCGGTGATAAGGGCCACCAACCATTCTTCACACAGCGGGCCTGTGGACATGAGATGACAAAATCTTTCTTCATTTCCACTCCTTAACACCTTAACAATAACAACATAAATAATAATATAAGTTGTCTGGCAGATACAATACCTTTATTGAGATTACATTGTCCAACCAGGCAATGATCCATGTATTGACAACAGCAAGGACATTTAGAATGGGACCTCAGTTCAATGTCTCATTTACAGAAATGTCTGACACTGGAAGAGTTAAGATTTGTGCCAAGAACCCCCTGCGAGTAGCTGATAGGTTAATTGTTTTATTGTGTTGGATTCTATTCCACATTGTTATTTTTCCTTTGCAGTTAAGCTCACTGGATTCACGATTAAATAATGGTCACATTTGTGTAGTGACCCTTCAAAAATGAAAAATGAAATGCATAATGCAATTACACTCAATTGTATAAAATTAATTGGTGTCCTAATCTTAAATTATATACTGTAAGGAGAATTCACAACATTAAGAGTTCCAATTTTCCTTAAAATATTTTGAAAATGTTGTGATAAGCTAGAATTTTATTTGATTCCAAAAGAAGCTAAATACTGTATGTCGCGTATCCTTTGTGCTCAGCTCAGACCTGTGTTCTGTTGCGTCTGTGTTCATCCAGCTCAGAATGAGATGGCAGGTGTTGGAGTTGGCATCTCGGATGAGTTAATCAGCCTGGAGATCGCCTCAAGTGATGTCCCAGACCTGACCCTGATCGATCTGCCTGGGATTGCTCGAGTGGCTGTGAAAGGACAGCCAGAAGATATTGGTGAACAGGTAAGGTTTTGTCCATGCCAGTAGTTGACATTTTAAACAGCTTAGGTTTTAATAATAATAATTGCTTACACTTATATAGCGCTTTTCTGGCCACTCCACTCAAAGCACTTTACAGGTAATGGGGACTCCCCTCCACCACCACCACCAATGTGCAGCATCCACTTGGATGATGCGACGGCAGCCGTAGTGCGCCAGAACGCTCATCACACATCAGCTATTAGTGGGGAGGAGAGCAGAGTAATGAAGCCAATTCAAGGGCCAATGGGAAATTTGGCCAGGTCACCGGGGTTACACCCCTACTCTTTTCGAGAAACGCCCTGGGATTTTTAATGTCCACAGAGAGTCAGGACCTCAGTTTTATGTCTCATCCAAAGGACGGCGCCTGTTTACAGTGTACTGTAGTGTCCCTGTCACTATACTGGGGCATTAGGACCCACATAGACTGCAGGGTGAGCTTCCCCTGCTGGCCCCACTAACACCTCTTCCAGCAGCAACCTTAGTTTTTCCCAGGAGGTCTCCCATCCAGGTACTGACCAGGCTCACACCTGCTTAGGTTCAGTGGGCTGACAGTTGTGAGTTGCAGGGTGATATGGCTGCTGGCCAATCGTTTAGTTTTATTACTATTAAGTGAAAATAATGTAGACCTGATGAAGAAGGTTTAATGTGGAAAATAAAAAAAAGATTTATCAAACATATCCATATGATTCAGAAATAAACTTGATCTTGATATGTGTTTTGTTTACTTTTTATGGTGAGTAAAAGGTGTGCGATTCCTGTCCTTTAGGAGCATTAACAGACTTTGTCAGTGATTTTGTCATGAAGTCAGAACGGTGCAGCCTTTGTCTCATGCTTCAAAGCCTCCATTTTCCACTCTGTCACATTATAACATGTGGTAAGGTGTCACGATCGCAACTCCCCCTCTTAAGGGCGCTCCAGCCCTTCCTTGTTCTGCCCCATTATCTGCACCTGTTCTCCATTTCTGTTCTACCTTAAAAGCCAGACTCAGACACTATCCAACGCTCCTCATTGATTCCCCCCATCGTGAGAGCCCGGGTCCTGCTGCGTTATGTTTTTAACCTTCAGTTCCTGATTCCCCTTCAGTTCCCGTGTTTTAATCCCCAGATGGATCGCCTAGTTAAGGACTCTCACTCTTGTCTTGGATTCCCCGTTTGGACTTTACATGGATTGTTCGCCCCGTAATCACTACCCCTGGATACCTGCACCCCTTGGACACGCCCCCCTCTCCATACCCACTCCTGCATGGCTTTTTCACCAGTGTTTCCTCACTAATCTGGATCGTGTCATCTGCATAGGGCCCAGAAAGAACTGTTCGTTACAGTAAGGCAGCCGGGCAGGTCTTGAGACCCATATTATAAGTTCAGATTGCGGAATGTTAAAGACACCTCTGCCTCACTGCAGATCAAGAGGCTGATAAGGAAGTTCATACAGCGGCAGGAGACTATCAACTTGGTGGTGGTGCCCTGCAATGTTGACATTGCAACAACAGAGGCCTTGCAGATGGCCCAGGAGGTGGACCCTGAGGGAGAGAGGACTCTTGGTATGTGATACATATTCCATGTCTTTGTGATACATATTGATGTCTTTCAATATTAATATAGCTTCTATCTAAGATATTAGGGATTTTCTCACCCTGCATTCATAATAAACCATTGCCTTCATATAGGTCAACTGCCTGAGAGGTGTGTCTGGACTGGCTTGCTCTGTGGCCTTCTTTTAGTTTTTCTTATATATTTCATTCCAGACCAAATTGGTATAAAATATAACAAGTAGAAGGGAAAATGTAAAAAAAAAAACCTGGACTGGGAAATATTTCAAGAGTTCCAGGTACACAGTGGAATGACATGTGCAGTACTTTTTATGTACCTATTTGCCAGTGCCCTTTCATTAACTGTATAGAAACGTAATGGGAAGAGAATAGTGGCAGACTGAAAGGAATGTACGGCTTGCATTTTATAATCTGCCTTTTTCCAGAATGTCAATATTTTTATATCCAGTGACTTATGAAATACGTAATTGATCAAATCACCTTTGCCTCTACCTTCAGCTCCTTCACTGGTCAAACTTAAAACTAAATTATTCCAAGCCTTTATGTACTGATGAGTTGACGGCGACCTGTTCCTTAGATGTCATTAAGATTACCAAGTTGTCTCCATACTTTTGTTTTCTATGATATGTTTGAGGTTGTCTTTAGATTTCAGGATGTGGGGGCTGTTTCACAAAGCAAGACTACTCAGTTAACCAGATAACTTTAGTAAATGTGTTGACAAACGTCTGGATTTTCAGTTTCACAATGCAGGACTGAATTGTATCCATGTCAAATTGTATTGTATCAAACTTAGCTTGACTTAGTGTTTAAGAGCTTGACTTAAAGACCAACAAATCCCATTGCAAAAATACCATCACTTCAGGGATCCACTTGACATTAGAGTTTTGTGGAAAGAATGAAAGTTTAGAGATCACCAATACCCTTTACAGTTCACTGATGATTTTTATTTGAAAGATAGCACTTCAGCAGACAGGGTACACTTTATATTAACAAGCAATTGTTTATACGGCTCATCATAGCTCAGCATTAAACAAACTCAAAACGTGTTCTTATGGTTGAGATTCCTTGTTACTGGTGCAGTTTTTTACTGTTTTGTTGACTGGGAGTGTTTAAGTAAAGCAAGAGTGTGTTGTGCAATAGCTGAAGTGATGTTTGCAATAAAACAGTTTTTGTGTTAATTTGTGTTTCCAGGCCATACATTAGCAAGTGCCATCAAACAGGGATTTCATTAAATAGTTGGTAATGTTTTATATTGTATATAACAAAAATCTTAGAATTTCGTAATATAACAGGTGCTCTGAACTGCACAGACCTCATTAAAGTACCCACGAGGCCAAATCAATCAAATCAATCAGTCTAAAAAATTAACATTAATTACACAAAACACTCTATCAAAATAAGTTTTTAAATGTGTGTGCCTGCAATGGGTGTGACCTAGACTTAGGCATTCATAATGTACAGTTTCCGTCATGACAATGTTTCCTGTGTTATCATGATCTGTAACACATGTGTCACATTAACAACATGGCTCTGTCTGAGGGTATTCCCAGAGCTGAGAGAGAACATCATAGCTGATCTTCATTTTAGTGAAACAGTGACCAATTATTTTAGGTTATATTTTTGTTTCTGATTTCATTTAGGTTACTTTTTTTGCATTATACATTGTAATTAGGTCACACTTTTATCTGGCTTCAGACTGTCTGCAATCTGAGGGGGAGCCTCATCTATACATGATTCACTCCAAAAAAATGTTGCGGAAAAAGACAACAACACAGTAAAGGAATACTTTATTGTATTGATGATGATACTTCCTCTTCCTCCAGTCTTATTCTGCTCACGCTTCTTTTGTTGGCTAAAATTATGAGTCATTTTCATTCAGTGGATTGCACTATACTATATTATACAGCACCACTGTGAATAATATTCTTGCATTTTGTCTTAATTTGCTGACAGGTCCTCTCAGTGTTGTCAAGATACTGTAAATCCATAAATTACTGGTACATAAAAACAATATATTGTACATCTTTATCTCCTCACTATTACAACAGATTTTATCCTGATAGTTTTCCATGAGGAGCCATAACTGTTAGTCACTGGATTAAGATGCACGTTTTTTCTCTGTGGTTATGCTGAATTCTGAAGAATTCAATGCTTGACCCTCCTTGCCTTCTGAAGTGTAGTGTGAATGTGCAGTTAGTCAAATTGTTTAAATGTGAATTGCTTTAATCAGATAGCTTAAACCAGAGCTTGCCTTTGTGAAACCGGAGTAATCCTGAAGTCAGTTAATTCAATTTGGATAACGAGAGAAAATCCAGAATTAAGCCTCCTTTGTGAAACAGCCCCCTGCTGTTTTAAAAGGTCCATATTAAAAACCTGCAGGTATTCTGACAAAGCCTGACCTGGTGGACAAAGGGACAGAAGAGACCATTGTGGAGATCGTCCGCAACCAGATCATCACCCTCAGTAAAGGCTACATGATTGTCAAATGCCGAGGGCAGAAGGAGATCAATGACAAGGTGTCTCTGGATGAAGCATCTGAAAAGGAGAAGACCTTCTTTGAGGACCACCCAAATTTCAGGTTATTATCATGCTTGTCAACAACAATTGTTTTTCTTATCAAGCTCTCTGTCTTTATTTTCTTATTGAGACGGGGCAGTGTCCTGGCTGATCACTGGGGTTGCTGTTGTATGATGATCTAAGTTACTAGTGTGTTTTTATACTGTAGATTGCTTTTATTGTTGATTCTGCACATATAGAATTTAATCCAGCATATGCTGCAGTGGGTTTGTGAAGTAAACATTGTCATAATGCAGAAACAGAAACTCATCTGCGTGCAGTATACATGAACAAATGAGAGATGACATTTGACAGATGGAAACATTGCCAGACTTTTGTCGTGCGGCGAGTGTGTCTCTGAGTGTGCTTTTTGTCCATTTACTCCCATTGCAAGTGATTGACTGAAAAGACTGGTTCTTTGTCTTGTAATTGGCAAACCTTCCACATATCGAACACTCCCAGGAGACCACAAGTATGACATCTCTGTAGCATGTTGTTTTACACTTCCTCTCTTTCAGGAAGTGAAGAATTATAAGTTAACAGGGTGCAGAGCTACTTGAGAGTTCATGACTATATTGAGTGGTGTAATGTAATATGTGTATCCATCCTGGTATGGTAATGCTTCCATTAGAATACTGTGTCCTGCGGTCAGACTGCAGAAAGGTTACTGAATGATTTTTTGTGTTTTTTTGTGTTGTCATCTCCTCAGCACACTTTTGGAAGAAGGATATGCTACAATTCCTTGTTTGGCTGAGAAGCTAACTCTGGAGCTGGTGGAGCACATCAATGTAAGGGTTTTATTTTGACTGTGTTCAAGGACATTCAACAAGAAAGGTGTAAATAACATTTATGTACAACAGGGAGAGTTTCTCAAATGGAGATCTGTCACTTTCTCTTAGTTTGTCTCTACATGTACAGTAGTTATCCTTGCTTTTCTTATGTCCTTCACTAGTTTTTTCTCAGGACAGCACCATGCTTTACTGTACATTGCCTGCTCATTGGTTGTGTCAGGTTATAATGATATTTTACTACACTTCCCACAGGTTTTGTCATGATACAAGCTCACTTTACTGCACAATGTTTGCATTTGAAAACATTTATGTGGTTTATGCAATACAGCTCAGACAAAGGTTTGCTACAGTGAATCATGGTGTTATTTCTCTACCTCACTGGAAATACAATACTTCCATAGGAAAACACAAGTCATCTGTGCATAAATACTAATAGAAATGTGCAAGTGTGTCACCAGAAACTTTAATAAGGACAGTCTCAACTGTTGCTATTGGCATCTTCAGGGATGGGGGCCAGAGTGGGACTTTGGGCCTTTATAAGAGTGGTTTAGTTGCATGACTCACTAACCAGAGCTTAGTTATAAACCTCTAGACCTCGTAATGTCATTTGAAAACTGATCTGAATGGAGACCCCGAGGGAAGAGGGAAATGAAAAAATAATAATTTGGTTCTGGGGGGTAGACTTCGGGTGAGAAAGGTCTTATATCAGATTCTCAGAGCTACAGGAAATTCCATTGTGTCATTAATATTCTTTTTCAAGAAATCGCTGCCGGCATTAGAGGAACAAATTGAAGCCAAGCTTGCAGAAACCAGTGCCGAGCTTGAGAGATATGGAAAGGGACCACCAGCAGACCCCATGGAGAAAATGGGTTTCTTGATTGATGTAAGTTTTATCGATATGAGACATAATCATGTACTCACTGTAATTTTAATTATGATTTCCATCTTTCTGCTTGGTTTTGTCTTCTGTACCTGGCTTTGAGTAGTATTGTTATTACTTTGCCTCACCTTTTCCCAATTCATCATTCCTACGTATACCCCATTTTAGTCCTCTTCTGGTCTCTTTGGGCATCTTCTGGTCTCTTACTTGTCCCTCTCCTCAAGTTCCAGTTTTCTGATTCACATTCTGCTCCCTTTCCTGATTTGCTCCTCTGTGATACCTGGGAAAACTGGGCTTCACAACCTCAGTCCAGCCTCTGGCAACCTTTCCAGACCTTTCAAGACTCTGGCATTTGATCTATCCCTGGTGTAATTGCTTGTAAAAAGTAGGGTTGAGCTCCTTAGCAAAGGCAAACTAACAAACTAGTGCTTGATAGCAGTTCTCAATTCATTGGAAGGATATGTGTTGGTCTGGAGAATTAAAGTTTACATTTAATTCAGATCTGGGTCTTGACTTGTTCGCTGCCCAAAGATGCCATTAACTCAGCATGGCTCTGGCTCTCCAGAACAGGTATAGATAACCTGTGTTTCATCTGAAAAGGGAGTCCATTTTAAATAATTAGCTTTGTCACAGCAAAGGGCTTGTCCAGTCAAATTGCTTTAATAGGAATAAAAGCTGGGAACCTTAGTAGAGTTTTTCTTAAACTTGTTATTTATCTCAGGCCGTGAAAGAGTTTTTTAGGTCTAGTCACAAACAAGGAACAGAAAATGTATCATTCTTAAATGTTGTTATCTCCCCTTTTCTTGTGGTTACCTCTCTGACAGAAAGTCACTGCTTTTACTCACGATATCATTAATCTGACTACCGGTGAAGAACTGAAGAATGGACGCAAAATGAATCTGTTTGCAAAGCTGCGAATGGAGTTTGGTAAATGGAAGGAACAGCTTGATGAATCTGGGATCACATGTGAGTCTGACACCCCTTTAGTTGCTGTGTGGAACAATAATTTTCTTTGTCCTTTGACAAACAGGTTTTAAGTTACACATTCTTTTCAACTTCTTTGTTTCCTGGTTCATACTTCAGACACAGGTGTATGTGATGCAGCAGGTCTTACCTTGGATACAGCTAACAGCGTGATAAACATCTCAACTTTTAGTCTCCAATAAAACTGGACTCTTAATGAATACTGATGTAATACAAAATGTTATTTGAAAAACTCCAGTACCATGAAAACAATGTAAACCTACTAAGAAAACTTTATACATGGGGCACAATTAGAATTGGATAGAAAAAGGGGGGATATAAAGTAGTACTCCTGCCATATTCAGCAACCTTTTTTGCTGAAACAGCTCCAGACAGAGACAGAGTTTGTTTTTTTAAATGAAAACTTGAATCAGAAAGAAAAGAGCTATAAAAATAAGCATGTGAGTCAAATATCTTTTTATTAATTGTCACAGCAGAGAGCACATACTACTGTCCCTTTTCACAGATTCCCTTTAATGCCAGTGTTGTTCATTATTTAATCACCCTATTTTCATTATTGGTTACAAGTGTGTGGATATTTATTGCTCACATCCAGCATGATGCTGTGTTCCATTGTCCATTCCATGTTCCTAATATAGTGAGTTTCCTTTCTCATTATTATAGTGTGTCTTTCTCTCTTTGTCACTGAAATAGTTATATGTTAACAGCAACATCAGAAAAATACTGCAAAAATCAAATCTCTTCCCTGAAGTTCAGTTTTAAGATTTCCTCTTTTGTAAGCTTGGAAGTTCCCATGACCAGTGGGAATATGTACAGTTATAATAAATTACTGTACACATAGGACCTAAAACCTGAAGAACTGGGTGTGACTCCTTTACACCTAGAGTCTTGAACTTAGGCTTTCAGTATAAAAGAAGTAGAAACAAAGGAAAAAATGTTTCAACGTTTGTGTGCCAGTGTTTATTACAGGAAGTATTCTGTGTAGTTGGAGGCTCAATTGCAATGAATTGAAAGGAGTGTACAAACTAGAAATGATCCCAAAGATAGCACAAAGGTTTACACTAAAACACAAGAATCAGAAGCTCTGGGAGACCCTTTAATCTATTAGAAATCATGCTTAGCTCAACCCTTCATGTCTCTCAGTTTTGTTTGTTAATGCATTTTAAGAAAAGACCTTATATTCTTGTATCCCCATGTGGTGCTACAGTCAGACAAAGAGTCGACAAGGAGGTGAATCAATATGAAACCAACTATCGAGGGAGAGAACTCCCTGGCTTCATCAACTACAAGACCTTTGAAATGATGGTGAAGGACCAGATCAAGCAACTGGAAGAGCCAGCCATTAAGAAGCTAAAAGATGTTACAGGTGAGTGGGTCAGTGCACAGGACAGGGCATGGGCAGAGGAGTGTGGTGTGAAGAGCTTGTGACAACATTGGTTAAAGACATCACCTGCATGTTTACAGCCTGCCAGGACAGTTTCCCCTCTTTAATGGTGCAAGGTGCAATGTTTTATGGCTATAGATGTGTGCAGACACTCTTGCCACAAATTTTCTGTATGTCTGACTTTAGTTGCTTGTTTTTGAATGCAAGTGATAAAACATTCAGCTATGTAGACTCCATGAATTTCTTACATACAGTACATGCGTTCAGTATCATTGTAAGCTGGAAGTGGGAAGTGGAGCTGTGAAATGCAGAAAGCTTCCAAGGGTTTTGTGAAACTGGGCCATTATTTTCCATTTCCCATTTTTCAACCATAAATCAGGGCTTTCACCTCAAAATATGGAGCCTGATGTTTTGCAAAGCACTGAACAAAATATGTATTTCAATATTATTCAAAATTATAAAGTGGTATATATGATAAAGACAATATTATTAAGGTTTAGGCAACCGTGTGGACTTTTGGTTACAGCTCTGAATGAAGGGCCATGAACCCAAATCTTTAGGTGGGGGCGATGTTGCACAACTGAGCAAGAATCCTTCACTCAGATCACTCCAACAGAAGATAGCTGTAAAAATGGGCCTTTGGGTCATCATAGTAAATAAGCATTTGGTCTTAATTGATTCACTTGATAAAATAAAGGAATACATGCAAAAATAAAGAACACCTATGCCAAATCATTACATAACATAGGTATTACTATTTAACTTTGTGAAATAAACCTGGAAGGACATGCAAAAGGACATTCTTAACCAAGCTGAATTTGAAGTGTAAACTTTAAGAGTCCTGGAAGAGCTCTGTTCTGTTGTTGAGTGGCTTTTTGAGTGTGGCAGGAATGTTGCTGAAGCTGCTTTCTAAAGTTTCATGACAAATGTTATTAATAAAGCAGAAATGCATGTTAAGTGACACATCCTTCAAATTTCCCTCATATAAGTTATGAGCTAATAATCACCACTGTATGCATAAAAAATGAGAATATTATGTCACAAGTAATTGAATGAATGTAGGCATTGTAGTAGCCAAAAGCAAATTAATCTGTTATTTTGTGTATGTAGAAAAGGTAATTTTTCTAAAATGTCTAAAGTAGTAGTTGGGAATCTTGCTTAATGTTTAGTCGTAGGCAATTCTCCATGCACGTATTTCATGATAAAATCTTTTTGGGCAATACCCAGTTCTCTTGCAACAATTATGAATATCATTTCTTTTCCAGATATTGTGAAAAAGTCATTCATACAGGTGGCTCAGAATGATCTGACTGGCTACCCAAACTTACTGAAGGCTGCCAAGGTACATTTTTTAAAATGATCCTAATGCCACATTGGAATGAACAATTCAAAAATTGAACAGTTCATTGCACCAGACATTTCGGTTTGCTGGGGAGAAAAGATCCATCTGCGTTTTTCAAAGCTGATTCTTTGGAGTCGGCTGGGTCAGAGCAGGATAGACCAAAGGGGCTTTTCTCATTCTTCATGCCCTTGAATCTGCCTCTGCTGTATACAGTATGTACTGTGCATCCACAGGACAGAATCCAAAGACATTTGTAACCATGACATTGTAAAAATCCTAATGTCTGGATTATAGTTCTGCAAAAAGAGTTACTTTTAGTGTTATAAATGTTACTATTAGTGTTTATTTATATTTAATATAAAACTATACTTTTAACACTTCTGTTGGTTAATACAGGATGGAAAGTACTTTTTGTTTTGACTTCATTCTTTTGTCTGAATAATAATGCAAGTAAATTTCCACACACAACCAAATAATTCTGTATGTATGTATTGTACAGTATATGGTATTTCTGAAAAGCTGACGTAAACAATGTGATTTCCTATTGTTGTTGTTTAAATGTGATGTACAGTCTTAAGGAAGTCGTTGCTGCAGATGTGAGTTGTAAAACCATGTGCCGTGGCTGCTGTTTCATGCCCGTGTCATTTGCATGTCTAGACCAAAATCGAAGCCATAAAACAGAACAAAGAGGTCATTGCTGAGTCTATGTTGAGGACGCAATTTGAGATGGAGCTCCTGGTGTACACTCAAGACAGTATCTACAGCAACGGCCTGAACGAAGTGAAAGAAAACGAGGCTGGGGGGAAAAAAGTAGTAAGCCAGGTGCCTTACACTATCAACAGCCAGGTCACTTTACAAGAAATGATGTATCACCTCAGATCCTATTACAACGTAAGTAATCAGCACAAAGTTGGTGTATCCACGTCTTAAGTTAATTTGCTGTTAAATCAGCTCTTGCCTTGTATGTACTGTATTTCTCTGTTAGATTCGGTACTGATAAATCATGTTTATTTGACAAACGTAAAGAGAAAGGAAATTACGATCCAATGTGTTCTGCAAACATTTAATCCTCAAGCATAAATGAGCTTCAGCTTGCATTATTGAAAAAGACAAGGATATGTGAAGTTTGAAATGCAGCGTGACTTTTGCCAACGATTGAACCACCATGATTTTTGGGTTCCTGTGCATCTGCCTGCTCACAGTGCACATTCTCTGCTTGTCTCCGGATCCGCCAGATCGCCTCCCAGCGCCTCGCGGACCAGATCCCCCTTGTCATCCGGTACCTGATTCTGCAGGAATCGGCGTTGCAGCTCCGGAGAGAGATGCTGCACATGCTGCAGGATAAGGATAGTGTGGACCAGCTCCTGAAGGAGGACCTGGACATTGGCAACAAGAGAAGCGTCCTGCAGAACCGCCTCAAACGCCTGACCAAGGCGCGGAGCTACCTTGTCAACTTTTAACACTTCATCCTTCCATGCAGGGGCACATGCAGCGGGGTTAGGACTCAGTAATTCTGCAGTCAAAAAGTGTCTAGCCTTACAGAAAATTGATCATTCCATTTAGAAATCAGCCGGGTGGCAGTCCTAGCTAGATGTGTGTATAAAGATACTTAATAATTCTGTACTGTATCGTTTCTTTAGGGCTTAGTTGTATCCTTTAGAATTCTTTTGTTTAGACTGTTTTGTATGTATATGAACATACAAATATTCACTGCTCAATGTTTTTATTTTAAAAAAAAACCTCAAGATGTTGGTGTACTTAATGATTAATGTTTAAGGAGAACATTTTTTTTTCTGTATGTTAATGCCTGCCTCTCAGAAATGAATACACAACTAAGCAAATGGCAATTGATCTCTTTTCTTGGAGACCATACTAATTTTCCTTTTAGACAGAAATTGATTATATAAAAAAGTAATTTGTTCTTGATTAAAAAAGTAGTGGGTGACTAATGAAAATCCATCATTAATATTTTTTCCTGAAACTCCAAAACTATGAGATGAAAGGCCAACTGCATCTGTCACACACAGAAGAATAAGGAAAATTCCATCCATAGTTTTTATATATTTGTAACTAGTCTGCTTTTTTTAGATAAAGCATGACATTTTTGACCTTGTGAGGAGATATGGTCAGTGCCTTTATCATATTTCTGTACACATGTACAAGGTAAGCTACAGAAAAACACAAATCCCTCTCAAAGATCCAAGTAGAGTGCCATAGGATCATGTACAATAACCTCTGTCTCTCAAGAACTGCTTTTTCCACTGTGTAGTTGACACAGACATGTTTCACTGTGATAAACTAGGGAAGCTGTTAATTAGTGAAACTTCACAAAACATAATGAAATCTTCAAGCAAGCAGGGTATTTGCCACCACCTCTGAGGAACAAGGACCACCACACATACAGCGCCTTTCAAAAGTTTTTAGTCCTCCTATAAAAATGCCCCATCTTGTAAACCACAAGGTCTTGTGGACCTTAAACTATGGGGTAGATAGTAGGAAGCTGGGTCATGTAGCAAAAGAATTTAATGTACAGTAAATTCAAATGAGTTGAAAGCCAGTGCAAGGACTCCAAGAGACAAGAGTGATTTGATCACTTGCTTGCAACCTAGACAGGATTCTAGTTGTCTAATTCTGCATTATAGCTTTATAATTGTAGTTTTATAGATTCCTGGAAGTAAGACATTACAATAATTATTGCTTGAATAACTGCATGACCTACAAACTATATATATATCTACAAACATAGTTGAGCACAGGAGGTTCAAAGTCAATCGAGCCTAAAACATCACCACCAAATTGTTCATTTTGAATCAGACCACAGACAATGTCACCACATTGGTGACCACAAGTCCCGGCAATTGACAAAGTTACTGCATTGGCTTTAGGTAACTGATTAGAGAAACCCAAGAAAATGACCTCTGTATCACTTGAATTAAAATGCAAAAACAAATTGTGTCATTGAATTGAATGAGTACTTACAGAGCAACCTCAGTGACAGGTTAATGTGGAGGGAAATTGAGTGCAATCTGTATAGAAATGGTTAACTTAACAGTAAATACTGAATAGCAGAGGGTTCAGTCCTGGGTCCTGTGGAACGCCTGATCTAGGTATCCCAAACTGAATTAAAATCACCACGATAAAATCAGTGCTGCAGGATTTTAAACCATTTCATGTGAAAAATAAAAATACATTGCACAAAGTATGTTTATTTTGTTCTGTAATACTGTGTTGGGCATGTATGAAATGAACTATTTCTTGGAAGTCATCAGCAACTCTTAAATACACATTGTACATCGTTACACAACTATTTCACAATTATTTACTCAACTATATTTTATATTACAGTGTACAGATTTTATTATTTGCTTATTAGACTCACACAAATATAATTGTTACAGTGCTTAACTCAAGGAAATGAATATTTAATACTCTGCTTAAAATAGTTTCGTTTTTCTAGACGGTTCAAGCCTAGGAATAAACTCAATCATTAAAACACACATTTTACTGCTTTTAAAATGTTTAAACTTAAACTCACCCTTACATATTATTGGAACGTGTGTTACGGCGAAGTACAGTACTTTTATTGAGGATGCCAGTTTCTGACGGATAAACAACAGTTGATACCTGTAATAATAAGTTTTTTCATCTCTCTTTACTCTCCAGACCCGTTTCATTTTTCTTACTAGAGAGGACTGGCACATTGTGGTGAAATTGAATACATATTCAAATCGACCCGGGATAGGAATGTACCTGGGCCGTACAGTGTGAGTGCGCGTCCCAGCAACGTCACGCAGAAGCTCAGACGGTTGCCGTATCTAATTCAGTATGCTCTGAAAATCTTTATCCAAAGCCGAAATGCACAATAGCTATCTCGGGGACGCATTATTTTTTTTCTCATGTCCACATACAGTACATTACGACTTATGACATACAGTACAGTATGTAACACACAAGGACTAAGCCACCGCGGTAAAGTTAGCTTGAAACAGAAAGCCTTCAAACCAAATGCATTTTAAAGACCACGACGTGAAAAGTTTCACGACCTCTACATAAACGTATCAGTGAGCTAATTATTTTTTTTTCTGACACTCAGGGTTTTGATTGATGCGCAATTACGCACCATCTGGAACACACCGGGATAAAGTTAGCTTGAAGTTCGAAAACGATTTTGGCACGCCTGTAGCGTTTTCACGAAACCTCTTAGAGTTGCGAGAACACTTGCTTTGTGTATAAAGAACATTGTGAATGTTTTCTCAGACTTCACTTTGTCGTTTTTATTACATTTTTTGACCACGCACGAATAGTCTTTTGTCCATCTCTTCGCAATGGAAACACAGAACGCTTTCAAACCAAATGCATGACCACGACTTGTGAAAATGTCCACAGCCTCTACATCAAACTATAAGTGAGCTAATTATCTTTTTTTTAAACCTCTGGTTTTTCAATGATGCGCAATTACGCACTAACAGGAACCCGGGGGACAGCTGTGTACACACGTTCACAACGCGAGAAATACTGTTCAATACGGCTTCGTGCGAAAAACCTGTATATGACCATAGGAAGCAGAACAGCGCAGTCTCCAATTACGCAGACTGTAAGCACGGGAATAAAGCTTTGTTTGATTTCTGAAACCCTTTTCTTTACGTCCTGTTTTCATTCAGGTAAGGGTCAACTATATTCACAATACTGCTGACAGCAGTATTTAAATATTATTTACTTAGCAGTTTATTAAAAACAGCTCCCAGAATGTTGTGCCTTACACACCAGACATCCCCCTTCAACTCATACAACCTTGCTTTGGGTTGTGAAACTTTTCCTTATTTTTTTGACTGTAATCAAGTGTTGTGCACACTAGGCAGGCCTCCTGACCTTTCACAGTCATGCTTTGTTATGTGAAACTTTAATTCTCTTTTTAGGATTTTTTTAACATGGCAAGAGATGGGTGGGGGGGAGCTCTTCAATAGCTTTTTCATCTATAGACACAAACGGATGTAAGCAAGACACTCAGAACCAACAGAATCAACCTGAACTCATAGAAAAACGAGAATGCCCCCGAGACACCTGCATTCTCCCCCCTCCTGAACCACTCTGGTATCAACACCCCCAAACCAATCCATACCAGCTAACAAGACTCAGAATCGGTGCAACCCTCCAACCTGGACCAAGAGCAGGATGGGACAAGAACCTGCACCACACTACAGTACAAACCCCTCATCCAGACCAGCAGGACAGCCGGACCACAGACAGAACCTTCATGTAACCCCCCTGTTCACTCCAACAGAAAAGCTGAACTGACCCCCACCAGCATGGCTACGCTGCAGCTCTGGTCACACCAGCAGGCCCAATGGGCTCAGAGCTGGGGGACATACGGCACATCTTGAGCTTGATCTGCACCAAGCCCACGAGCTGAACCAACAGGTTTTTACAACACACAGGTTTGTGTTTTGGGGCTGAAGATGAAAATGTCTAACATAGATTTGTTTCGGTTCTAGCAAACAATAATAATAGTTGTTGAAATCCAAACACACATAATGAGATCACTCTCTGTCAGTATGTGTAACACTCTGGGCCTGGGCTTCTCTGTGTTTAGGCTGAAGACAACAACAACATTATTAAATGGACTGACATCCTAATCGGACAAGATACATTGTTTAGGGGAGACTTGACCACCCACTGTCCCCCTGGTAACGTGAAGGTCATTGTCCCTTAGCTTGCCAAAACCAGAATCACTTGGGTCTCTGGGGGGATCGGTGTATGCAAAATCTGAATTCCTAATGCAAGAATTTGTAAATGGTCAATATAGTGATCATATGTTGTCGGCAGATGGTAACTCCAAGGAACAAGTAATAGGTGGAGGAGGCCGAGGTCGGGAGAGGGGAGATCTGTGGTAGGGCTTCAAGAGAGAAACGTGGAGGGATGCACCCTGAGAGTCAGAGGTAGGGCACAGGGGTGATCTGGGAAAGGATGCGGAAAGGTCCAATGTAACGGGGTCCCAATTTAAAATGATCTTTTGATACATAATTAGAAAAAGCAAGTATCTTAAAATATATACTGTACTGTATCCATGTTATAAGACTAATGTGCTGTTGGCCACTGCCTGGAAATCGCCAGTCTTCTGATGTTACACCTGTAAGTACAGTAAACGGAAACTGCAAGTGTTCGTTTCAGTTTCATTTCCCAGACTGTCCTGCCTCCTGCATGTCTAAATGACAAGCGCTAACAAAAAGCTCTTAGGAGCTAAAGACGAGAGAGTCTTCAATCGGGTAAGTCGCTTATTATACACCCTCTGTACTCACAGGGTCAAATAAAATGGTAATAAAATAGTGCTGATTTTGATGAGATTTACTCATAAGTTGACACCATTGAGTCTGATGTAGATTAAAGCTTTTGCAACTAAGATATTTTTATTTAAAATATATCTGTTCATCTTTTATTTATCAACTTCTAAGAACTCGGGCGTTAAGCTCACCTGGCGTTTACAGTTGGGTAAATCTGCTATTTCGTGTTAACAGGTGTTGTCTGCACTTCCACCGCTGTAAGAACGGAAATAATAAAAGCAGGTGAGTCACTGCACCGGTTCCCACTCATTGAATACAGCGTTGAACCGCTGTTTAACACACAACTAAAAGAAAAATACAGTAGAAATGTTATGACCTTGAATTATATCTCCGGTTTTCTTCGTACTGACTCGATTCAGCAGCTGCGCTCCGGGATCTTCTCACAGATTGATAGAATGTTAAATTTCCGCATAGACAAATGACCAAAATGACTAATGACTTTAACATATATACTGTAAACTGTATGAAATTAAACAAGTTATGTATTTCTAACGTTGCTTTGCTTATTTGTAAATACTAGTTTTAGGACAATGTCAGTAATACCGTTTATTGGCCTTTGAGTATGGAGTTAATTTTGTTTCTTGCGGTATCAGATTTTAATCCGAATAATCAACACTCGGTTATTCAAAATTTCACAAATGTATGCATGTATTCGTGCTTTATAATTATATTTTTTTAAGAGCAATACAGGTGTCCATATGAAACACGTGGTATTATTGGGACATACAGTATGTATTGTATCGCAACAGGGGCTCAGGCGGGCGCCCTTGCCAAATTAGGTCGGCCCCATCCCGACTGAGGCTCGAACCCGGGACTCCCACATCTCTCTGCAGCGACCCGTGAGCTAGAGAGAGATCTCTCTACAGCCCAGTAGCTGTGGTCCTGCTATCACAGGGAAGGGCGGTGACGTCACCTGCTCTGGTACGCCGGCTCTTACACAGTGCCTGTCGGCCGTAAGCGTTACACTCTCCCCCACTTAAATCGCCGTCCCCGGCGAAGGGCTATCCCATCCCACTACTGACACCAATGTAACGCAACGGGGGCTCAGGCGGGCGCCCTTGCCGCATTAGGTCGGCCCCCCACCGTCAGGGGCTCGAACCCGGGACTCCCGCTTCTCTCTGCAGTGACCCAGCCCTGTGAGCTAAAGAGAGATCTCTCCACAGCCCAGTAGCTGTAGTCCTGCTATCACAGGGAAGGGCGGTGACGTCACCTGCTCTGGTACGCCGGCTCTTACACAGTGCCTGTCGGCCGTAAGCGTTACAGTATTTACTGTAAATATTACCAGGTTCAGTTCTGGATTTGGGAGTTCTGGATTTGTGGAGTTGTTTCAAACCGTGTTAAAATTCCTCCGGGTTTCCTCCTTTCTCTAACAGTCAAAAAAACATACTGGTACAGTAGGTTAAGTGTCTTCTGAGAAAATGGGCACTGGTGTATGCGTGTGTATTTCTGTCTGCCCTGCGATGGAATGGAGTTCCAGACTCCATGTAGTGTACAAGACAAAGGATGAGAAAGAGATGGACATCAACAGAACGTTGTAGCCATGCGCCATCTAGTGGTTACCGCAGGGCCTGCAGGCAAAATGGATTTTGCTCTCTTCTGTCTTCAGTGATTACTTAGCCAAGTAAAGAGCCCAGCTTCTTATAATTTGAAAGTTGTAAAATAATATCAAAACAGCAGTAAATTTATATTGGAGTAGGAGAATTGTATCCAGGCCGCTATTTTTCCATTTAGTTTTTAAGAAAAAAATCTATTTGTGAGTTGCTACAGTACATCACACTGCAACTCACAATTGGCAACCCACTAAAGCTACTGTAAGCAGGTGTGAGTCTGGCAAGCACCTGGATGGGAGACCTGCTGGGAAAGCTAAGGTTCCTGGTGGAAGAGGTGTTAGTGGGACCATTAGGGGGTGCCCTGTAAAGTGCTTTGAGTGGGAGAGAAAAAAAGTGTAAGGATAGTGTATATTTCTTTTTTTGGACTTTGCCAGTAAAACATGTTTTAACTATGTATATGTCTGTGCTGGTTGGGAGAGCTAAGGAACAATTAATGTCACTTTCCATCAGAACTGGTGGATTTATTATTTCAAAAGGAGGTCACACAGGGTACGCATATTTATTATTTTTTTAGAATATTGACTACTATGACATTTGTTAACATCAGACCAAAAAACACCTCATTCTCAAAGGAGCTGCAGAAAAGGTTTAGGAAAGAATTTAAAATGATTACACGGAGTTTACTGAATTCATTGGGTGGCACATTTCATGCAGCCATTGCCTCAAAATGATTTACAACTAAATACTGACATTACCACTTGTTTAATTTTACATTAAAGGAATATGTTCCAGTACTTAAGGTCACTTGTATTCACTATGGTATATGACAGTATAAAAAAATATATTTATCGGTTCATATTTATCTCATGATTACAAGTGCAAATTAATCAACTGTAATGCAAAATAACAGTTCTGAATTTTCTGTTCCAATACTTCTGGAGAAGACTGTAGAATTTTGGAGAAATCTTTCATAAACAAATGAAGGTTTGATTGTGTTTTGTAACTAGTATATGAAGATTTGGAAAATCAAAATATCTGCATAATATTGATTAAGAATAACTTCCCTCTTACAGGTTAAAACTTGTACCCATGTCAAGTCAAAAGAAGTCGAAGAGCAGCCCTATGAGGCCTACAGTGAGGCCTATCAGTGTGGGCATAAATGGTACTGAGATAAAATTGTTGCCGATTACAAATTGCTCCATTGGGACTAGTGCCCACACATTGGGCATCTCTGCCTCTCCTTTGCCATTTGGAGCATCAGATCCAGGAGCGCTGCCTGAGAACAAGGTACTGAAATATACACACCAAGCCAAGGGAAAGCCTATTTTACACATGTAGCCTTCTAGAGGAGGGATGTGGAATGTAACAAAACCAATACGAGTAAAAATATAAGGTCAATAAAAAACAATGGTTAGACAAATGGGTGATAACTCACTCAGAAATGACAAAGATACTTGTAACATGAAGTCTAACATACATTGACTTTAACACTTTTTTATTGACAAATTTGCAATTTAAGTTGGTCTCATAACTACTTCAGTATCCCTACACTTGAGGACAAGTAAATATTTACTTACTGACATAGACAGTAACTTTAGACTTAACTTTATCAAACATGTTTGGAAGTCAAAATGGATCCAATTTATGATGTCCTAAGGTGTGTTTAAGTCATTACATGTTGCTTGTCAGAGAGGTGCATTTATAAAGACGTAGACTCTGAGGAATTATTTTGTGTCAGGGTTAGGGCTGTCAATTAAGGGCCACAAAAAATATAAGAATATTTTGAACACTTAATTCTAAGTGTAACAATAAGATTTGCCACTGCATAAGACATAAGAGCCCTGATTAAAACAAAATCTTATTTGGTAAACCAACTGTTGAAGCTAAGGATCTCTGTCATCAGAATGCCTCTGTGCCTTCAAAATTAACATAACGTACTTATTTCAAGTAGGTAGCTGTGTCAGCATACGAAGCCTGCAAAAGGAAAGGTTTATTCCGTGCTGAAAAGAAAAGAAAAAGCATTCCAGGCTGAAAAAGGCTTTAGAGCCAAAACATTATCTCTTTTCTTTTCAGCATGGAATAAACCTTTACCTGACAAGTCAGATTTCTCCCAGGATTTCCTGAAAAGGGAGTCAAGTTTGCTCCTAGTGTTATACTAGGCTTTGTGCCAGGATTTACTCTTTATTTTGTGCATGTTTTACAACAGAACTCCAATTTGTAGTTTGTTAATTTCCACTACTATGCTAATAAACACATCTACTTATTTTCAGAAGACCTATCAAGATTAATAAAGGGACATTATGAGACACCTCATCCTGATTACGTGATTAGATTTTTCAATCTTGTTTTTATTTCCATTGTTTGAGGGATTATATTGTTCCAACTAAGACTTAGAGACTGTTGATTCTGAAACATAACACTGTACATCTTGAAGTTGCAGTGTAAAGGCAGCAAAAACATTTCATGATGGAGCTTTAAGTACACTCCAAAGTCTTGCCCAGACCACTTGTTTTCAAGGGAGTCCACATCTGAAGGGATGTTGTGTTCCATTCAGCACAGCAGCATTGCCCTGGGTAAGCAATATGAGGAGAAGGTGCGGCCCTGTATTGACCTGATCGACTCCCTGCGGTCTCTCGGAGTGGAGAAAGACCTGGGCCTACCAGCCATCGCTGTCATCGGAGACCAGAGCTCGGGGAAGAGCTCTGTGCTGGAGGCTCTGTCAGGAGTAGCCCTGCCCAGGGGGAGTGGTGAGGTCTTAAATAATATCAACCTTAATGACTAGGACTGAACTAAAACTCGGCCATTCCTACCCCTGGTTTCCTGGATTCGTTACTTACAGGGCTCTAATCACAGTTTCGGTTTACAGGGATTGTAACACGGTGTCCCCTGGTGCTGAAACTCAAGAAAGTGAAAGTAGGCCAGCCATGGAAGGGAAGACTCACATATAAAGAATCAGATGTTGAACTGAAAAGCCCATCAGAGGTGGAGAAAGAAGTTTCCACAGGTTAGGCTGTTCATTATTCACGCCCCTTTTGAAAAAGTGATACAGTAATAATAATCATGGGCAGTTCTATAGCATTGCAAATAGAAAGTATCCATGAACTGTCCTGCTCCTGAGGGATCTCAATTATAAAACAAACCCCAGTGGCATTTGGCCACCCTGGGAATCAGCCCTCTGGCAAAGGCTTGATCTGACCTATGAGCCCCAGTGCTGTAGGGAAAATCCTCACAAACTGTAATGAGCCTCTCAGGAACTTGTATGATCAACAACATGCTTTTACTTTCTTTCAGCCCAAAACGTCATTGCTGGCAACGGGGTTGGGATCAGTGATGAAATGATCAATCTGGAGATTCAGTCGAGTGATGTTCCTGATCTGACACTAATTGACCTTCCTGGGATTGCCCGAGTAGCTATCAAGGACCAACCCAGAGACATAGGAGACCGGGTAATGACTAAAGAATTCAAAAGGCCTTGGGGGTGATATTTGATGCACGCTTAACGTTTGACCCACATGTGCCAAATATTGTCAAAACATCTTTCTTTCACCTCAAAAATCTCACTAGACTACGTCCTATGTTATCGCTAACGGTGGCTGAAAAGCTGATCAACACATTTGTCTTCTTCCAAATTGACTACTGTAATGCTCTACTCACTGCGGTTTCTAAATCCACATTGAACAAACACCAGTATGTCCAAAATGTCCAGTATGCCCAGATAGGTTTTAACCTCCCTAAAAGGTACAATAGGTTTATTCTGTAGATTCTGGTAATAGCACTCATCATTTGTAAACAACTCTGTGAAAAGAAAGTTCTGAAGTTATGGGTTAGGAGTCACAGGGTGCATAGTTCTTGATCATATTTACTGTACAATTTTACTGTACTGTACAATTTTACCAGCCGTTTACTATATCCCCAGATTAAGGGAATGATCCGCAGGTTCATACAAAAACAAGAGACCATTAATCTGGTGGTGGTGCCTTGTACTGCTGACATTGCGACCACAGAGGCTTTGAAGATGGCAAAGGAAGTGGACCCATTAGGGGAGAGGACACTGGGTAAGAACAATGAGCACATTCATCTGTGTTGACTGTAAAACATGTGCAGCTAAAGTAGTAAGACTTCTTTGTGTAAAGAAGTCTCCCCTGTTCTTGGTTCATGTTTCACTATTCATTCTGAAGAAATCAGCTGAGTTGACTTTGTCAGCTCCTTGGAAGATATGGAATACATCCTGATATATTGTATCAGTTATCCGTTCCCCTCATATTCCTCTCTGTTCAGGAATAAATTTTTTAGGGCTTTTACGCTGTTAGTGAAAGACATTCATTTAAGTCCCAGAATATATCTGGGTCCTCTTCTCTGGAATAATTCTAGAGTAGAAAAACCCTTTCTATAAAGCCTGTACTAGGGAGACAAGATTGTATACAGTTTTCTAAATTAGTTCATTCTAGAGAGTTACAGAAGAGTGTTTGACATATCTGTACCACCCCTTCATGTACTGTATATTTTACTCTTTTAACTATACTGTATATCCTAACATTTTGTTTGCTTTTTTCCCTTACATTGTCATATTATTTGTAATTTATTTTACTTCTTCTTTTTAATTGGATCCTGTACACATTCTAGACAATAACATCTCTCTCATCTCACTTTCTCATTTAGGAATATTATTTGGGATTTTTTAAATCTACCTATATCGGTTTCCCCCTACTAAATCCAGAATAATGCACAAAGAATGATCTGGGCTTTAAAACAGGAGTCTAAAATCCCGTTTTTTGGTGTTTGTTACAGCTGAGCTCTGTAAGACTTAACTAGATCAATGATTTAAAGCTCACTATAAAATCCGCAAGATAATGGCTCACCAGGACTAGGTAGAAGAACACTGTTTCAGAGGCACTGTACAATCTCTGCTCTCTCCTGGTTCCAGAGCACATGCTGAGCTTGATCAATCACTAGGTCATGTAACAGGTCTCATAGCTGGTAGGATTAGAATGAATTTACTGATTCCATGCTGCAATTACCTGTAATGGAAATTAGACCTCGTTATTTCTTCAGATATTTGAAGTGACTGTACGATTGCAAAACTGGTGTAATATCATTAGTGGAGTACCACGGGCACTAGGACCTGTACTAGAACCACTGAACCTGCCTTGTGACCAGTTTACTGCCAGTTTAGGTTTAGAATTTTTTACTATTTTTTAATGATGGCAGAATGGTATAGTTATGCAGTAAGTAGATTTTTGAGGACTACAGAAAATCTTGATTGGATCTTTCAGAAATAATTGTTTTTGTCTGTTTTGTTGTTGTTTGCTGAAGGGATCCTTACCAAGCCAGATTTGGTTGATGAGGGCACTGAAGAAAATATTATCAGTATTGTCCATAATATAGTCATTCCTCTGAAGAAGGGTTACATGATTGTGAAGTGCCGTGGTCAGAAAGATATCAATGAACAACAGACACTGGCGGATGCAATCGAGAAAGAAAAGGCTTTCTTTGAGGATCACCCTCATTTCAGGCAAGCAAGCTGCCCATGTGTGGAAAACCAAAATACAATTACAAAACACAGTAAAACCATGCATGATACAGTAGTATGAACATGTATTAGAATAGTTTTAACTGTACTTTTTACTTGTTGTGCATGGGAAATAAAAAAACTGTAGTTGTAAATCTTGAAACATGACTAAAATAGCATAAAATACTGGATATTATTAGAGTTCTGTTCCAGAACAGAGAGAATCAGCAGCCCATAAGAAGAATAACAGCATCCTACGTATATTTCACAGTTTAAAAACTGCTTTTTAGTTTGTGGAGAAAATAATTTCCTCCATCTGATGTTTTGATTCGTCGTGTCAGTTATTTATACAGAATTGCTTACTTGTTAAATAAAGTACCATTTTCGCAAAATAGATACAAAAACAGAGTCACACCTGATTTATATAACAAGATGAAGAAGAAAAAACTACAGAATTCTGCAGCTTTTTTATTTTCATAATCGTTTAAACCTACAACATCATGACAGTTTACTTCTGTTTTGTGGTTCACAGGTCACTTTTGGATTCCAAGAAAGCTACGATTCATTTTCTGGCTGAAAGGCTGACTAAGGAGCTTGTGGAGCACATTAGTGTAAGTTCTGATTGGTCGGTGTGGACCACAATGGACCACACCTTTCAAATGTCTGTTTCAGGTTGTGGTAAGTGTAGTCAAGTGTAGAAATAAAACCCATTTCTGATTATGTGAATTTGCCACAACACTTTCTTCACCTTCTGCATCTCAGTCAAATACTGTACAGTACAGTGAAACAGAGCTTAACTGTCTTGACATCTTAAACATGGACAGATTACAGATGATAATAAAGATAAGGGCTATCATATTATTGTACGTAACATGTTTTTAAATTATTTTTCAATAATAACATGAAGCAGTATACAATAGCATCTCTGAGTTGAGCTTCTCAGTCTGGTTCATTACAGATATATATATTTCTAGATTATGTTTGCTTGCGCAGTGATTTTATTAGTTGTAGGAGCAAATATTTCTGTGACTAAATCTTTGAATTTAATCTTTTTGACTAAATCTTTGAATTTAAGCCTGAAATAGATTTTTACATAGCAGTGAGGAGGCATTCAAAACCAGGTGCACATCAACCATTTTGTTTGACACTACTAAGGAATTAGCTGGGGTTTGCCAAATCTGCCCTTACTTTTGAAACTGTTTTGAAAACATTTTATGAAGACTAGCATCCATTCAGGGGTATATTCTGACCTGTGCCTGTTGCTTGCGGGTATAGGCTGCAGCTAAACAGCAACCCTGTGCTGTATGAAGTGGTTGGAAAATGAATGGTCTACAAAGGGCTCATGGTGATACTTGATGAGGTTGTTTTAATAGTAAGAGTGTGTTTGTGCTGAGAACCTCATGAGTAAAAACATGCCCTGCGTCATTAGAGCTGTCTAGTAAATTGGGGCTTGTCATATCACTTCCAAATCTATACCCTTTACCACCATTTCTTGAGCTTAAGGAAGGTACTTGATTCAACACCCATTCCTGCTCGAGTCATATCTGAAGCAAGTCTTTATTTTCTAGAAATCTCTCCCTCACCTGCAATATCAGATTGAACAGAAACTTCTGAAGACAACCAACGATCTTAAGAAGGTTGGAGAGGGAGCCCCACAGGATGAGAAACAGTTGCTGACTTTCTTGATTGAGGTGAGGGCTGCAGCTGTTCTTTGGTTTCATGAACCTGAAGAAACTACACAATTCCCTACTTTACGTGCACTTAGTGCAGCAGATATTCTGATAACAGAAGGCACTTTGTATGGAACACTCAGCCAAGAAGCAGATACTACTGCTTCTTTCAGAAAAACATCTGATTTGATTACATTCGATTAATCAGCACCTAGAAAAAGCTACATTGGCCGAATGGCCTCTTCTCATTTGTAATAGTTACATTCCAGTTTTGATTGTTTGATATTTGTGTAATTTAAATTATTTCCCCCCCTTTTAGGCTTTTGAGAACTTGTTATACATTATTATGTTCCAGATCAAATGTAGTCACAAATGCGGAATCACAAAAATGGAGAATATCAGGCAATGACCAAGCTGATCAGAATAAGTCAAATAAATGATCATAACCCCCATCTTGTAAGGAGTTTTGCCAAAAATATACCTGAGCGGTTAGTATAGGTAGAAGCACATGCATTCTTTGTTCTCTGGCACAGCTTCGGTGAAAAGAGCAATAATACTTGGTTAAACCAATATTTATTAACAATGACAGGGCCACACACTACACACAACATAAACATACAACACAATGCAAGTTTCCCTATGTACAGTAGACGTTTACAGACAAGGTGTCCCAGAGGCCTAACGTTCTGTCCTAACCATCCAGAAAAAACCCAGACTATTACCAAGTATTCAACTCTTGATGCCTACCAAGACCAGAATAAGAGATCAGCTGAATTCTAAACTAAGTAGACAAACTCTCTCTCTGCAAACCTGGATGCCACAAAATAAATAGGAACTCATCTCTCTATTCTGAAATGCACTCACTAAGCAGGAGAGGCAGTTTTCAACTGAGGGATTCTTCACTCAGGAAATCCAAGTTCCCTAAAAACTACAGAATAACATGGTCTTATGTAAGGTTCACATACTTGTTTTTTTTTAAGAAGCCCTTGTCTGGCACATGCTTTATGTTCTGTGTTGTCCTGTTTCCTCTCTGTCTTTTATCCCAGTCTTTTGATACTCTTTCAATCATTTATCCAAAACTTAACTGAGGTAAACCAGAAGATTCTTTGATCAGTGTGTCTCATACTCAGCACAACTAAATAATCATCCCTCGGCTTGAAGCTCTGAGAAGTGGACATTTTGACACTAGGTGGCCCATGGTGTTTAGATTCTTAGAGACACCTCCATTGTCACCTACTTCAGCCTGTAACATTATCAATGTTTAGGAGATGTACTGTAGTAGTAAAATGGACTCAAAAACAAAATTGTGAGATTGTCAGAAAACAGTAGAAAAGCAAAAAACACATCTAAAAAGGCATTTGGTGTGTGACATTTTGTGAAGGCCTTATTATGCGCTATGGATGGAGCTCTGTCGCCCACTTCTGGGATTCAATCATGGTCACCCATGGGCTCACAGCACCCCTCGCTAGAAAGCACACCCCACTGCACCACACCCAGTCTTATGATGCAGCAGAAATCTACACTAAGCTTAGAGAGGGTGATGTCACTCCTATAAAATGCTTAGTACCACTTACACCAATATGAATCATATTAATGGCCAAAACCTCATTCTCAATTATCAAGTGCCTTTTCTGCATTTGCATTTGTTTTTCTCCATCTACATAAGAACTGCAAAAAAATGTTGGGTGATTGTAACTTATAAAAGGTGTCACATATTATCAGAATCAGATTGACCTTTCAGAAAAGCCTTCTTGTCATGATGATTACATGTAGGTGGTATAAGTACTGTAAGTTTCAATCTAGTTAGGATTTTTAAGGAAAGAAAGTTTATAAAATTGAATATAAAAGACCTAATTTGACTCCAATCCCATTTGCTTTAGCTCAATTACAACACTTGACATTTTTGGTCTTTGAAATTGAGCTTCTACCTTCCAGCTTCTTCAAAGTTACAAGATAATGTAAGAGCCCCATCTGTTTAGTAGTTGTGTGGCAGAACTGCAATGGTTTTAGACTTTAGAGGTTTAGAGATGTACAGTAAGTAGAGGCCCTTGCAGATGTTGATCTGCACATGATTCAAGAGCGCATCGTTCTACCATTACTCAATAGAACCTACATGTTCGAGAGAAGGAACAAGGATGTACTGTACATGACAAAGTCTCTAGCATTCAGCTGAGTTAAGACTAATCTAACATTAGATGAGTGTCCTATATTCAATGCATTTTTGGGATATAGTTACATTCTGGAAACTGCAGATCCTAGATACTTCCATTCAAAGATATTTAGGGTATTAACTACGATTACTCGAAACTGTCAGGTAGGAAAATTAACCAATGGTTGTGCAAGAATGAGCAGTAACTCTATAGTGTTTATTTTGATATTTGTGAATATCATTTCTGAGATGGTTCTCTTGAAGGAAGGCTACACATATCTGTCCATAACCGCTAGGCCAAACTCAAAAGGCCATCAGCTTCTGTAGGTTTCCAGTTACAAGATGTAAATACACCTACAAGCCCATTAAAATGAATTTCATATGTGTGGCCATGCAGGAACGGTATAATAAAATTAAACAGAACCGCACCACCATCAGGATATTTCTATGCTAAAGTTAAAGCTTATCAGGGCAGAGTTTAACCCAGCCAGCAGCCATGTCACCCAGCAACTTACAACTAGCAACCCACTGAAGCTAAGCAGCTGTGAGCCTGGTCAGTACCTGGATGGGAGACCTCCTGGGAAAAACTAAGGTTGCTGCTGGAAGAGCTGTTAGTGAGGCCAGCAGGGGGTGCTCACCCTGCGGTCCATGTGAGTCCTAATGCCCCAGTATACTGACAAGGACACTATACTGTAAACAAGTGCCGTCTTTCGGATGAGATGTAAAAGCGAGGTCCTGACTCTCTGTGGTCATTAAAAATCCCAGGGTGTTTCTCGAAAAGAGTAGGGGTGTAACCCTGCCGTCCTGGCCAAATTTCCCATGCCTCCTAATAATCCCCCTCTATGAATTGGCTACATTACTTTGTTCTCCCCCCTCCAACAGCAAGTGGAGTGACCTGCCGGTCGCATTTAATGGCAACGTCAGCTCAAAGATTTGGTTCAAACCATTAAATGGAGATGGGCGTGCCGACAAGCGGACCCTGCTGATGCAGGATTAACACTAGGATGAGAGAGGACAGAGTTTAACCCATTTTCCATAGATAGAGAAAGAGCATGACTTCAGCTAGAATGGGACCTTTATACAGTATACAGCTGGGATTGGAGTAACTGAGGTAAAATTCATTGACCAGAGCAGGGACTTCCACAGCCCTCCAGTGATGAATCCAGGAGCCAAAGCTACTACATGTATGTCATGCTGTCCTTTATACAGAAACACTCCAAGCAATTAAAGTAGAACATAAAACTGAGCATAAAGGCACGAACTTCCAGGTTCAGAGACAGGGTGTCAGATTATTGAACTCTGCCCCTACCACTGACTCACACTGCTGTTTTTTTCTCTCCTCACACTGTTTGTCTGACTTGTTTTTTAAGTTGTATGTTATTTAACTTGTTGTTATTGCTGTTGCTGCTGCTGCTGCTGTTTTTTGTCAATGTTTTTGGTGATTCCTTAATGTCTTTGTATCTGTGCATACCTGTACATGAAATTAAGCATTTCATGACGCTTGTGCATATCTGAAATAAACTGAACTGGACTGCCCATCAGAATACCTTTGTTCCATCTTGTGGAGCTAAATTATGTCAAAACAAATTCAAGGATACCTTCCAACAGCCTGAGGTATAGTATTATTCAGAAAGGAAAGGACAAAGGAGAAAATGAATCCCTAATTTAGTAGAACTGTGTATCGGAGAGCCATGGCAGCTGCCCACGTGAGCTATTAAATGAAGGGGTAGTGTCGCCAACCGTGGCCTGCAAGGTCAGAGGCTGCTTTTTGGCCTTCTTACTCGTGGTTTTGAGGGAGGAGGTTCCAAGCACCAGTACTGATGAATCTGATTTCAGCTTTTGCCCCCCCACATTCTATATCCTCCCACTTCAAGAGCCCAGAGGTGAGGGGATGAGGCAGGATGTGAGAATTATCTATTCACATCATCGATATACTGAAGTAGTCCTTACCATTGCATTTTCATTGCACGTCTAGATTTTCTTTCTTAATAGAAGACTGCTGTCCTGATCTCCAGGACTCTTATTCTGGAGCTGAGGAAACAATCTGTGGAACACTGTCCACAAATGGGTAATTGCAGGTCCTTTATTCATGCCGCGAACTGTGGACAGAGCACCAAGCCAAACTCTTAGCCTTAGCAAAGGTTTGCCGGTCAGTGGTCTTGTCAATTATTGCCTCTATTGTCATTTTGATTTCTAGAAAATTCGGAGATTCAACGATGCTCTGTCGGAAGTCACCCGGGCCGAGGAAAGTGTGGAGCCTGAAGAAGGCCGGCTTTTCACCAAAATCCGAAAAGAATTTGTGAAGTGGAAACAGCACCTGGACAAAAAGGCCAACAAATGTGGGCTGAAAAACCACCTCACCTTTATTTCACTTCATTTTAAGTGCGAGGTTTTCCGCAGGCAGGTTGTCTTATTTCCTCTTCGCTCTCCTGTTTTTCCCGTTTCTAGTGGAAGATCACCTGCGGGATGAGGTGGAGGAATATTCCAGGACATACAGGGGCAGGGAGCTTCCTGGGTTTGTGAACTATAAGACATTTGAGGTCATTGTGAAGCAGCACATTGAAGACACGAAGGAGCCTGCTCTCCATGTCTTGAAAAATGTTACAGGTGAGAACATTGGTTTTTGCCTTTATCAAACATAAGGCCTGCACAGACAGAACTAATGACCTCCAAATATCAAAAGAGTGAACCACATACACTTTCCAACCCCTCTATTACAGTAGAGTCATCAGCAGTCATCCACTTTAGAAATATATAAACCACAGCTGTTATCTTTACATGGAAACCAAAATCATTTACAGTTAACTCTCCACTTACGCGGATGGCTTTGGAAAATAAATATTGAAAAAATGCATATACCGTCATGTTATTTTCTTTTTTTTACCTTGTGTGTACTTATTTTTAATATCTTGAATTACCATAAGAGGTTAGTAGGGTTTTTTATAAAGGGTATAGGGTAAAATTTGACTATACGCAAATTTGGTTTTACAGGCTACTCAAAAAAGTTAAGAGTTGACTGTAATGAGAGAAATAGCATTGCAGTCATTAATTTCAGCACCTTATAATGGTGTCAGTCACTAGCTTTTCTAAATACTCATCTTACTTTACAACAAAGCCTACATTTTGTTTCCTGAAATCCAGTTAGATGCTGTGCATTGTTTTTTTTTAATCACAGAAATCATCCATTCTGCTATTACCACCTTTGCCACCAATCACTTTCAGGCTTTTCCAAATCTGTTGAGAGCTACAAAGGTATTGTACCCTCACATTCTGTCTGATGGTATTTACAGTATGTACAGTATCTCTTGGTGATCCTAAATATGAATCTAACATTTACTGATTTAAAGTGCTCTCTGCCCTAATCTAGCAGAAACTTAATCCACTGGAGTAATTTTATTTATTCTCTATGATGAATCTGTTTTGTTTTAGCTTTCTGTGCTATTGTGCAAATTCTAGTGTTAGAATTAACATGGTGCACTTCAATAACCTTAAATGCCAGACTGTGTAGTTAACTAAGAACAGAAGAATGCTCACAAATGAGAGGCTCTTTACTCCATCTTGCTCCTTGGTTTCTACTGAACATTGATCTAGCTCCTTTGGGTTTAAATTATATCACTCAGCTATGTCCTGAAAGAAGCCAGGGTACCTATCAGTCCTATTGTCAATATTGCATTCAGACTTTTGTATAATAGTGTAGTAGGGTTGTGTGATGGGGAATTATCACTGTAGAGGCACAAACTGAATTCCATTGTTCTACAAGGTGACCATCATAAGCAGGAATTAAATGTTTTTTGAATGCCTTGCCTCACATGGCCTTTTTTAATAATATTTTGAGCAGTCACAGCACCCAATCACACACATGTTAAAAGATACCTGATAAGAGGTATGAGCGTGGTGTTGAGCGGACCAGATTTATTTTACAATGCTTTGGCTGCAAATCTAGGGTTTATCTCATCTTTACACAGGGATCTTTTGTTTTGAAGATAACACCCATCTCAAAAAGACTGCAAGGAGAAAAAAAATTAAAGGGTTGATTCTGAAACCACTATTTTGAAGAATTTGTTTTTCTCACTCCACTTTTTTGAAGCCCCTAAATTTATTTTATATCTTAAAATATTTCTATTTATTGGAAATATCTTGGTGTGAGCAGATGATCCATAAATAATAGGTTAATGAGTGATATGGAAAAGCACTTTAAAATACATGTGATGGCTAATGGTTGTTTATTCACACTTGAAGGTCTATGTTGAAGACCTACGGGAACATGAGGAAAAGATATCTATTGAAATGGTGCGGCACCAGTTTGAAATGGAGAAAATGGTCTATTCCCAAGACTGTCTCTACAGCTATGAACTAAACACAACCAAACGTAAACCCGTCTTCCCTTCAACAAACGCTGACCTTCGGGAGATGGCTTATCACGTCAATGCTTACTTTAAGGTAGAGAATGTAAGAGAGTGAGGGATGCAATGGGAAGTAGTTAATACAAATTGCATTTTTTAAAGTGTACCCTTTTTTTAAAATTAGCAACAGAGACCTCTATTAAATTTAAATGAATATTAAAGTTAAAGTAATATGCATTCTGTTCTTACTGTTCCTGGTCCAGGACAAGTGAGAAATTATCAGCTTACTTTTGGCTGAACAACAATTGTATAAAACAAGCAACTGGATGTCTTATGATTCTGCTAGCATGGGATATTGGAATGTACTGTACCATTGCTGAAGTAACTGTGGTTAGTTTCGTATAAGAATGTGTGTCATCGATTTATCTACTATTAAAAATACTTCAGTAGTTTTTAGCATATAAATCTCAAACCACTGCACATAGAAAACAAATTACAAATGCAATATAAAATTAAATCATAAGCACACAGCGTATGTACAGTATTAGAACAGAATACTACTTTGATAAGACATAATATCACACCCGTAAAGAATCCAAAGTTGAAAATCCTTGCTTTCTTGCACTTCTAGATTGCCTCTGATCGTCTGGCCAACCAGATTCCACTGATCATCCAATTCCACATGATGGAGCAGTACATCAACAGGCTGCAGACGTCCATGCTGGCGCTGATTGGGAACAATGGAGAAACCAAAATGGCCAGGCTGCTTTATGAGAATAAAGACATCACCGACTCTAGGCTTGCTCTTCAGAACCGCATAGAGCGCCTCAGAAAAGCTCAGCAACACCTCTCCAAATATGTAGTCATTTTTTGAAGCCTGAAGCATAACCACTCCAATCTGTTATGTACCATTACAAGGAAAAATGTTCTGCTGTCATTTAATATTTCCTATTGCTTTTAATTATTAAGTGTAGCAACATTTAAACTACATAATAGTCTAATGTATTTCAGAGAATTAAAAATGTGAACGTTTTGTAACTCTTAATGTGACTGCAAAGATCTTAAGATGTAAAATATTACTTGATGTTTTTTCCTCTTGTATTCCTCTAACTCATTGCTTCTTAGGAAAGAAGAGCCTGGCATTCTTAGCATTAATAATGTTCTTTATAGATGTTTTGGAATAAAGGGGGACCTTCCTCTTTCAATCTCGTTTTTTCTCCTAGGAGCAGAAGAACAGATAAGTGTGCAAGTTTCTGTGAGTAAAAGTTTCTCTGAATTTCTGGAAAGTTCTGGATGTTAGCAGCAATAAATTTATTTTATTGCAGTGGCACGTGAAAGAGTCAAATTGTGACATTAAGACAAGACTGCAAGGTGGTTGAAAATATAGAACACCCCAATTCTGTTATTTGAAGCTAATTTGCATTGGGAGGTTAATACTAATGAACTCTATTCCTTTTGTATTTGCCAGATTCCTGCTCACTTTTACTGTAAACTTTTAATATCTGAAATGAACACGGTCTAGCCCAAGAATACTCCTGCTATCATCCAAATTGTATATCTCGAGCTATGGTGGATATTTAATATACATTTTTATTTAGTGCTCATACATGGATAATATAGTATGTTACAGTCACAATCAATGCATTTAATTTTAGAATCTAGGCCGAAATAAGTGCAGAAATATTGTAAAATATGCCATATTGTAGTGAATAATATTGAAACATACAATACATTTAAAAAGAATCTTAATGCAAGTTAAAAGCCTGCATCCGGAAAGTGCTATGTAAAACATTTAAACCATGTCTAGAGCAGGGTTCTCCAACATTGGCCCTGGAGAGTCACAATCCAGCAGCTTTTGTAAAGTATGTCACTACTCAGTTTCTAAAGACTATGCAGAATTTCTCTTTGACCAATTAAGCAGATAATATGTTCAACTAAGCAATTTAGAGATGATTCGGGACTAAAATCCAAGACCCCTTCAGCCCTCAAGAAATAGACACCTTGCACAGATCACATACTTAATTGTTACTTAATCAGTAACACACAGTAGATCCCAATCTTTAAAGAAGTTGACCTAGAAGAGTAACTGAACTGGGGTTCCCCCACGACCAGGGTTGAAGAACAACAACCCACATTATGCTACACAGTCAGTGTAAAAGTGATGGAAATGATGTCACAGTTCTTGCTCAGTTTTTCCATTTTTGTGTCTAGAGCTGCAGCTGATTGTATCATAACCAGTACCTGGAATCATGCAGTGGAAATAGCTTGTTCAAAGCGCAAACCGGGAAGAGGTTTAATTTAAAATAAAGTATCCTCGATCACAAGGTGGTGCTGTAGAACTAAAATCGATCTTAACACCGCCTATCGTAAAACCTTTCTGCTCTCCTCAGGTGTGAGAAGGGTCTAAAACAGAAACGTTGTTTCTTTTTCTTTTTTTTTTTTGTTTCTACTTTTCAGTAGGAAAATAACCTCTACTTTTCAATTTGCAGCTCACAGATGACGCGGCTCCCAACTTTACCGTATGTGCTCGCATAGAAGCGCAACGGCAGAAATAGTTATTTTCGAGACTAGTTACTGATAATAACTCCTTACACTTATATAGCGCTTTTCTGGACACTTCACATACACTCCCCTCCACCAACACCAATGTGCAGCCCCGCCTGAATGATGTGACGGGAGTCATAATACGCCAGAACACTCATACACTCAACATGGATAAATTTACCATATTGCCCAATGGACGTCTGGATTACTAGTCACATTCTTTCTTTTTCTCACATAGGTTACGAAACGATTGTAAATCTGGATTGTATTACAATACTGGATTATATTTTACAGTCATTCTTTTATTTTGGTTACTTGAGAAAAACAACATTTGAATAATCCCTAATGTTAAATGCTTGGCAGTCAAAAGGTAGTTCAAATTATCGTTGTTTTACGGTAGCCAGTTCGCAGGTCAAACTACACTTCATCTTCCAGGTTACAGAAGCAACTTTATTTTTTATCTCAATTTTTGTATTTAAATCTTTCCAGAGATAATAGAGATATGCAAAAAACACACTTTAATCATATAAAATGTTTTTTAAATCAAATAATGACCGGTCCCATGGGCTGTGTGAGTTGTAGTGTGTGTGCTTGCGTATGGAGTGACGCACTTGTGATCTCGGGAGTCTGCTGCGTGTTGAATTTAGCAGATTACAAATTACATGATTTATAAACAAAAGGACAATGCTTGCTGCGAGGTCCACTGTCTGCAAGTCTTTCCTCTCCTATCTGAAACCCCAATCAGTATGCGTGGGGCTATTTCACTCCACTACCAATTATAGGAGCGCTAAAGTAGCGGTTGTAAGTATAGAACTTCAGTTGTTGGCAAGATTGTCTTGTGCTGTTTGTTCACTTTATTTTCAGTCCCCCCCCAAAAAAAAACGTTCTCTAGTCATTTCTGTTTTATCACTGTAATAAAATCATCCTTAAAAAGAAGATTCAGCTTTCCGAAAACGTCCGTGCATGGCTCCATTGAACAGTTAAATAAAAATAGTAATAGTCCTTTGAAATTGTTACCATCAGGTGGCCAGTAATCGCCGGGATTGAATTGATAAAACTATAGCTACAGCCCCCGTTCTTCCTAACGAGAGTACCATAACAATTTAGCTTTTTAAAACAGAGCCAATTTGCAGACGTTGATAGAAAAATAAAATTGAGTGCGAGTTTCACACTTAGTTTAGATAGGGAATTTCTGCAGCTGCAGACGCAATGCGGTGGTGATTAGAGAATCTTGATTTTCAGAACAGGACTTCACAACGAATTAGTTTTAAGCAGTGGAATTGATGGCACAGTACACTCTTGTTTTAAGGATAAGCGCGACTGTGTTCATGGTTGTAACAATTGTGTTCACCTCAGATTCAAATTCAAATTCTGCAATATTGGATATTGTCAAGGACACTAAACGCACTTCCAGTTGAGTTGTCCATAGCTACTAGGGGCTGTCATGTAATACGTTGTTCATGCAATCAAATGATCATCTTGTAATTACAAATGGTGCCATATTAAAAAAAAACTAAAAAGAAGTTTCACAAATCCAAGCAAGGCTGTGAAAGGTCAGAAGGCCTGCCTAGTGTGTAAAACGCGTGGTTACGACATTGTGAGTATTGTGGTGAAAAAGCTATTGACTCAAGAGCACCCGCCTATCCAAGTACATTGTCTGTCTAAGTTCGCGTTATTAAAAAATCCTCAAAAAAGAAAGTTTCACAAATCAAAGCAAGGCTATGAAAGGTCAAAAGGCCTGGCTAGTGTGGTTTTGCCGAAGCTATAGACTCATGAAGAGCATCCCTATCCCAGTATATTTAATGGTGCTAAATTAAAAAAGAAATCACGAGAAACAAAAGCTTCACAAATCAAAGCATGGCCATGAATGGTCAGTCTTCTGTGTAAAACTTTTGGTTTGAACATCATGGAGGCTGTTTCCTGCTGTAAGTAGTATTGCGTATGCAGTTGACCCTTACCTGAAAGAAAACAGAACATAAAGAAAAGGTTTCAGAAATAAAAAACAAACTTTAATCCCAGACGTTACAGGTTGGATAATTGGAGGCTACTTTGAGTTTGTCTCTGTGCTGTTCGGCTTCCTTTGGTTATATGCATGTTGCTCGCATGGACACCTATTGAGCAGTATTTCTCGCATTGTCAATTTATATACACAGTGGTCCCGCAGTTTTCCGGTTGGTGCATAATTGTGCATCAGTCAGAATACAAAGGTTTATTAAAAGGCTACTAGCTGACTGCTAAGTTTAAGTAAAGGTTGTGAAAAGTTTGCACAAATTGTAGTTTTTTAAATGTGTTTGATTTGAAAGCTTTATGTGTTTTCTTTGCAAAGGTATTGGCATCAGAATATTCCTGTGTGGGGGAAACTAGCGTTAAAAAGAGAAAGTGAGGGCTGCGAAAACATTCACAGATCACTTTATGCACAATGCAGGTGTTTTCAGAACTGTAGGAGGTTTTGTGAAAATGCTATTGACGTTCCAAAATGCATATCGAACTTGGAGCTAAGTTTACTGCGGTTGATCACTGAACTGACTGAACGTTCCTTTGTGCCAGAAATTATGGTCAGAATTTAAGAGTCTAAATGTATGAAATGGTAGAGAATAAACAGAGATGGCGTAGTTACTGAGATACAGATACAGTCATTGAATAAATCCAGCAAGAAAAAAGCCAGTTCTGTGCTTCTTCCATATGGAGGTGCTACAAAGATGTCTCTTTCCTCCAGGTCCTATCTGGGTGTGGGGTGTATGATGGGACAGAAATACACGAAGCCTCTGCGTAAGTTTTGTTATATGCACAAAGTAAAAATACAGTATAAGATTATCATTATTTAAAATGTTTTAACATTGTTAGGCGCTGAAATAGAAACCTACTGTATATAAATTATTGCTCTATTCTAAAAAAAAGATACCTTGCCACTCGACAACATTTCATCTCCTTCCAGCTGATTTCCCATTTCGTTGAATTACAAAGGATGTATATACATTTTTAAAAGCAATCTTTTTGTAATCACAACATGAATGTTTAAGGGGTGGCACATTTAGTGTTGCTGTCTCACAGCTCTAAGGCCCCGGGTACAGTTCTGGACCTGAGGTGCTATCCGTGTGGAGTTTGTCTGTTCTCCCTGTGTCTGTGTGGGTTTCCTGTGTGTGCTTCAGTTTCCTTCCCCAGTCCAAGGATATATTGGTAGGTTAATTGGCTTCTGGGATAATTGGCTCTGGTGTGAGTGTGTGTGTCTAGTGTCTCTGCCCTGTGACGGACTGGCGTCCCATCTAGGGTGTATTCTGACTTGCGCCTGTTCTCTCGTCGTGAGAGGCTCTGGCTCCCCCACAAGCCTGAATGAAGAGAAGCAGTTAGAAGATGGATGAAAGAAGTTAACTTTCAACAAAAACTGCAAAAGATAAAAATCAACTAAAATTTGTTGAGTGCGTAAGCATTCTCACACTCGAGTCAGTACTACATTTACAGCTGTGAGTTTTTTCAATTAGATCCTTTTCAGTCACAGATGACTCATCCAGTCCTGATGGTACACTATGTTTGCATTGGACTCAAGCTAGAGTATTCTGGCAGGGAAAAAGCCACTATAGTGTAGTTTTTTTATTGGGGCATATTTTATTAGAGTTCTTAAAGTGGACATGTCTGCAGAAATACGAGGTTGAGAATGAACCAAACAGAACCGGTCTGTGACCGGCTCATAGGCTACAGAATTCGGAGAAATGTTGTGGAAGTGTCGTTCTGTTGCTGTTTTTTAGCTGTGCAAAACTGCTGCATCAGATTGAGCCTGATAGAAATAATATGGATTTGCTGTATAAAACACAGTAACAGCTTATTGGCAGAATAAATCAGAAACCTGCTTCTTTTTCTGGTGGAAGACCCATTTTGAAGCACAGCAGAGAAAAAAATGGATTGTTATGATATTTTTGATGAGGATGGAAGAAAATGCTTCTGTGTATATTTATTAACAGTTATAAGGTCAAAAACAAAACAAAAAAAAAAACAGCTAAAAGCCCAGAACTGAAAGATGTTTTTCTTATGCTTGTATATGTGAGGCCTGTTTGAACCTTACTGAATGTCTGCGTGTTGATTTCAGAAATATAGTTAACATCTAAATTTGAAGATCCTGAAGCCTCTTTAGATTAGTGATTTGCCACACCTTCCTGCTGAGATGTGGGAAAGTTGCTGTCAACAAGTAATTGAATGTGAGAGCAATCCTGGGAAATGCCTCATGCTATAGAAGAGCAGAAAATTGGGAGATTATTATTACTTTCAGAGGAAATGGCAGTGACTCGAGTTCTGAGGGTATTGACAATATAGAATGTCATGCCAACAACAGTGATAAGATTATATGCACACAGTTTCCTTGGTTACACTAAAAGGCATGTTTGAATAATAGCTCATTGAAATCCCCATTAAAGTACAAATTGGAAGCAGACAGATTTTATTTTTATGTATGATTTGATTTTGCTGTCTTGTAACAGAATGGTTCTTTAGACTGAACATAGTCCATTTTCCATTTGACACAAACTTCTCTCTTCAGGATTCTGGTTCACCTGAGTAGGAGTGGTGCAGACGTGCAGATGTATGCACCAGACGTGGTGCAGATGCATGTCATTGACCACATCAAGGGCCAGCCTGCAGAGAAAGAGACCAGGTGAGGGGAATCATGTGACAGGTATGTGTGATAGCAACTTGCATGTGGAAGTCTGGAAATGGCTATCCAGCCAGTGGTTGAAGCCGACATGCTGGGTCCCTCCAAGAAGTGGCTGCATGACATACAGTATAAACTACATACAGGCAGATGTACTTAATGGTTTTCTCTCATTTGTAACCTTTCTTATATTCTTATGAAGCTCTGGCCACAAAGCCATGTGCCTCTTTGCCAGCAGAACACTCAGAATCACAGCTTTGATGTGGCAAGAGTGGATGGGATCCATTGTAGATTTTATGAACTCTGAAGTTCTCTAGTGATTTCTCCATCTTAAGGCTCGTGGAAAATAATCTTTAATGTTTCATTATTCTAGCTGAGACTGCAACATGGGCCTTATTTTGAAAAGCAAGAAAACTTGACTTTAGATTTACAGTATGACATAATATAATGAGAATGGAAGAGGAAGCAGTGGGGTAAAATGAGTTCACATCAGAGCAGTGAGAGGGGTAGAGGTAGGGACAAACGAACGTTTTATTAAGAATGTTGCCGGTAGTTTTCAATCTTCTCATTTTGTTTCAGATATGTCTGCTGTGTTTGTTGCTTAAGATCAGAGCAGAAGGTTGAATAAGAGATAAATGAGCTGTGGGTACCTGCTGCTTTAAGTTAGTAGCTTATAAACCGAAGTCAGGTTGTGACTTACCTGTATGTAATGTACTGTACCATTTCGGAGACAGAATACAGGCTCACTCTAATTCATGATGTTATGGCTTCTGTGCTCTCCTGTTTACACCTGTGTATTTTCTCACGACAGACATGTGCTCTCCGAGTCGGCTCGTATTGCCCGAGGGAATGTTGTGGACCTCGCTAAACTGTCTGCTCAAAATCACGATGCGGTCATCTTCCCAGGAGGTTTTGGCGCCGCTAAAAACCTGTAGGTACACATTCGTTTTTGGATTGTCTTAATGTTGCAGGCCTGCAATCCTTAGATCTGAAACGCATCTTTTGAATTAATCCTGTAGCTGAATTTGTGTGAGTTTCATTTGATTTCCAGTGTTCATACCTTTGAAAGGCATGTTTCATGTTCTATGTCTGCGTGGTATTAGCTATGACATTTCTAAAAAACCCTCGACTCATTGAGCAGGTGTTCCAGTGTTGGTTGATTGAGACTGTTTTTACTTTTAGGGTGGAAAATATTAAAGTTTTGGAATCTTCATTTGTTTTGTCTCCTGCCTATATATGTACTGTATATATGCGATACACATATATCAAGTATGATACTCTTGAGAGTTTTAAATACACAGTCCTTGGTAAGAGCACTTGTTTTGCTTATTTGATTTGCAGGTCAACTTTTGCAGTCGATGGGAAGGACTGCAAAGTCAACAAAGACGTGGAGCGAGTCCTGAAAGACTTCCACAGAGCTGGAAAGCCCATTGGGTTAGTGTCTTTTCTTTTAAGCCTGTAATTTCAAGAGTCCAGCTGAAATGTAGGTTGATTGTTTTATAGCTGTCTTATAGGTTTTATACAGTCAATGTCACAGCAGGGATTGGGATATATGCTTTCTGCAATGAAGTTGGTCCAATATGGGTGACAGCAGGTTTGGTAAGTGTTTCTGTCATCTGCTTCATGGATGTACAGTGGAAGAATCATTCCTGCAGCATGATGCTCTATACAGTATGTTGGCAAGTTGCCCTGCTGCTTTTCTAACACAGTATTTACTTTATATGTCACTGTGGGTAAGTAGTAGGAATTGAAGTCATGTCAGATGGGTTGGCCTCACTGTGTGAATGTGGGTTAGCTGGGAGCAGCAAGTTTCTATACTGTATGTGTCAAGGCTGACAGAGTAAGGAAGAAGCAGATGGAAGTTGATCAAGAGCAGAAGTTGATATGGGTTAAGTGAGGCACTCGCAGACTGTGGGGGGCTAGGGTTGGCAGTTAGACACAGCTGGTATTTGACAATATTTTCATTCTATAAACCATCTCATTTGGGTAGTAAAACCAGAGATATGATGATAGTTCTGCAATCAGCTCTTCCCAGAGTTGTCAACGGAAAGGAGCAAGATATTCCATTTCGGCACTGGCAGAAGCAAGATAAAGTATACCACCAAATTGTTGAAAGGTTTTCCTGATTCATTTTCCAAAGTATTGTTGAATACATTCAGGTGGGTAGCTGCATCAGCATGCGAAGGCTGCAAAGGAACAAGTAATAGGTTTATTCCACTCTGAAAAGAGATTAAAGAAAACACAATGTTTCGGCTGTGGAGCCTTCTTTGAGCCTTCTTCCTTACACCCGAAGAAGGCTCCATAGCCGAAACGTATTGTTAAATAATATGTTGAAGATATAACGAGAGCAACTGTCCCAGTTTTGAAGATATAACCTTGTGCACCTGTGAGAGTAGGAGGCTGAAGGGTTTGAGTTTGACCTGTCGTGTTCCTGTTGCTCCAAGCTGTGGAGTGTTAGTTTGACATGGGGTTTTCCTGTTGCCGCAGGCTGAGGATTGTGAGTGTTTTGTGTTGTGTCCCTCTCCCTCCAGACTGTGCTGTATCTCCCCTGTCTTGGCAGCCAAGGTTCTTCCTGGGGTGGAGGTGACTGTGGGGCATGAAGAGGAGGAGGGTGGGAAATGGCCGTACGCTGGCACAGTGCAGGCCATCAGGGCATTTGGAGGAAATCACTGTGTGAAGGAAGTACACATATCCTTTAATCTTTCTTTCAGAACTGAAGAAGCTTTTTGAGAAGGCCTCCTATCCACTTGTTGTTGATTTTTGGTGTGAAACTGTAGTAATACTGTGTATTTTATCTTGTGAAGCAAATTTCAAGAATCATCATAATTCATTTGAGTCAAATTATGGTATAACTCCATGTTTATTAAAGTTCCTGAAGTTCCACTTGTTTGTAGAAGGTAAGTATAGTGTTTAGTAATTACTGCTTCAGTTTTCTTTTTTCTAATTGCAGGTTATACAGTATTTATTTGGGTTGTATGAGTCACAACTAAAGCTTTTTTGGATCCTCTTATTAAAATATTCAAGGTGATGACATAGCTGAAGCATGTGTGCAGCCGTCTCTTACAGCTACACAGGTGGCCATTACTGATAGGGGTTGTGCATTTTTCTTTGACTTCTGCATCTTATGCTTTTTGTGAAAACAATTGGATAAATATCTACACAAATAACTTATTTCCAGGGTAGGAAAAACTCTAGATCAACTGCATCAGCTGGTTCACTGCAAAGTTTTGAAATTATAGTTTAAATTATAGTCTTTAACAGAAATATCAACTTAAAAAAATGTGTGGTTTCAGCTTTGCAGCATCTTTATGTATCAAAATAGTGCTCAAGAAATGAAAGATGCATTGTAGTTCCTAGAAATGCCTAAAGAGGACTTAACAGTACCATTGTAAAACTAAAACAGTTTGTAGTGAACCTTTACATGTAAGAATACATTTCTCACCAGTCTTAGACTGAATGCTGGCATAAAACATTCTTAGTTATTTGTATTTAATATATTGAAGTTATTTGCTTATCCTAATTGGGGGCTTTTTATATTACCCCAAAAAATCCCAGATAGTATCCCCAGGTTTAAAGCTAAATGGTCATAGAAAGAGTTTTGCTCTGTGAGTGCAAGGATCAGGGTTTTCACCTTAACAGCCTAAATACGAAGCTCATGTGGATAAGAAGAACAAGATCGTCACCTCCCCAGCGTTCATGTGCGACACCCATTTGCACCACATCTTCGATGGCATTGGAGCCATGGTGCAGAGCGTGCTGAAGCTGAGTGGGAAATGATACTCTTCATTTACAGCCTGGGTTGGCAGATGAGCACAGAAAGCTGGCTTTGAAAAATTTCAGAGCTTTACAATGATCAGCAGTATTTTCAGGGTTCTCAGCTTCTGATTTGCTTTCTGGCTGATTTACACTTCTTAGGTTACAAAGGGTAGTTGCGAAGCCATGTCCAGGATTGTAAGAAAATTGTAACAAAAGTAAGATCAAATCGGAACTGTATGAATTTGTGATTACAAGATTGATATGAATGATAAGTTTAATGTAATGTACGTTTTATTTTTGGGTAATTCCATCCATCCATCTGGAACTGGCTCACTTGTATGGATTAAATATGTATGTATTTATGACTACACAAATAAAAAAAGGAAATTTCAAGGTGAAAACATTTCTCATTAAAAAAGTGTTCTTTTTTTCCCCTAAAGTAATATTCTTATCTTTCACATGTGAAGTTCAGGTAGTTAGAAGGGGGAGGCACATATAGAACATGTAAAATTTAAAGAAACTAGAAAATTACCTGTTGCTCAGCACAGAAACCTTAAGCTGTGTATTAAATGGCTCACTTTTGTGTTTATAAAATGTAGGATTAGATAAGGGACATAAGATTGGTTACAAATGAGAGGATATAAGCATTTGGTGAATTTAGCTTGTTGAAGTCAGTATCTGCTATATTAAATTCAAGGATCTCTCCCAGCTGTGTCTTGAGAAGAAGCCAAGGTACTAATGTCAACAACTTGGCATGATAGAATGTTCCAGACCCCCACAACCCTTTGGGCAAAAAAAATGCACAATTCTTGTTAATAGTATAACACTAAACACAAAAGATGGAGATTTGGCAGCTTTCTAATCAATTGTTTGCTGCCATGGAACAACTTTCCTCCTGGTGGGGAAATAAAGCCGCATCTTCAAAAATCTTTCAGGCACTTCCAGATTTCTAATACTGTATTTAAAAATGGCCGTGAATGTCAAAAACATGAGTAAACCGCTTTTTCTGGTTGTTAACAACCTTTGCCCCTACTATGTTTGCAGCTGGGCTGGTGAATCATAGTGGAAGAGTTTGTATTTACTCTTAGTATATTTTAGAACATTTTGTTTTTTTTTAATGTACTTATATTTGGCTGAATTGTAATTAATATATGTGCTAGTACTTCCATGCACATTTAAGGTTTCCTTTGGGTTTGGTGCATGTGGTTTCCAGACCACAAGAGGGAGCTGCGAAAGCAGGCATGAAGCCATCAGAATATTGCATCCTGGTGTGTATTTCTGCTTCTGAGTGTGGTTTTGGTTTATATTGTAGGTGCATAGGATAGATGGAGCTTCAATATGCAAAAGAAAAAAAATCTCCCATTTACAAATAAATCTTTTCTTTTTCCAACCTTTTGCTGTGATGAACAGGACAAAACTTCTGAAACAGGTGAATATACAGCTTATTTTAGTTTAAGGCAAACCATTTGGCCTATTGGCAACTACTGGCCATAGCCCTGATACAATATACTGTATGTGCAGGTCATGAGATGGCACTTCAGCATAAGACTTCATAGAACTATTGCTGAATTTAGAGTTACAGTATGCAAGTTTTATAAGAAAGGTGGCAGCAGACATGTCAGTCACACTCCTGAAGGATTGCAAAGGCCTGAGCTTTTGTTCCACTTGTAACTTTGTCCAATAGTTCCAGTTATTGGATTATGTGTAAAAACGCAACACATTCACCCAGGAGGAACAACTATCTACTGTAGCTTCAATCAAATCTTTTGAAATCACCAAGTTCAAAAAGCCCTGTGAGAAATATTGAGGCCTCCAGGGCATGAGCTTGATTTATCTGGAGTAGCCATTAATGGGGCAGTAAAATGATCTGCTTTTCTCTGGCTTTTGTGGAGTTTTAATTCACAATCCATTGTGATTGATTACCTTTTTCAAACCTACAATGGAAAATCAGCATCACCATCTACTGGCTAAAGTTGCTCCTTTGGCTGCAAGGACAGGGTTTGCAGTTGGTAACTTAGACAATTATTAAGGTAGTTTTAATGACCAGATCTTAGACCACTGACTGGAGACAACTCAAGGATGGTACAGTAGCTCTTTACAATCAGGGGTGGGAATGAGTGCAGTGGTTTTAAGTAGCGGGAAAGATGGTGTTATAAAGGAAGCACTGCCAAGACAAATCATGTATGTACATCAATCATTTCCAATGTTTATTTTGAATTTGCCTTTGTTTCTAGCACATAGTTTTGGTTTAACCTCTAATACACTACTAGAATATCAATCAGAACAGAAGGTGGTAGGATCCAATTTAAACAAGACAAACCTTGCTGCCATTTGAAAGTATAGGTAATGGTAAAACAACAGAAAAACTACAGTAATGTCATCCACAGTTTCAATGACGTAGATCCAGAATATCATGTACCATCAAGAAACAGGTACAACAGTTATATCTTAGATTTTTTTTCCAGTAAAATATTTTATAAAAACTGAAGACATAACAACAGAACACCCTGTTAACATTATTTCTTTTTCAGTCATTAAAGCTAGTTGCACTGATATGTTTGACACAAATCTCATTTAGAACACTGCAGAGAGTCGTTTTCTTTATTAAAGGACTACAAAGGCATGGCTTGCAAACTATCAAAAATAAAATCTATACATTTTACAAATATTGTGTGATATCACATTAGAAAATAGTCACTTATTCTTACAAAAATGTAAACACTGGCCCAGAATTTCGGTTTGAGAATGAAATTAAAGAAATGACTGTTCTTGCAGATACTGTACAGTATATCACTCACACTGTTAAGACACGGATAGCATCTAACAGCAGCCAGATATACTGCCAAACAAGACAGGTATGACTATTTCATTCCATAAATGTATTTCCTGTAACTCAAAAATCATTGATTGAACCATTGGCAAATGTTACATCTTAGATAAGAGATTTGATTTTTGATAGCTGTTTTTGGCCTTATTCTTAATAAAGTCTCCAAAGTAATAGGTAGACCTTGAAAAAAGAAACGCTCTCTAGTTCATCCACATATTCTAAACCATCAAGGCTTTTGATGTTTTTTAAACATTAAATAGTTCTAATGTGATCTTTATCCACATTACACCCCATCTGGAGAAAAAGCGCTGACGTTATGCACTAACAGACTTATACAACATATACATTACATTTATAGAATATTCTATATACAACCATATACAGCTTGAAGGTTATCGCTAGAAACTACAGAAAAAAAGGCTGCCATCATCACAGAAGAACCCAAAAGCAAATTTATGTTATACATAATGTAAAATAAATTGAGGAGTAACATCAGTTTTGTACAATGATGTGAACTATAAAATCAAGTAGCATTGTATCTTCCATTTACACATATGCAGCTAAAATGGTGGATTTCTACTGATCACCTCCACTCATAACATCAGAAATCATTAAGAGAACCACACATTAAAATTGCTTATGTATGGTCTTGAAGTGGTACCGGGGGTTCACATGATGATGAACAATTCACAAAACATCTGGCAAAACAAGTTAATACATTTCTAAGTTCATAATGGAAGGAGTGAATCAATTACGAAAGTAAACATCTCAAGAAAGAAAGATACCACCTCTGTGACTTAAAGAGTGAGCACACAACTCACAGAGACATTTAACAATGCTTGCCTTTAGAGGTTCTTTCATGTCCAAGGCTTTGGCCGGAAAGGTTTGCTGTGCGCAGTGGCACAGACCATGTCAACTCACTCAGTGTGTTCGAAAAAGGCAGCAGAAGCATTTAAAAACTGAAGAAAATGACAACTGTAAGGTGACACTGCAATTAAAGCTACCACCTATAGATTCCTAAAGGTACTAAACGTATGTTTTGACAACATAAATAATGTGCTGTTCCTACTGTATTTCCTTATTGTTTCCACCTTCTCAGTTATGGTGAAGGGTGAAATAAGAAATATCTGACACTTTGTCCCTCTGACCCTCACCACCTCAGTTTTGTGGACAGATAGATAATGGCAGGATCGAAGTTTATTTTTTTTATTTTCATTATTGTTTGGAGAAGCTGGGTCTCAAAGAATTTCCAAAGTCATTTTAATGGAAAATATCCCTCCCCTTCCAAATAAAAATTAAAATGATCAAATGGTGAAGCTTTAAAGCAAGTTGATGATCAGAAACCACAGATGTATGTCAAACATAAAACATTAACTGTAAGTTTTCTAATTATACTTAGGCTTGTGGATTTCCTGTTTGTTCCTGCACATTGGGTGTTGTTGAACTGGCTAGAGATAACAAAAATGGTAAAAATAAAACACTATAATTACTGCTGTTTTATTTTGCAAAAAGTCTTTGTTTTTACAGCTGCACTGCATGTTGGACAAAATCGCAAATGCAAATAAAGAAAGGACCAAAATATCAACAAATAGAACCCACATAAAGTTGACTTTTCAAGAAATGCAGGTTTAAATTTTATCTTTTTTTAACCATTTCAAAAAATAGAAAGTTCTTTTTAATTAAATGGCTTACTCTATAAAGTAAAACTGAGTAACATGCGTTTTTATTATGGCAGTTTTATGGGTTTTTATTATTTTATTTTTCATGCAAACCAGTTTATTTCTTAACTTATAGTAGCCACATACAGTAGCAATGTGTATACATCACATGTATGTACGTATATGTACATGTACTGTATATACATACACACATTTATACAGTATACTATTCCAATCAGAATCCCCTGTCCTGTAGAGCAAAAATTAGAGCTGTATTCTATAACATTAATGGATAATAAATCGATGGAAAGATAAAACAGGGGAAGCTGTCTTGGACCAGCCCCATGTGTGGTTATATGATGTCCAAAACATCAAAGACCTGTCATCTATCTGCTAGATCACCATTGGCATTTTCCTACAAATGTAACCCTGAAGAATTGATTGCTGGGGAGGCACAAACACACAGCCAGTCTTCTCTCGGATGGGGCAAAGGATCATTTCCCCAGCAGGTCTGCTTCAGTGAAGGTGCAAAGGCTCCCTGGTCAGATTAAAACTGATACCACTTCTTGTCCTTACATTTCAGCATCAGCTGTGGACAAAAACAGCACAGTTACCTGAAAATCACGGCTTGCAATTCAGACCCTTTCCAAATGCGACAAAAGCCACTGTGCAGCATATGCAGTAGGTTACTCGCAACCTTCGCTCTTCTAATTCTGCTCTCCTTACTGTCCCCCAAGCCCCTCTACATTGTATGGGTGACAGGGCCTTCTCCTGTTATGCCCCCAAGCTCTGGGACTCTCTCCCCAAGGATATCAGAGAGTCACCTTCTCTAAACTCCTTCAAATCCAGACTCAAAACCCTCTTCTTCAGAAAAGCCTTTACTTAACTGGTTCCATTCTTCACCCCTCTGCTTTTCTTAGTACCACCATCCAAGGTCTCCTCTATATATTGTAATTGTGTTTTATCTTGTGTATTCTTCTTATTTATTATTGTTGTCATCCTGTAAAGCGCTTTGAGAAGCCACCTTTAAAGGTGCTATATAAAATAAAGTTAAGTATTATTACTACTACTACTACTACTACTCAGATGATATTAAAAATTAACAAAAAAAACAAAGATGCTTCTGGGTGGAAGTTCTAAACTGACAGTCAAGCCACTTACACCCCTGCTGTGCTTCATCACAATCATTCCCAAAGTAATTTTGTTGCCAAGGTGATGTTATGTCCTTTCAACATCATTTCAACGTCATGGAGTTGTTTATATTATAAGAAAACCCCTCTCCTTTGTGTAGTGTTCTCATGCATTGTTAAACCACCCCATCTCCACCTGTGCAGCTGCCCCTAGGTCACTCCTCACTCTGCTTGGGGGTCTCAGTCTCCTTGTCCTGTGACCAGTTGGTTAAGCCAAAACTCTCTGTATGCAAACACCCATTCAACGTCCTCGAATGCAACTAAATCTTGGAAGTCATTATTTCTTGTGAAATACAATTGTGTAGAGATAAGCACATACTGCAGGTTTTTACAAATCAGAAATTAAAAACAACAAAGAAAATAGCCATGCTCTGGGTTAATATGTCTAAATGTAGACAGTTGCATTGCCTATGTGACTCAAGATTTTTACAGATTTATCAGATAATTCAGTATAATCTATCTTCTATAAAATAACTTCAAGTAAGAATTCTGTGCTACGCATGCATGCGAGCATAAGACTGCCAGCCTACCTTATATTGACTGCTTTTTCAACGATACACTGATACGTGTTTGTGGTCGTATGTTACTACGTAGCTGCTTCCTGTTGGCATGCAGAGAAGCAGTGGGTTAAATGACCAGAACCAGTATGCCCGCGGCAGTACCTCGTGTGCGTGCTTGGAGAATGATTCAGCGCTGGCCATCATGCCTGCCGTGCGGTCCTCCAGCTCTCCCAGGCGCTGTCCTCTCTCGTCCAGCGCGATCCGAGCCCTGGCCAGGTCTCCCACCACGCCCCCGGCGGCTGCCTTCATTCCTTCCATGCCACCCGGGCCCGGGATGTGCTGGGCCAGGCTCCGGGAGGCCTTTCCTGCAGCTGCCTCTCCGACTGCCCGGGCACAAGCAAACATGCTGATTATGTGCAGGTTTTAGCATTCACCAATGCTTCTGTTATTCTGATTTGTGAAATCAAATATTTTTTACCGAAACTTCTGGACAATCTGTCACACATTGACAGGCTAGAAGAACAGAGACTTTGTGGTCTTGAAAAGAGACCATGAGGGGAACCAGGAAGCAATTATTTACACAAACCTAACATGAGCAAAAGAAAAAAAGCATGAGCAGCTCAGCTTACACAGCTCTTCCCTGTCGAATGTCTGTCCACTTCCTCCAAAGAAACCTTTCAGGAATCCCCTGTTCTGGGCTTCTGGAGTTTCCACTGGAGTGAATAGCTCCCCCAACATCTCCTGTAGCAGTGAAAAGATGCAGATTCACAATCTCTTTCCTCTGGCCTCCTTAACATTTACTGTTTGTCACCCTTTTTGCCAGAACACCTCACAACATCAAGATTTAAGAAAACAGATCATTACATAGGTTTATTGTCCAGAAAGCCCCAATAACAAAATCAATCTTTTCACACTGTTTAGTTAGGTCATCTGTAAAATCAGCAATTTCACACAATTGATCAGTCCTCTTTTTTTTCTGTTACTAATTATTGCATTCGTAATGCACTCTCAATCCTAAAGCGCCTTGCATATAAGAGGGTATTCATTCCAGAAGGCAGCTCCTACCTGAGTGAGGCACAGCCTGCACAGAATCAGCTGCCTCACTACATAGTGAATCAGCTGGAAAAGTCAGAACTCACCTGTTGTTAAGGTAGACTTTTAGGTGGGTTACAAAAGCTCAGGGTGTAATGTGGCCAGAGCACTGGGGTTAACACCTCTACACTTTTAAACAATTTATAAGCATCAATGATAAAAAAAATGTCATGGACAAGAACTGGGTTGTCAGTAGCTTGGTTTGCTGCCTTCTTGGTTGCAGCTGGCCATGCAGCATGGTGGGGTGGGATGTCAGATAGAACAGGCAGGTTGTGAGTTGGTGCTGGATGTACTGTACAGTAGGTACCCCCTTAACTTGTGAAAAGAATTGCTCGACTGTGTATACACCTTTATTGTATACGTACCTGTATTGTATACTCTTGCCCCACACATGCCAGATGGTGTGATGGACAGTATGGAATGCTATCTTTGTTTTGTTATTTTGTAATGAAGACTGACAATCTCCATTTAATTTCAATGTTCTCAGTATATCTGTTTTCTTTTTGTGGAAATGCACCTGTAATAGCAAAGCCATTGCACAACTAACAATAAAACGAGTAAGCTGTACTGTATTTGTATACAGTACATTAACTTTACAAGTTATTTGATGCTATTTGAATTGCCTTCTGATTTTTCGAAAATAATCAGCTTGACGACAAAATTGTGTTCAAATTACAATTGGGGTATATGCTTAAGGTTTATTGTAAACATTCATATAATCAATAATAATTAATATAAATATTAAAAATGATAAGCTGAGATGTGAGATAATGTATTTTTGGTCTGGTATGTTTGGTTGATTTGTGGCAAATGTATACTGATTTTGTCTGGCCAGGGTTATCCATCCTCTGCAAAAGGTATACTAAACTTTCAATCAAAGCAAACCGTACCAAATCCTACTTCAGCTCAGTGCTACAGTATATGCGAAACTGAAATTATTTTACCAGCAGGTGTCAGTATGGCACCATTTGTTCCAGGATGACCTTCTTGATAGAACAAACTGAAGGACAGTTACAACAACAATATATTATATATTTATATCAGAGCTAATGTGACAATTCATGTTTATAAATAATCCCAAACCAAATTTCATGAGATTAAAAATACAGAAGAGCATCCATTCTTAAATGAAACATCTGATATATTAGGACTAGAGAGGTATGGCCTCTGATACCAACTAGAAGCCTGCTGGTTGTACTCTTAATCATGGAACTCAACGTTGTTATAGAAAATTTCCAGCTGTGTAAAGCTTAATTAACCTATCCGATAAAAACTGAAGGAATGTGTTTGATCTTTTCCATTCATTCAGTCTTACAAAGTTCATAGATGCTGTTGCCGACTTTGGTGTTGCAGTGTGGTGTCGGACATTTGGAACAGTAGCATGGTGCTGGAAGTCGTGGTGCTGGAAGCGTGCACTGACCTGTAGGTTGTCACACATCTCCTGGCTGTAGGTGATGCGCTGGATCTCTGTAGCGGAGCTCAGGTAAAGAGCCTGCCCACCGTTGGTGAAGCAGAAAGTTCGTGCAATCCTCATATCTGTCAGAGGCAGGTAGTTGACATCCAGCATAGGCCTGAGGCTTGGCAAGCTGCAATGTGCAATCCCACAAGTGTGTGAGCAGACACCCCAGCAGCCCATGTGCGCTCAGTACAGGCTTATTTACAATCTAGGTTTTTCTGTGCAGTGTTGGAGCAATAAATTATCAGGTGGGGATTTTGATTAGGGTGGAACACCTATTCAATGGTAAAGAAACCCTAAGGTGTAAGCCTGGAGAACACAGATGCCTCCTGTAGAAGAAAAACCTGAAAGCTGATGATTTTCAACATGGATACAGACCAGAAAGGCAGGACCTCATAATTTTCCAACTTATTTTAAAGTTGGAAATTAATATAAACATTTAAAATTTAAACTCCGGAGCACAAATATGTGACTTAAAACTGAGTTATGGTAATAGTTATCTGTAAGAGCTTTCTTGGAGTAGTTTAGCAAATATTATTGTCACAAAAGTAAACAAGGATTTAGTGTCTGAAATAAAAATAATTAGATATTATATTGTCTTCAACAGAATTGTACCCTGTTATTTTATGATACTGTAGGTATGGAATAATTTATTCAGTCTTGACCAGAGGATTAAGCTATGGCCAACAAAGTAGGAGTCAGCACAGTGCAGTATAAGCAGCAGGTGACACCCATGTTGTTTCTGCAGCTAACTGGACTTTGTAGCACTAAAGTTACTCTTTAAAAATGTACCAAAATGAAGATTTTAAGACCTAAAAAGGGAGCATCAGATAATTATCCTGGGGACACAGGGTCTTCTGCTTTTTGGTTTGACCTAATTATATTAACTATTGCTGTTGATTTGAAAAATGTACAGTACTTGCTTCTAGGTAAAGTAACTCTGAAACCTTTCAAAGACTGCAGTGAAGCGTGTTTTATTTGGCCAAATTAAAAAGTCACTGCAGCCTTTTAGAAATGAATTTGCTGCAGCTGACTTTCCCTTGGTCAGGATTGCCAACAATCTATAAATCTATGGACAGTCAGAAAAAAGTTCAATTTTAATCACCGTCCTTAAATCCACAAATTAAAAAAATGTTAACTTTGACGGAGGTAAGGAAGAAATATTTCTTGTACTGTAACACTTGTTGTGTGTATAACATAAACACTTTGTGGAGCAGTTTGGATCTGAAATTGAGTGTGAACAGGGGTGCCTTCAATTAGCAGAGCTCTGAACCTAACACCTGTCTATAAGAACCTGTGGCACTGCAAGACAGTGGATTTAGTTCTACTGTATGTCTACAAAAATGTACACAAAATACTTCTTGTCCTTATGTCCTTATTCATAAATGGTCCTACAATCCCATTTATAATCATCGGTTGATCTACTGTAAACATTTACAGTTACAATGTTTGTTTAGCACCATCTGAAATTGTTCTGTTCTAACAGTTTTCAATCGAGCTTGAGCCTTATTACTCCACTCAGTTTTATTTATAATTCTGCTCCTATCAACACTCCAACCACATACAGTACAGTAGTTTCCATGAAAGTCGTCGTTCTGAGGCATGGAAGTCAGTATGAAAAACATTTTGCAAACTTGGCAACCCTGCCCCTATTTTAAAAGGGACACAGCTGGAAAGGGGAAACACGTACCTGAGAGTCATGATATGTCCATTGGCACAGAAGCAAGCCAGGCAGACGCTATTACAGAGCGTAACGACGTCAGCCCTGAGCACGAACGAAGCCTCGGTGATGCTGTGCGCGTAAAGGCAGGTTTGGGAAGGCAGTGAAAAGACTTTGGCCTGTTTTTCGGAACAGATTACTGCATACTGGTAATCTCCTGAGTCCTGAGAAGACGATGGGGAGAAGTTGACAAGCTTCCGCTTGCGAGGTTTGTCGTGCTCGTCAGCACTGTGAGGGTCCCTCCACACCTCGTACGGGGGATGGATCAGATTGCCAGAGCAGTCCAGGCTAGAGAAGGTCAGCACGGAACCTTTCAGCATCAGAACTGTGCCTGTTCAGGGCAGCGATGAGAAATATTGGGAAGAACATTAACTGAGTCGGGACCTGCCAAAGGGTATACTTTGAAAAAAAAAAAACAGGCGTGCCTGGACTAAGAGCAAACCTTAGTTTATGTTAAAGGCACATTTTCCTTCAGCTCACCAACATCAGGAGAAAAGTGCATAAGGAACACTTACCACTTGGTGACACCATGATAGGCTCTGTCTGCCGCTGGTCTTCGGCGGCAGGCAAGCTCAAAGAGATGACCAGCACCACCCCTAAGCTCGTGCCGACCCAAAGGCAGGGCGAGAGGGTGCCATCATTCTTCCTGCTGTACGACTCGCTGAAGTACAGCGCGGTGATAGCCTCCTTCGTCTCTCTATCGATGCTGGACACACTGGAACTGCGGGACCGGCTGAAAGAATTTTCCCGGCTTTCTACAGCAAAACAACAGACTTTTTTTTTTAGAAAAAAACTGAAGATGAATCTCTCAGAATTTTTCCACACCTCAGTACCACAGTCAAATCGACTAGAACAAGCAATACAAAAACAACAGTGGGTGAATAAAAACACATTTTCAAAATAGTTAAAGAAAGTTCAAATATAAATACTTAAAAGAAATAGAAAAGAAAGTTAATGACTTAAAAATGTATATTGTAACGTTTCTATTAATGCAAATAAAGAAAAAGATACTTTCAAGCAGCAACTTAAGATTCAGAGTCAATCACCACAACCAAAGTGAATTAACAATACTTCTTAAATTTTTAATTAAAAAGAAACACTTATAAGCAGGACTCAATGTGCTGTTTTACAAACAAAGCACAAGCAGGCATTTAACAGTTGGATGCAAACTACAGCCTGACATTAGAAATGCATGATACCAAATCACTCCTCCTAAATAATGTTCTGGGCACATATTGTACTGTACCGTAGATTAAAATGGAAGGTGTGAAAATGGGCATTACCCTTGTCAGTCACTTCTTTTGAATATCTCTGAGCATACTGAGTGGCATATTGCCTCTATTTGCGATTCTGAACGGGGTGATATTCAGCCTCTGAGAAATCATTTGAACATGTCATGAATTAGAATGACAAAACCTGTCATTGCATTTGTGTCCTCTTCCAACTCTGCAATACTGACTCTTTAGGTATGAGACTGGTCTTGGGTGACACCAATTCCTCTCATTCACTCCAGTTATTACTCCGTTCTAGGATTCAGTACACCATTCAGCACAAAAAACACAGTCTATTAATTCGATTCCCAGAGATTACATAAGAAAGGTTGTGTATTTCATTCTTGCAGACAGAAGGCCTGCTCACTCCAGAAACCCATGCTCCCCAATTGTGTTACTAAAGACAAACACAGTGGTATGGAATCTGTGATTTCTGGACACCACAGAAACACAAATAAAGAAGCATGGTGAATATACAGTGAAGCCCTTACCTCTCTCACTCCATGAGTAACTTGCAGCGTGGTGTTCGTCATGCGAGTAAATACTCACTCCGTGCAATTGCTGAAGCATTGCCCGTCTGGAAGCGTAACCTACTCTCCCCAAAACAAGCATGCATTGCAAAAGGGACAAGTTCAACAACTCAAAGAAGTTGGCAGCTGAGATGTAAAAAGTAAGCAGTTGCTAAACAGCAGGTGAGCCAAGTCTAATATTTCCAAGTGTCTCGCTGAAAGCAGTGAGATCAAAGTTATTTTAACTACTGAATTTGACATTTGTTTGATTTTTAGTAGAAGTGGTTTTGGTTATTTTTTAGGGTAAAGTTTTAAAGAATAGGTGAGCAAAGAAAATCTAAGTCCGAGTGCTTATTCAGCTACCCATTGACATAGAAACCATTTTAAATGCGAGTCATTCTGGACTTCTTAATTCAACTGCTTGAGCCTTGCTCGGAATTCTTTTACTCGATCATAATACTTGTTCCACATTTTCATGAAATACAGTCAAAGTACAAAGAAAATTAAAATAACAACATGTCTAGAATGATATATATGTGTAAGTGGCAATTTAAAGGGCAGTCAAATAGATCATTAAAAAAAAGGGATTGAAATAACCTAGCACATAGAATGGTGCCAAAGACAGTTAAGTAAGCAGACTATTTCTAGAGCAGTAGAACATTTTTCCTGACATTTTTATTAAATAATACTTCAAGCACGGATGGAAAAGGCAAATTGGAGTAATGTGAGGTTTTAACTGCTGACAGGCTTTATTAAACAGCAAACATGTTCTCAGTATTTTAGAATCATTCTCTTATTTTAAGAAAAATAGCACAGCAAGGCATATGATATTACAATGATATTACATATGGTGTTCTTTCATTTCTTATTCTTGGACTACATTACCACAAAAACCTGCAGCTCATAATGAGAAATGGACTTGACTTGTCTTACTGGTGTCACCTCTACATTGAGTCATGTCAAGAAACTAATTCAGTAGCACTTCTAAAAAGCTATTCTGATTCTTAAATCAGATAGGTTTTAAAATGGATAAGCACAGTATAAAAATATTGATAACATTACCTACATTATTAAAAACTTAACCTTTGCCTCAATGAAACATAGGAGAAGTAGAGTAGTAAAAGTATTTGATCCAGACCTACAACGAGGCATCATTTGATTCTTGGAATTACAAAAATAAATAAAAGAAAAGAAAACATTTTAAAAGGAGTAAACCAATGGGACAGTCTTGTCTATTTCTGGAACAAGACACCGTGGCTGTTATAGCGAATATATTCATATTTATCTGTGTTCTCAAGCACTACAGATTTCTAAAAATGCAGAGGAAAAATTAATTAACTTTAGATCCTGTTCAATTGTGCTATAACCACCTGAAAGTAAATGAAACATGTTAGTCTTTTTGAAAAACATTAAAAAATGCCACTGTGGTTTGCTAAAACTCCAACAGTTTAGAGACATTTTGTACCATGTACATTAGTGAGCTGAAAGTCTTATTTTAATTAACAAATGCTGTTACATTATAGTTAATGATGAAATTTTAAAACACTTTGCTTTTAAGAACAAGTACTGTAAAGCAGTAGGGTAATTATTTGAACTAAATCAGAATCAATGTTGTATAACACTGACTTCTCTTTCTGCCTATTGATTGATTGGAGCTGAGAATCTTTCAGCATCTGAAGGTCCAATCACTTTCAGAAGTGTTGACTGTGTGCCTCCACAAGGTAAGACCACAGTCAGTCATTACTGTTACAAAGATTTTTCAAATAACTCCTTGAAAAAAAAAGATAAAATATTATCAAAATGTTTGTAAATGAATCTCAAACTTGACATGAGTCAAGTCGATTTTTTAGCTTAAAATGTATTGATGCATTTTATAATGATGGAGCACATGTTTGGAAAAAATATAGAATTTATTAAGACGTTTGTTGGGTAACTAAAGCATAGACTGTAAGATCACTTCTTTCTTACAATCAAAAGCACCTTTTGTTTTACTGCAGGAACAGAAATTAAAATAAACACATGAGAAAATCTGATACAAAATAAAAGCTATTTTAAAACCTACAACCAGAGAACGTGAAACAGTATTTACTTCGGGTTTATAATGACATTATTACTCTTGCGTTGGAAGGAATATGTGTAAAAAGCAATTCTTTTCTAAATCTAAGAAAAGCAGTTTTTAGTGGATGACATGTAGACATACTAAAAGGCATAATCTTCCATGATATGGATGGAATATATCCATGATATATGCAGTAGTATGTGTTTTTCATGTTGTTAGATCTGTCACAAATATTTTCTGGGCAGAGGAATTACAGGTATATTATTATATTGTGCTTAATAGTTTATCATTATACGAAAAGTTTCCCTTTTTTGTGAGAATGCTTTACTGTTAGTGAAAGTTCTGCACAGTGCCACAGGTCAGACAAAGACTTCAGACAGAAGAGCCAGGGTCAGGGATGGGCAATGCTTCAGCAACACACACAGGAGAGGGAAGACGAGGACCGACGCTACTGCATTAGTGACGGACTAATGTAAAACATAAAACGGACTGTACATTCTCCTTTACATAGGGTGTCTTCCTTTACACCACAAGTAACAGCTAACAGGACAATGTCTGTAACCTCCATCTGTTTTACACTAGCTGTTTCATCTGGCTGTCATTGTGCATTCCAGTCTGCCTTTCAACTATTCATTATTGCTAAACAGCTCAGCCTTTGACATGTCTGTAAAGGATGTGATTATTACACAATTTCACTTTTCTTGCTTCTTCGCAACAGACGTTTTCAAGCTGCTACAGTACAGTACCGGCCCGTTGAGACCATTTGGTGTTTGTGTCTTAAAGTTCTTAAAGAAGAAACCTGTACTTTCGGTGATGCCATTTGCAAGATCTGCACTAGATCATCATCTATTATATGAAGAATTTGCTCTGCAAAACTTTAGGCTTGATGTACTGTATGTGATTTCCTTCCCAGAGGACATCATGTTCCTCACAAGTTTGAACTGTAGAATTGTATCACTTCTTATACGTACTTATACAGTACCTCGTGCTGCCTTTGCATTATTAGATGAGCTAACAGGTAACCACTCACATATACATATTCAATACAAAGGAACAAGTAATAGGTTTATTCCATGCTGAAAAAAAGAAGAAAGAGAACACAACGTTTCGGCCGTGGAGCCTTCTTCAGGTGTGATTCAGGTGACACCTGAAGAAGGCTCCAAGGCCGAAACGTTGTGTTCTCTTTCTTCTTTTTTTTCAGCATGGAATAAACCTATTACTTGTTCCTTTGCAGCCTACGCATGCTGACGCAGCTACCCACCTGATATTCAATACAAGTTTACATTAGGCAACATTTCATTTTTTCACAATAGAGCTTTTTACGATAATGTTTAGTTTGTAAGACATACCAACTACATCCTCTATTTATATAATTATTTCCAATACTATATAGTAAAATACTGTATATAAACTGAATATTTTATTCATACTTTCTCATAGCCCTGTAAAACAAAAAAAAATCTCTGATAATCTCAAAAGAAAAAATCATGAACGTTTAGCTGGTGTGACTTTGCACATTATATTTACTGTACAGTTTTTTTTACTATGTAAATTCCATGAGTTAAACTTAGCTAAAATCATTATTGTGTGTGCACTCTATTTATTCTCTCAAAACAGAGCTCTAAGGGGATCAAATTAACCTTCAAACATGACCTTTCAGTGATGTGAAGGTGTGTTCTTTTAGGAGCAGGAACAGAAGTTTAAAGCCACCTGATCATCATTTCAGAGACAGAGAAACATCCAATAACTGCACTGGATGAAAACAGCCTTTTGCTTAAATGCATTTTGCTGTTTGTGCAGAGCGGATACTTTAAAAAAGAGAGAAACCTGAGATCAATCTGCATATGGGTAATAGATTTAAGATGCAGCAATGACGCACATTTTTAAAGATTGTAGGTTTATTTCTCCCAAGCCTTTTCATGAACTATCTGCACCCAAAAATCACAGTTATGAGATCATGGGTCTTATTTTTCACTGGAAACAAAAATTGATCTTAGCATGTCACAATTTAATCAGGAAATAATCATTCCAAACAAAATTTTCTTATATGAAAGTAGGATTTCCATTGATGATTTAAACATACTGTACAAATCCTAAACTACTTTCTACTGCAAAGAAACAGCTTGACTGTGAGCCCTGTCACAGCTTCTGTGGAAATGGCTGAATTGGAGGAGCAACTGCTGAAGCCATCATTTGTCAAACAAGCAATGGTTTCTTATCATGTTTCATAATTGCAGGCTGGTTAGCAGGCTGCTACTGTATATAATGCTCAAGAAAGACAGCTCTGTCATTCCAATCCAATTTTAACAGGGGACACTTTATATAATTAATAACCTTGTATCAAGCAGAAACACAAAACAGACCTTCAGGTCTTAAAGTCACACAGAATTTATATCATCTGTTAGTTTTCAACTGTAACACTTCCTGGCATTTGGAAATTAGTTTGGCTGTTCCCTCAACTTTACAATTGTTACATTTTTTAAATGACCTGAACAATGTAGCTTCTGACAATTTTCACAATTTCAGGCTCTAGCAAACAGTAATTATTACCTTGCAATCAAGCTATTTTATTTTTTCATTCTTTTTCCTCAAGTTATCCATTAGACATGTTCTGTACCCAGAATAGTACTTTGGCCTACTCATTGGTATTGTCCTTGCACCGCAGGATTCACTTCATACTGAGGCTCCTGAATCCAGCAAAGATCAGACTGACACAAATAGCACTATTCTTTCTGGTTTCCTGATCAAACTCCACAGATGGCTGTTGGCTGTTGGTGTATCGAGAGTTACCTACTGTTCAACCAACCGACTTTTCCATGGAGGTCTCTTACTCCAGTACCGACCAAGCCCAGCCTCACTGAGGTCAGGCTGAAAGGTGGTCGTGTTGCTGTCCTCACAGTGTGACAGATTACAAGAGCAGACTAGATTAGGTTTTTAAATCAGCAAAAGTCATATGTAAGACAAGCAATGCATTTTTACTAATTTTGCCTGATGATAAATCTGGCAAAGGATATAGGTTAACTGTCCAAGGCATTTTAATTTTTCTTAAGCCGTAAGGTACCACCTTAAAGGCAATTATAACGGCAGAGGACCTCCTTCTTATTCATCTGCTCCTTTCCACTAACTTGTTCCTGGCGCCCCTCTTCACATTTTTAACATGAGTCATTCTAAATTAATATAAAACCTAATATGACATTTGCAAGATGAAGTGCTGCTTCATCTTCCTAAAGAGATTATGTCACCCTGAATTTACACGAATAAGGTTTTAATATCTTTGGACAGGTTTGGAGCTTTGGAGGGATTTGTGTAGGAAGCAATTTTAGGGACTAGAAGTAATGTGGGATAAAGAGATTTAGCTCCCTGGCTACTTTTTGTGGAGAAATGCACACACACACACATTAACACACTAAAGCATCCACATACTGCTATGGGAATTTTGTCTAGTTAATATTATTGAGGGGTATCTGACATAACCTTACTAATTTCTAAGTAACTTCAATATATAAATATATATTTATTGTATCTACATTTGAATAATCATCAGAGAATGTAATGAAATTAAAATAGTAGGTTTGTCCAAGAATTATATTATTTTTCAGATGATATTGTGAAAGCGGTCACAAGCCTACAAATTATGTGTTAATTCAGAGGCCTGTAGAGTTTTTCTCTTTTAGCTTGAGCCAATAATGTCCTTCTGGTATTATCAAATTTAAATTAAATGGGTTTAAAAGAAGTTTATTCACCAAACTAATTATTTGAAATGTCCATCAATTAGATCAAGCTTTTTTCAGATTTTTACATAAGTGAACTAACAAAAGTTGTCTATGTGGTATTAACTGCCATTTCTATTCGTATTAGCAAATTGCTCATTTTTAGTTGATTAATGTGTGTTAATGTTCCAAACATATATTTAATCCTTTGAAATCTCATCCTGGATAATTGCTTTTCCACACTTTAAACAATTATGTAAAAACTCTAGTCCTTGAGGGCCACGTTCTTTGAGCTTTCACAGGGCCTTGTCAATTAGTGGCTGATTAAGACCTGACAAAAGCATGTTATGACTTCTTATCCAAATAATCAGCTCAATTAAGTGATTCCAATCAGAGGTGCAATGAAACTAGAGCACCCTGCAGCCCATGAAGACTTAGTTACTCATTGCTGCTGCAGTACAAAGTGATTCAAATACTGTAACAATCTGCTCCATGATTTCAGTTAAATTATATTTTTCCATTTTTATATATTGACGGATGCAACTAAAATCTCTATGGGTAGAAATAAGAAACACAGTATGATTGTGCAGGTAGCTTCTAATTCAAGTTTAAGGACCAAGACTATCCTAGTCATTTAGTCTTAAATTTGCGACACTTAAACTTAAGAACTGACACATTTTTATTCAGCTGAGGGAACAGAACATTTTCAGAATACCGATATAGTTTCCTTCCCCTTCAGTGCTGGTGTCGGGTTGTGTCCTGATGAAAATACTGCTCCAATACACATTAATTTCTGCTTGACAGCACAAAGGCTGGCTTTACACATTTGACTAACCACAAACTACCTGCAGGTTCTTATTCGGAAAGCTATCACAAACATCACTCAATTCTTTGCTGAATGAGGTGTTGCAACACATATTTAAGATAATATATTGCAGCCCTCCTCATTAACACATATCTAGTACATCGCACGCAATGCTTTTTCAGTGAATTGTCACAATACAGCTGAAAATTGCAGAGTATTTGTGCTGCAACTGTCTTTTCTTAATATTTCTGACCTGAGGCCTTTATGGGGATCACAAGTTATTTTATTACTGAATCTATTTACTGTAAATAAACAGATTTTTTTATTTTCCCCAATGATCTGCTGCATGCGCTATGTGTGATTCTCTGACTTTTTCTTTCTCGATTCTGAAAAAGACAGCTTCTGAGAAGAATTCTTAAAATATTCATATTAACAACATATATTGCCCTTTCTTTAGTGGTCAACCACTAAGAACGCACTGTACATGACAAAGAGCAAGTTCTCTGCGTCACATTTACCCAGAAATAAAGATTTGTGGACTCCACCTTTCAAAATTATAAAGTATCCTACTTTTCCTAGGCCACAAAGTAACATGTGATTCAAATGACAAAAACCTACTTATAATTCAGTTTTATTCTTAGAAAGATTTCCAGACAAAAACAATGTTATTAAGTGTTAAGTAAGTACTGTAGCAACTGGAACTGCCTGTGTGCACAGGACAACAGGAAATATGTGATTCTGAAGATGAGTTAAGGAAATATATTTCTACTACACAAGTCAGATTGAAAAACAAATCTGTAAGCCACATCATTCTCAGGTAGCATCTCTAGCAAACACTGAAGTATAAAATCTGCATTCTTCCTTCTGTGACTTCCTCTATAATTAGCTGTGAGAAAACCTTTCTGAAACTATTTTGCTGAAAAAATTAATAACATTTGATCACAAGCAAACTCTGAGAATCACAGAGCAGGTATAACAATGCATAAAACCTCTAAAACAAAGAAAAATAAATTACTTAATCATGTTAAAGAACATACTATAACAAAAAAAAGCAGTCTACTGGAATTAAAGGAATTGCAATAATACTATAACACCCTGGTTTTAAGGCATTTCTCTTCATTTCTAAGGGTAATATTCAACTAGCTATGGGTTAGTTGTTAAAGTAAATATCTGCATGTTTGATAAAATAATAAAATATTTTGTTAGCGTTGGAAACACAGACAGTAAACATTAGAAACACAAATGATCTGGACTGTAGAGACGACAGTTTTTAGTAAGACAGCTGGACATCCTGCAGAAAGGAAAACGTGAGACAGAAGAACATGCACAGATTCCCCCCACATGGCTCCTTTCACAAACAGGGCTGCTGTACAAAAAAGGGGCCAAGATTATGAAATATCATAGAGAGACAGTGTTGCATTATTACATACTGTATTAATAAGCACTTTTCATGTAATGGCGACCCATAGTGTAGTTTTTGAAAACTAATAATGAAGAGCATATAGAGATACTATGTGGGAATCTGGAACTTTATTCATCTATCTTAACACATTTGTAAAAGTGAAAAGGGATATAGAATTTGAACCCCTTTTAATATAAATGTTGGCCTTATTATCCTTTTAAGTCTAGCAGAAACAAGCAAGTGGTTTGTGTTTTTGGCAGAAGATAAGATTAATCTTATATATTATATATTCAGATCAAAAGCCGCTTTCCATTTACCAAAGATAACCGTTAGAGTGAACATGCCCAAAAGTTCTCAAGAGAAACAGGAAAATGTTTTAGTTCTTTTAGACATATCTTTGAAAAGGTTGCTTGAATTTCTCTGGAGTTTAGTAAAGCGAAGCAAATTTGGTATTTTGGTCAAAACTCTGAAATTCTCAGATGCATTGATATTAATATACAGTAAACATTAATACTAAAATATACAGAAAATATTAATACTAAGTCTACTACTAATAATTACCCCTCTTATGGAAAAAAAAATCTTCTGTAGCATCAATATCTGGTTTTGCAGGATGTGTGACAAATTGTGCAGTACTGGCAACATCTGGTAAAAACACAAATAACTCAATAGGTCCAGCACCCTGTGAGCTGGCAAACCTCACTGTGATACTGCTGCTTATGGGAAGAAAATCTTCTTGAGAACATGTTCTCGAGTGTTATGTAGTGTTTCTAAACTATTGAGAGTTTAAATACATACTGTATCTGTCTGATTTGTTCAAATGGGATATTATCTGTATCCGAGATACAGTATCAACGTGTTTTAATTAAGAAAAACACAGTTTCTATGATTGTAGGTAAGTAAGAATTTGTCTATCATTTATAAATACCATTTATGTCATTTAGTTATACTGAATTTAAAATATTAATTGCTAACTTTTCTTGGACTCGCCTGCACTTCAGAAAGTTTGTCCAATGGCAGCTTATCTGCCCTCACTGGCTGAATATCATAGAAACTCATTTTGGACTAACATGAGCAAAAATCAGGAATTTCTTCAAAGACTTATGTGAATGAGCTCATTACTCCACATAGCGAGTGACTGCTGTTCATTTGCACCACAATATGATTAATGACTGACTCATCGCAGGAGATGTCAATTCAGTTGTTAATCTGTATCTTTTCAACAAAACCAATAAAGAGCTTCAACTGTGGAGGCAGAAGCCAAGAAAAAGGCCATCATTACTAATACAAAGATATAAAGAAAAATGCAGCAGAAATGCGCTTAGATTCTGTACAGATGGTGATTACTGTATGTATTGAAATTAATTTTGAAATGCATTTGAAAACAATGAAATATGGGAAAATATTTCATGCCTTTTTAAACATATTTTAGGAACATTGTGCCATTTTGAATAACCTTTGATAAATGTCTACATATATATTTGAAATGTTCCTTTTTTTTCTCCAGATTGGACAGGTTGTGTTAATTCTCTGACCTGAGTATTAGTCAGGTGATTATTTTGTATTTATTCTCACTTTAAATTGTCACATCTGTGAAAGGAATAAATCTAAAAATCTTAGCCACTGCTCCCTTAAAATCTCATTTGTAAACCTCGTCTTTGTGTTTCATGAAATCACATTCTGTCTTTCAACCCAAAGAGCGCAGTTATAAAAAACGGGGCCACACAAATACAGACAGACAGTACCTATGTTTCTAATTTTTTTTAACTCTGGCTCCTTTTACTGAAATATATTTTCGGGGTATATTCCTTGTTTTCGGATGGGGGTCAGGCATGCAGAAAGGAAACGGATGCAGACAAGCACACACCTTCTGTGTGGGAGACGGGCAAGGAGATCTCCATGCAAGCGGCAGACTGGGCCTTTCTGAAGGGCGGCCGGCCGGGGCCTCGCCGATTGTGCTTAGTGCCTTCGGCGCTGGAGACGCGCTTCCCAGTGGCACAGGGCTGCGAGGTGGGGCTAGTGCAATGTCCATTGACATGATCTGCAATAATGGCAAAGCGTTAGCAAAGTGGCAAAAAGAAGCAAAGGGAGGACAAGCCTCAGCTCCTTTACAGAGACAGCAGGCAACAGTGGATGCACTTACAGCAGGGCTAGGCAAAGATAGTGAATTTTCTTCTTCTTCTTCTTAGGCATGTGCCCTGTGACACTAAGTTCATGATGGCCAATTTTGAAAATGTCCGATCACGCTTTTTAGAACCCGGAGTTTCTTGTCAGCCTCTTATGGCACAACTCTGAAAGTCTCCCAGGCTACTGCATACGGTATCTAGTCCAAGGTCAGCATTTTGCTTTCACAGGTGGGTGTTGTCCTTGCAAGAAACCCGTGGTCCAAAATGAGGGGTGATTGTGCACCCTTGTCAAATTTAAGGTCAGTTCTTGCTGACAAGCTCCTCTTTCCATGAAAACTCACTGGCTTTTCCCAGTCCCACAGTAGGTGCATCCTGAGCCACTATTTTAATGCAAACTACCAGTCAAGGTGGTGAAATTAATAGTAGTAGAGTACTACTGCCAGTTTTGGTACAGCCAAATTACAATTTAAAAACTGAAAAGAAATCATTCTTTTATGATCCCAGAACAAGGCTGACTTAAAAGCAGTTCAGTAACTCTGGTACTGATACAGACATCAAGAATTCGGTGAATTTATTTTTACACTTAATTTTTTTTTTCCATTTGTCACTGGAAATCATGCCATTGTGACGGCTCTACTTGAAAAATCTGTTTTTATCAGTTTTTACCCATTGTCTTTGGTTCATTATATCACAGACAGAAGTGGCACATGAAGAGTACATGTATTTCATTATAAGAACTGATCATTTCAATGGCATTGAGTAGTGTTACAGGCCTAGATAACATACAAAATGTATATCACTAGATATCTCCAGAAAAATGAGCTGAGAAATGGTGGTGTGATGAGTGATGAGGCTATGCTTTTCTATGGGATATTCCCTGACAGTGGCTACCATTGACTGAAATACACAGAAGCACTGCATGCTAATGGAAGTAACCTGATGGCTCACTGTCATTAGGGCTCCATCTGACAGAGGGAATATTCACATATTTATACGTTGCATGTTCAGAAGGAAAAAATATTTAATTTTGGCATTGGTTTCACCGGGTTTTAATTCAGAAATGTATAATTCATAGGTGACAAAAGATTTTAAAACGGATGAACATTAATAATATGAACAAAAGGTCCAGCTTGGTTTATAAATTATTAATCTAAAAACATTAAATAAAGAATTATATTCATGACAAACAGAATTCTTAAAAGAGTAACAAAATGTTCTGTATTCACAAAAATCTGGTTTAGATGAGGGAGTTGCATAGTAATTAATACAAAAAACACATCAGAGTAATTATACTTCATTTATATAAATATTTATCATTTACAGTCTAACTTTCACCAGGGTAGTACTGTATACTTTACCAACATGAAAACTGCAGTATATGCATATAAGTCCTTTCTACAGGAAGGGGACAAATTGGATCGAAACAAATCAATCAATGTGACAATTACAATTAAATAGGAAAAAATATAGTCTACATTTAATATAGCTGAGATGCAATTAAGCATGTTTCCTCTGTATATTTTGGTGTGCTCATAGATGCTGCTACCCCCTAGCTCTGAGTTTTGAGTTTAATTCCAGACTAGAGCACCTTCTATGTTAAGTTTGCCATCCAATGTTCTCTGGTTTTCTTCAATTTCCAAACACATACGTACTTGAAAAGTTAACTGGTGTCCCGTGTCCTTGTGTTTTTGAGTTGGTGCCCTGCAATGGATTAGTGATACATTGTATGGTTTTGTGTCCTGTATACCTGGAACAGAGTCCATGTTCCCTCACTATTCAGTTTTCTTAGCACATACAAAGAAAGTATGATACAAATAATAAAGGGTTTTATTTTATTATTTAATGTATTATAACAGAGTTGAGCTTTGTTTTGGTCCTTCCTCAGGGTTTGCATGTACAGTATGTATTTCAAAAGCAATATGCCATAATATATATATATAATGCAAGGTATATTATGCAGTCACAAAAGAGAAACAAAATGCCAGCATAAAGAAGCACAATTTAAAAGCAGAGCATACTGTACATTCATTTCCACCTGTTAAGAACTACTGTTATTAAATCAGGGGGCCTTCAGTAAAGAGAATATTAGCCAATGATAGTGCAGAAATGAACTAGAAATAAAAAAATAACATGGTGTAATTGAGGGAGCACAGTGGAAGCAATATTTTGTCATATTATGTCAGTTTACTTTCAATAATTGTATTCCCAACCATATACGAATTTATGAAATAGCCAGTCAGTATTTAATTCTACAAAATGGGTCACAGCTCACATTTCTTTCTTTGTTTCCAGAAGATCGTCTAAATCTCCATCTGTAGTCAGAACTTCACAGACTGCACTTAAAATACTACTGGATCTTTCTGGGTGTGTAGGATTAGAAATCAAATCATCAAGAGTTTCTGAACTTTAGGAGATCTTAGTTGGATACAGCTATCTGCTGTGGCTGCATTTACTGGATATATTTTGTACAATATACCCTGGCATTGTTAAATATTTATATGCTTTTTTATACTGTATGCATAACTCAGAAAAATAAAACTTCATAGCTATGAAATTATTTCATATTCTATTCACTGCTATCAGTTTTCTACACTGCTATGAAAGACTGAATACTTTATTACAAAGCATTTCTGAAAATTGTGTTTACTCGTATTAACAGTTCTGTCTTGACCAAAAGAAAAACAAATCTGTTAATGAAAGTTATGATAACATTTTGGACATATTTTGAACCTGTTTTGGCTGAGGAGCATGCCTTGATAATACATTCTCAACAGCCAGCTGTCTGCATGTGTTCCTGTGCAGAATGCCAAAATTAAAATAAAACTATCAAGTCTACAGTGTCCTTCTACCCAAATGATGAAAGACTAAAAATATATTTTTTCTTCATCCCAATTATCTCAAGAATAATAGGAACAACCAAGCATTAACTGTAAAATGAGATCAGGCAGTATCTAGCATTATTGTAACTTGATTTTTCATGACTGAAAGCGGAACGGAGATTGTGCTTTTAATGACTACTGAGTAAAAAGGAGTGACAAATTAGCAGAAATTAAAGAATCAAAATTTACCATATGTTTCACACTGTTCAGTGCATTGCATACTGGATGTTTCCAAGCAATGCTGTCAAATATTTCTAGTCTGAGTTAATTTTGCTACAACTAAAAGACAGTCAAATGCTTTCTAAATCCTTTACATATCCCGGAATGAGCCTGCTGGTAACCCAGGAGATGCTTCAACAGTCTCACATCACATGCTTTCAATTCTCTTTGTAGTCATCCAGATGGCCACCGACGTCACTTAAGCATGTGTCTGGTTGGGCTCAGTTCCAGTTGCACTGGCAGCGATCTCTGCAATATTTCTAAAGGTCCCAACCACAGGTCTGTCTACTTCAACAATGTCCAATGCAGGCATTTCACAAGTTTGCACACAAACCGTTGCTGCAAGTTAAATGGATGTCAGCATGTCTTTTTTTTACCCTTCCAGTACTCTAATCCAGAACAGATACAGAACCTTTCCACTTTTAAAAGTGAAATTAGAATTGTTGCAAAAATCTACAATCACTTGTATTTTCTGTACTTCTTTTAGGTGTGAATAGGTTTCTTTTATCTTTTGGGAGTTGAAGTGATATCAAGGACTGGTAATGGTAGAATGTAGGAATCACTGGGGGTTTAACAACCTTCAATCTACACAGTCTTGGATGGTTCACTGCCATGCATGTTTTCATGGTAGTAAATCATTCAGGTTTTCAGGTGCACAACCCAGATTGGGTTTTCCTATGGCCCTTCTGGCTATCTGTTATGGTTATACAGGTACGACGTACTGAAGGTAATCCCATTCAAGACAGTCTCAGTGGGTCACTGGACTGGAAGTTATCCTGGTGTCTAGGTATGAAGTAATCAGAAAGTACATGACTCACCTCGGATGGGACACCACATTAATCACAGGGTCTATTTACAGTACAGCAGTGCTAATTCCTATTTATACAGCTGGGTGGACTGGGGCAACTGGCCAAACATACCTCAATCAACATACAACAACAGCCTCTGCAGGAGGGACTTGACTGCACAACCTGCCAGCCACAAGTCCAGAGACTTTTCTACTATGACATGCTTACAGTACATACTGAGCAGAAAAACAAAATGATCACTCTATTCATGCATTTGTGTTTTAATGAAGAATAAGCCATATGGATGGGTTTTGGATATTGGTTAAGTATTTTTTGCATCATTTAGGTTAATTAAAAATTGACCATGATGCACTTGAGTGAATATTATATAAATATTATACCACCCCGTTAGTGAGTGGATTGGACGCAAGTGATGAGCGGTTTTAACCTGTTAAATTTCAAGCCTGAAAAGTGAGAAAGAAAAACACAGAACGGAATCAACACCTTGTTTATCAAGAGAACAACACCTTTTTGTCATTGGTGTGTAGATGATTTTTCTGAGGCAGTGCACTGTTACTTGTCATCTGGGCTTTCTCAGCCAGGCAAGATATTCAACCTAAACATTGAAGTTTGTCAGGATCTAATAAGCCAGGATCTAAGAGACCACAAGACATGATCCCTTGCCAGGATCTTTCAGTAGGTTTCAGGAGGTTCACGTGTGGTGGTCTGGTAGTATCCAGTCATTAGGTATCTAACCTGTGGTGATTGATGCCAAGATGACTGCACAGTGCTACATTCATCAAGTCCTGGGACTTCACTTACTGCACTGCTTGCAAGTTAATCTCAATATGACAAAACTCAAGAAGGATGAGGGACGAGAAAGTGACAGTTATTCCCCACTAGTAGACTTAAGGCCCACTGAACCTTTTTGGGATTAGCTGCAATGGTGTGGTATCTAGGGCCTAGAGACCAGTGAACAGGTACATGCTTTTCCAGGATTTGAGAGTTCTCATTCCGGGAATTCAAATAGTGTACAGTACATAGGTAATTACTGGGACTAAATATGAATCAGCTCTTATCATTTGTCAACACTGAAACACAGAACCATCAGAGATAAATTAATAATCACTCTACACTCTATTCATATTTAATCTTTAAAGTTAATTCTAACAAGCTTTGAACCTGTGTTATTATGACTGAATGCTTCTAATTCAGAATACCCCCTAAAAAGTAACTGGAAACATAGCTTGAACAACTATTGGTGAGGTGTGTGACATTTTTGGCATACTGGTGGACGTAAGGGAAGGGCTAGGTAGGAAGGTGTTTTCTTTGTCACATGTTATATTTTTTCAATAGCACAGTTCTATGACATACAGTATACTGTATGTTCAGATCAAATGCGCTTTACCAGGCTCAGAAGTCAAACCCTAAACATCACACAAAATGTAAGATACCCAGACTGTGGTATACTGTGCCCAAAGGCAGAAAACCGGTAAACTACAGTGATATTAGAAATAGCATGAAACATCATTTTGATGTTTTCACATTTAAGTTGTGAAATACTCTGCATTGTGGAAAAACAACAACACATGTATTAAGTTAAGGAAATTTGCAATTCAGGATTACAAACAATCATAGTATCATACCATAGTCATAACCCACTTGTGATAGAGCAGGCTCCAGCACACAGTGACCACCATTTCATAAAAATGTGAACTGTAAAAAGGTAAATAAGAAACCTTACACAATTAAGTGATAGTGTTACAGCTTACCATCACTATCAAAACATCATAAAGTTTACCTTGGTTTACCTTAGTTACCTCTGTTTAGTGGCATCCAGGTTTGCAGAGAGAGGGAGATTTAACTGCAGGTTGCAATTGCATTGTGTTTTATTGAGAAGGCAGCTCTCTTTGGGTGATTAGAATGTCAGGTCACTGAAATGCCTTGTCTGTACATACAGTACTCTAAATATAGAAACTTGTGTGTTGTATGTTTTGTGTAGTGTAGTGCTTGTATTGTCATTGCTAATAAACATCTGTTTAACCAAGTGCGCTTGGAGTCTTAATCTTATCACCAAAGCTATGACAGAGAACAAAGAATTCAAGTGCCTCTAACTATACCAACTATAACTATACCAACCACTTGGGTATATTCTGGCAGAGGTCATTTACAAATAGGGGGTTATGAACATTTATTTTACTTCTTGACTCAATTGCTCACTTGGTTTCTGATTTTCATAACCCCCCATTTACAGTATACCAGTATGTCCTAACTTGCAATACAGGTTGTACTGCATTGTAGGTGCACACACAAAATAATACATGAAATTAAAAACAAAGATCTTAAAGACGTTTTATATGATAAAAAAACAGATAGAAATAATACTTACCTCCCAAAGAACCAGAATGATCCAATAATAGTAACATAATAGGTGGCTTTATTTTGCCTGAAGAAAAACGTTCTTCTGATTCCTATCTGTGGTTGGGGGGAAGTAATATGCTGTCTTGTCCACTTACCACCACATAAATCAAGATAACTCTGGGCTGATGAGCCAATTGTTGCTTGGATAAGGACATTTCCATATCCGAGTAAACTATACATTTATGCAATTACATGTAAAACTTTACTTGTTTTAGTTGAGTTGTTTAAGATAAGGACAATTTTAGCTATGTTGATATTTGGCATGAGATTTTACACCTTGAAGGAAAAAAACCCCAGCAAGCCACGGCTGTCCATCTCTATTCGGAAGCTGAATTCTTCATGGAGCTCAACACTCCCCTGAAGCCATATGAGAATCTTCTATCTATTTAACTTTACATTGATCTCATCAATTTCTCTGTCTCAGAAACCAGCACCCTTCATCTGGTCATCACAGGGGCTGGTTCTCAACCTCTTCCTCTCTGACTTCCAAGCCCACTGGCCATTTAACTAGTTTTCCTGTAGTTAGCCTCTATATATTTATATTTTAGAATTTTTGTTTGCAAAATTATTCCACAGAAAAATAAAACAATTAGTCAAATTGTTACAGCTGTGGGAAATGACCTTCTTGCTTTAAAGTGAATATACTGTAGAATTCTACACTTCCATCATAGACTAATCTCTTTTGAAAACAAAGCTTAAAAGGCAAAAATAAACAGAATCAACTTCTATTTTTTCTCTCCCATTAGCAGTACTGAACACCCACGTGATATTCAACTTAAAAACCCACGCACTCTTTACCTGAATGAACCATGGCACTTACATAGAGAAAAGCACAAATGTCCTTCCAAGCAAAGCTGCATGTTAACTTTCACACTGCAGTCCATAACAGAAACTGTGGAGGTTAAGCCTCAAGTGGAAGAAAGGCACAGTACCCAGAAAATAAAGCCTATAAACTTCAGAAGCTGACAGGACATCATGTAGTGCCCAGCCAGTTCAGTGCTGCCTCAGAGGGGCTCAGTTCACAGACAGTGAAGGGTTAGCCTCTAATGGTCTCCTCCTACTGTATCTCTCTGTTTCTGCATTGTAACTTTTATTTGTTTTATAGCTGGGATGAGGTCATAGGAAAGATTTAGTAAGTTGACATGTTGCATCTTTGACCACAGTATGGATGTCCATCACTTCCACAAGGTTAAGACAACTTCAGGATATTTCCTGTCCCAGCACTTACAGTATTTAATCAATAAATATGCAGCCAGTTAAAAATAATCCAGCCCCATTGCCTTCTACTAAATAGCTGAAATAAACCTTAGGGAACAAGTTATCAATAGAAAACTTCAATTGATTAAAACTATACTTCATAACATTTTTTACTTTAGATAACAACCTGGTAAACAAGTGCAACGAAGCCTGAATTCTATTGCACAAAAAACATTTCCAAGAGAGAAGATCAAGAGGCATAAAAGACCTAAACACAGTGAAAAAACTTCAGGGTTAATGTGGTTTGTATGATGTTCCAAATACAATGGAGTGAGACTGTTTGGCTATGTTAGTTTTCAGAGATTATGAGCATGGAATAGAACAGCTCAAATTCAAATTCATATTTTTAGTTTCTTGTGAAACTTAATCTACAGGTACTTATAAAAGCTCAAATTAAAAAAAGCAGAATGTTACATGTAGCCAACAGAACTGTGTGATCTGATCAGAGAAAGTGCATTCAAACATCAGAAAGAAAATCACTGAATTTGATATAATCTGTTAGAAGTGTCAGGATAAAAAATAATTTTAAAAAGTCAAAAAACTGAAAACAGTTGGCTTTCGCCTACCGTACCAAGATCAGTCTTAAGATCTGTTGGCAGACTTAACTTTCTGGATCCCTTAACTGAAACAAAATAGGAAAGAAAGCAGCAGTTAATTTGTTTAAAAAAGAAAGTAAGGAAAAAAAGAAATAAGGGGGTGCAGGAAACAAAACAAGAAAATTCAAAAGAAAATATAAAAACGTGCACAATGTGCATACACTTTGCAAGCAGATGCACAGATCACCATGGTAACATGCTAGAACCCACTTGACAACCTGCATTCCCAGCAAGACAACTTTCACCACCATACACAACCCACAGGTGTGAGCAGGAGACCTCACTTTTTCCACAAGTACTGTACATTAAGTTCTCGTGACACACATCAAACTTTCCCCTTAAGGGAATCCCCCTTAAGGGGAATTTCCTCTTCTTTACTTACATACTGTCGTTATCAGCTGTATTAGATAGGTAGATGGACATGTAGATTGATTTATTCAAATACTGACACAAAAACCAAACAGAAAATATTAAAGATTGACTTGGATTAGACAGGTCTAGTGGTCTGCATTGCACTCACAATATTGAAAATGAGCTTACACAAAAACCTAGTGAAAACCTCAAAAAAGCATATTTTGAAACAATTTTGCAGAAAATGTTAAGAGAGTGATTATTATTATTATTAATAATAATATTGTTATTGTTATTGTCTTTTATTTGGTACTATTTTATTTAATGATTTCTCCTTAGTTAAACAAATCAACTTTACTTAAGTGGATAAAATTATAATATTAGTTTTCAGGAATTCATGATTCCAGAGTGACCTATAAACCTACCAGGGTTTATTAATTCCTCTCTCCCTTTTACTGTAGATGTGAATTTGTGAATCCAAGTAGCAACTTTGAACTTTTTTACTTAATTAGAATTAATTTTCCTTTACACCTTTCTACTAAGTCGTTTAAGTAATTTTTAAAAGAAGCCAATTAAATGTGAGCAATTTTCAATTGTCTTTCCATGATTGTATTCTGTTTTACATGTAGTATGAACATTCTTCTTCCTCTGTATTCTTCTGAATTCCCTATAATACATTAAAAAGAATCATTTCAACATGGTGCCTGATGAATATTTATTCAACCAGTAATTATTAAGAAGTAGTTTGGCAGGTACTGTATGGCTTTAGAAGTACTTACAGTACATGACTTTTTATTAACAGTGTAATATGCATTCAAGCAGAATTTTCTTTGTGAATTTTTTATGCCAACTAAAGATGAGATATTCAAAAGGGGATTGGTGAACACCAAAACCCCTTGCACCTTATTTTGATTTATACTAAATACCCCACTTCCGCCTGGAAAAAGACACACACCACTTGCATTAAGAAATTTGTAAGCAGAGTGGATTTTCAAAACATAACAATATCAACTTGTTATATATCAACAATATCAAGATACTGCATCTTAGCTTTACTTTAAAGACAGAGATCAGTAAGATGTTGGTTTATTACTAATAAATAATTAGGGGCCTGTAAAATGGACAACACAATGTCACATTACTAAGTGTTTTAAAGTGTAGATTCGACAGCACAGCAGTGGTAATCAACAGACATAGGACTGGGTGCAAAAAATCATAGTCTCTCATACAACTGCCATATGCCTACAAAATCATATTCACAGTCTCCTGCAAATCAAATCACGACCTTTAAAATGTGACAGAGGTTGAATTATCTACAATGGCAGTTAGTGAACTGTTTCATAAGGCTAATATGAAGGTCAAGAAGAGCTGTGACACATTCAGGAATGATTCACATCACTGGTTCTGATGGAACAACAAGATTATTTTCTTTCATACACAAATGCGACTCTGTCCCAGGCAATTCTAACAAGGTAGATTAACTATTTAAAATGTTTACTTTTCACAAAATTATAGCAATGCACATAGGGATTATAGATTGTGAAATTGATATTGTGGGTGTTGGAATCAGCATAAAACAGAAGAATGGACCGGCATATTATTAAGGATTGCACAGTTGCTGAAGATATACTGTATATATACACTACTTATACATGAACATATACTACTATGAGATTTTCCATTTCAACAGAGACCTCATGCTTCCACATTTGGCCTAGTCATGTTTTGTGTTGAGGACACCTGATTCCCACATTGAGTTAGGATCATTATTGACCTACAGTATAGAATCAATGATTAGTATAGGATCATTCTTGTGATGTGAGTGCTCTTAAATATGTGCTGTAAACCGTAATATAAGTGTCAGCTATGACTCTGCAGCTTTTCCATTATGACCTGGTTCATAAAAATGCATACAGCGTGGACTGGTGGAATCTGAAAGCACTGTTGCAGTGTAATTGGTTCTCCATTAAGACTTGCACAAAACTGATTATGTGCCAAAACAAAGGAAGTGACTTTATGCTCCTGAATTTGAATTTTCACATGGCTTTGATTAGAAAGAATAACACTTACTGTCATTCTTGTTAATTCCATGAGCTTTATGTGGTTCATGTTTTATAGAAAAACAGATTTTCACTATGCTGTATGGCATTAATAAGCACATCTATAACCAAAATTCCAATCATTAGGCAAAGCTGAGTAAAATTATTATGCAACCAGAAGTTTACTTTTAGACTTTATATCAAAACTGAAATTGTTGCAGATGGCAATGATGTATACACTTCAAATTGCAGGTATATTAAATATATATTTATATATTTACTTTATTAAAAAGGATCCAAATAACAACATGAAATCTTAAGCAAACTTTAAAATTCTGAATTGATAGATTATATAAAGTTTCACAAATACAATAGATTTAGTTTTGCTGTGAAAAAACAGATTTCTTGAATCTTCATCAAAACTTGTGTAATGTTCTTTATGGTGCTATCTGATGACATTTCTTGCCTATGACAATTTTCCTAGAACAATGTGATGTAGCTTTCTTAGTGCCGGCAAGGTCTGGCTTGATTTGTACAAATGTTAGGTAACCAAGGAGTTGTGGAAATATGTGGAACCTTTCAAGCACAAGTAACGTCACATGCAGTACAGTAGATCTGAAGAAGCTATAGACCCTAAACATTGTGCCTTTTCCCTCTAGTATGGAATTCATCTCTAATTCTTTTTCAGCTGCAGTTCCCACACTGATTTATCTCTCCGCTCGCACTTTATTTCCTCATTCTATATGGTAAGGGATACTTACAGTACATGCAGATGTTAACTTCAAAGAAAAAACAAAGGGAAAAGCACAAGTAAGGTAGAAGGCATGTAAGCATCCAGGCTATTGACGAAAGTACTACTGTACAACCGCTCAGCTTGGAACTGGAGGTTCAATTGAAGTTAAATCATAGTGGACTATTAATCATAGTTCGTTTCTTAAACCTTTTCAATTTAAAAAAAAATATTTTGACTTGGATATCTCATCTATCTCATTCTGCTGAACGTGCAACATCATTGTACCAATATCAGGAATTTCTCTTCTAGTTTTGTGGTATTATGTGTTAATTACTGTATGTGAAATGGACTTGCAGGAAACCCATTTGGTCATTCACAGGCTTAGAGCCACATCGCTCCACTCTCTAACGAGCAAAGACTGAGCCCTCTGCTGAGAGAGAATTGTACGATGTCCAGGTTTCAAGGGAGGTGACTTTACTTCTGTGACTCGCTTAGTACCACTGAACCCTTTTACATACACAATGCTATCCCTTAATAGCTTAGAAAATAACATAGACAACACCATAGAAAATAACAGCTGGTTGCAAACAAAATGTGGATTGCACACCAAAGTACCACTATTAAAAATAAACAGGCTTCTTTTTATTTGAAGAAGACAGACGTTTCAATCCATCCTCAAGCATAATTTATATGCATTGGTCTGCTGTGGCTCTATTTAGCTAAAGCAGAAAATGCAATACGTTGTAGTATTGCAGCATTTCAGAACACCATAGCTAGTCTGTCAAAAGGAAGTACCTAATAAGAAATCCAGTACATGACATCATATTCCTGATTTTAGGTTTTTGTTATCCACACAGGCAGACCACTCACCTTCTAAACATAACAGTATGAATAGCTTCCACTCGTGGTTGTTTACTATGGACTGTGTGCAAGGTTTTCATTATGAAGTACAGTATGGTCTCAACATCTTCAAATTTACTACAACATTTGTGATTTTGCTATTTTTGAGATTAGGTCTGGCTGACAGAGTCTGGGATGAAAGAAGAGAAGAGCAGAATGAAACTGAGCTAAAGGTTCTTACCCACAACTTTCGAATTAATAACAGTGCCACCAATTAGGATCATGAGACAAATCTCCCTGCCCAAGTAGCCACTACTCTGCATGCGCATCCCAGTGTGGTCTTGCTGTTATATTGTAATGAACACTCCTGACTCTGTGTTGGCTGTGTGGGGAAAGACAGGCTTTAGATGACCTTGTCAGACCTTGTCTTTTAGTTTAACAATGTTATTTAAGGGATACTTATTTTAACCAGAAAAACTACAGTATACACTGTAATAGATTATGCAAAGGTACTGTATAGATGTGGACTTGATTACATGTCAATTTGCAATGATTCCGAACTCTTGCAACTGTCGAGACCCTGCAGTACTGCAAATGCAACCAGTAAAAACTGTAAATGAAATGGCAAAACAAAACTATTTTCAATTAAAACTTAAGAAATCCCCACTTGTACCGTATATCCTTGTACTGAATATATCATTTCATGGCTGATGCTGTGGTCAGAGCATGTGCTGTGGTACAATACAGAACCTGGGAGTGACAAAGCCCAAAATAACCGAAGATTCTTATAAAAGGAAAACAAGTACTTTTCTGGAAAAAGATGTCTCTATTTCATTCGCAAGTGGAGTGACTTTTTATAAATTTGGGTGCATAGTGACATAAATCCCAAACACTACAAAGTCCAGAAGAAACTCTTTGAAGACTGAAATATCCTACTGAAATCCCTTAAAAGGGTATGATTCAAAGAAACATAAAGGAGTTATTATATATGAATAAATATCAATCTTTAAAATTAACATTTAGGACCAGTTATTTGTTTTATATTAAACATGCTAAGATCTAGCTTTAGAGTAAAATATTATTTTACAATGACATTTAAATATTTGTAGTGTACAAATAGTAGTGTAGTGCCCCGTCTCATTTGTCTAATTGACAATATTAGTGCAGGATAAATCATGTCAGTATGTATATGTACTATAACTTATGAATGAGTTTGTGAAAGTTAAAAAAAAATTGTCAGAGATACCTGATGTTGAAGGACAGATCTGTAGAAAACGCTTTTGCAATATTTCAATCTATCTGATAAAATGTCAGTTTGGTGTCAGGGATTTATCACTCCCAAGCTACATCTGCGAAGTGGTTAACATTCCTTTAAGATACTCAAGATAATGTGATTTCATTCAATATAGGCCCAACTTCTATAGTGTTTGAGTAGATACAGTACTGTAGAAAATGGGTAGTCAAATCATTATTTACAGAAATATGATGGTTATCTTTTATACATTGTTATTTATAAAAAAATACTAACTGTTAACATGTCAAACAAACCTTAAAACTCAAGCATATTTCAGGGAAATTGTTTGGGAAGAAATTGATGTGAACTGTATGTCTGCAGGAGGTGTGAAACAGGAGCAGGAGTACTTCAGACAGAAACAGCTGTTTGGTCACTAAGTCATGTTTTTGTCACTTAGCTATGAAGTATAAAATGAATTAGAAGTCTCTGAATACTGTATTTTTTTTGCAAAATCATACATAGCTCTGATCTCTTAATGCATGGATAACTGTTTATCAATGGTTATTTTTAGATGAACATTTAAGATCTAAGAATAATTCACAGAACTGATGCAAATATTAACATGATTTACTTGCAAAAAATATGACCTACTCTTCCAAAATCAGGCTCTTTGACATGAATTGCTCCTGTACATTTAAAATCCCTCTTCAATATAGCCAGAGTACTTGTTTGAGTCTTTTTAGTTTTTGAAAAGTGACTTTATAAATCAGAATATGTTGAAGAATAAACCTGCAAGGATAAAAACATGGAATACTGTGAATTAAAGAGCCTGGTTTTGAGAGACCAAACCACAGATATATATATTTACGAGGGAAAATAATCAAGGGATCCAAAACATCAGTTCACATAATTCTTATTTATATATGAAACAAAAAAAGCACTCAGTTAAAAATAAGCTGTCTTTTTGCACATTAAAATAGAGTGAGACTTCCTATGAAAAGAACAGGAGCAGACAAGCAAAGAACAGCACCCCAACTGCAACACTGAAATGGTGGGAACAAAACTATTAACACCACAGTGCAGAGATGTGTTGAAGCAATGCCTGACTTTTGCATGCAAGATGATTAGTAGCTGATATCTCTTTTGGGCAATGATATTACAGCACTGGCAGCCCTCTGACAACTCCTTACCATTGTCCAGCAAGTAAAACACTGGGCTGTAGTGACTGGCTTTCAGATTTGCTGGGGTGTCAGGTAAGGTGCGGGGATCATTGTGAAGTGTGGTTGGATAAGGAACTGAAATGAAAATTAAAGAAGAATACATATTCCTTGACAAAAAGGGAAAAAATAAGCAAAAAGTATGGGGCATACCTCTCAGCCTACAAATACAGTTTATAGGACCTGTACAACATTTCCATAGGCTGAAATGATACAGTATGTTACTACAACAGTGTAATGCAAAAAGAGGGTAGCAAATTTGATAAAAAAATCAGGAACCATGAAGGCCTGACCATCCTGTTTTACTTCACAAGCCTAAATCTCTTCAGCAAACATCCCCCTAGGCATCCAACATGATTCAGGATATTAGTGGATACAGAAAAATATGGAGTTCATTGCACATTTCTACTAAGTAGGCAATTCAGTTCACCAAAGAGACTTCAACGGGTGAGAGGTATGCTATTTACTTTTTCTCAAGCTTTACAATTTCTACACATGAAAATGAACAGTTAATCAAATGATTAAATCAAACAGGAGCAACAATGTTATTGTGAAATTGGAGTGCTCTATTCACTTTAACCTGTCTGGAGGGGAGAGGGGTAAATCCGGTTAGATTCTGTTAGATGACATGGACTAAGTAGGCCAGTGCCATGCAAAATGTGCTTATGGTATGAAATAAATTTGTCATCCTATTTAAACATAGGTTGTTGTTTATTTTAATGTGAGAAATATTCACTTTAGGAGCATTGGAAAATCAAGAATAACATGCTGTAAGAGACTTTTCAATGTGACATTGAAAATTTAATATACACTTTGCTCTAATTTTCAAAGAGACTCTGAACTTGACAAGCTAAAGATGGTTTTAAGGAAAAACTAAAACAATACCTACTGTAAAAAATGTGTAGAGCACAGAAAAATTGTGTTTGTAGTTTGAATAATTTTAGCACCAAATATCAGGAAACCCAATCCTAAGAACCACGTATTAATGCGGAATTATTCAGTCTATGGGAAGCAAAGCAATAAACGATGCCTTTATCACACATCTGGGACTGTATTCATAAGCATTGCAGTGCTAGTCTTGTGCAAATCTTGCATTAGAAAAACTTATAATACTTTTGTCAGACTAGAAAGAGATAAAACTGAAGGGCTGAGCTGTCAGTTTAAAGCTAAAACCATCTAGTTTAGGAACAAAAAGCTTGGTAAAATAACCACAAATATGAGTTTTTCACAAAATTTTTCACAAACTTTTTGTTAATCATTACAAAAGACCACACAGTGTGTCAGTAGTGCATTTTCTAGAAATACTTTCAGGGAATATATGTTTACTTTTGTTTTTCACTGGTATGTACTGTACATACCACCTTCCTAACATACAAACTTGCCTGTCTTCCTGTATTTTTGGGGGCTTTCACTCGAACCATTCTCATCCAAAACTAGATATGATTTATTTTAACATTTATTTTTGGTAACATTTTCTTAGATCTTGTCTTAATGATAGTAATAAATGCACCTCCTCCCAGATACACACACAGACACACATTATGCTTTTTACACAGAGGCCCCAAAAGAATATAAAATTGATAATGGCCTTTTAATAGATTGTATGCAAGAGCACTCTTACATTCTGTAAAGAAAATGTCACTTAAATTGTTAGATGCTTCACTGCATGCATATTAATATTCTCGTTATTCAGTCATGCTGAGGTGATGAACAGAATAAAAAGCAGGCACACATTAGTTGCACATCCCACAATGGACTGAATTCACAATTTTAGTCTTATTTTTCACCTTTAGATTTGCCACACACTTTTACATTGAATTTCACACAAGGATGTATAGCAAGCAGGTTACAGTATGTAAAGCTTAAGCCAGAGAGTTCAACACTGCAAGCTCTGACCGCATTTCAATGTGAGATGTTAATGACAACCTGTGTAAGAATACGTAATCAATACTACAGTCTTTAATACACTTACATACTGAAATGTGTTCATGCAGTGGTGAGTAGCCTGGACTTACTCAGGATCCACAAGTGTGGATCTGAAAAGCGGCTCAAGGGATACCCACCCACCCCCCAGCAAAGCAGGGAATTTGAAATGCAAAATCCTAGAGGATTTTTTTAATATACTGTAGATAAGCATCTTCCATGTATTAAAGGTGCTTTTACACCTACAGTAGTTTCAGAAAAAAATGAATACTGTATATTCTTATTTTACCATCCCTACAAGACCATACCTAGAAATTATGAGAGATGCAGGTGACCCTTGGCCCACAGGCTGCCCACGACGACTTCAATGAGCTGGAATAACATGCTGCTACCGAGTGTCAGGATGTCGGTAGTCAAGTACACTCCAGTGCTATTGTAAGTGCCAGATGTTACTTATTCTAAGAGTTGTATTCTTGAAATCACTTGCACACATCATTCATTTTATATCAGTTTTTAGCTAACAAGAAGCAGCCCAGCAATTCTGAAAAGTTTCATACTAGTTTATCAAGAAGCTTGCTTACGAGTCCTGGCAGGTAGTTTGAAGTATTTGTGGAAAAAATACTGACAATAACTATTTCTTTTGAAATTGTCACCTTGGTGTTGACTCACTCCTACCATCCTCCTTCTAGATGATCAGGTAAGATAAAGATGAAATCTGTGTACCCCATTTTGCCATCCTTGTATTTTGATGTTTCACGTCTGCTGTGCAAACAGTTCTTTATGAGGACACTGCAAGAGTGCGCGTGACACACACCACAGGGGCAGCTCTTGAGCATTTTGCTAAGTTACCTCGACCAAGCAGAAATCTGTTCCGCACTGGTAGCTTTCCATCTATTGAGTCCCATATCCTGGGGAATTCCGTACCTCTGTCTCTTACAGTGAAGCTACTAAAGACAGTTAAGGAGAAACAATCCCAAACTCCAGCCAGTCACCTGGTCTCTAGGCTATAAATACAGGAATGTAGACTTTCCTTTTCCCTTTTTGCTTCACTGATGTCTTTGCCAATTCAGCAACACTAAGGCTTGTTTTATAAAGCATTCTAATAGGCTTGGCCACACGAGTGTTGTTCCACACGTAAGGCTTTGCCAAATTCTTAAACCTCCATTTAATGAAAACGTTACTTGCTGGATTTGCTTGTATTTTCTGAAATATAATTTAAACAAGTAATATAGTGTTATAAATGGGCAATAACAATGTTAAGGGCACTTATGCATGTTTCCATGAGAAAAAAAATATCATTTGCTTTTGATTTTGCAACAAAATAATACAGTATAATACAGTTGTATTTGCTTCAAATTGGTCAATGAAGAGAATGAGACAATACTTGATGGTGGAGTAATATTGGCCTACAGTGCCTTTCAAACAAACTCAGACCATTGCTATAATGTTCCATTTTGAGAAATTATATGTTAATACTTATACAGTTTTGAAAAATGTTTAAAATATTGAATTCAAAATCTGAATATTTAAACTCAGTATTTCTAAGGTTAGAATAAGTTAGAGTAAATGTCAACAAAGACTAAAGAGAAAAACTGAAAATTATGTTGATTCCTTAAGTATTCGGACCCGTGAATTCAATATTTGGAAGAAGCACCTTTGGAAGCAATTAAATCTTTTAGATTCTTTTAGAGTAAGTACCAGCTGTGCACACCAGCCTGGTGCAATATTTGTCCATTTGCTTTTGTAGATTTGCTTAAGCTCTCTCCAGTTTCTTGGGATTGTTTATGGATAGCCATTTACAACTCTTTGTACAGATTATCATCTCAAAAAGACTAAAGTGAGATCCTTGACAGAGCCCCTCAAATACATTTACTTTCTTATTCTTAAACCACTACAGTGTAGCTGTGGATTATTGTACTGCTGAAAGGACAATTTGCACCCCAGAAGTCTTCAGGAGATATGCCTGTTCTTTGCTCCACCCAATTTCTCTTCAATCCGAATAAGTTTAATAGTCCCCGCTTATGAGAAGCATCAACCTAGTATGACCATGCTTGACAGTAGGGATGGTGTTGACTGGGTGACGTGCTTTTTGGTTTTTGAGCCTAAAAGTTCAAATTTTGAATGCACTGTTGCAAAACACATGTGAGATTTGAGATTGGTTTTCCACTCTGCAATACAGAGAATCTGAAGTGACAGAGATATTGCTGACCCCTGGATTTTTTCTACCATCTCAGCCATTGAACTTAGTTTTTTTCAAAGTTGTTGTTGGTCTCACAGCGGTATCCCCTGCCAGTTTCCTCCTTGCCCAGCAGCTGAGTTTGGAGGAACAGCCTGATCTAGGCAGTGTCTAGGTGATACAGTACAGTATGTTGCATCTTCCATTTTTCGATAATTAAGCAGACTTTTCTATAGGGATATTCAGGACTACAATGTATTTTGCTCTTCTCATAATCTGTGCTTTTCAGTTACTTTATCCCAGACTTGATTTGAACATTCCTGATAGTTTGCTTGTTATTTATTACGTGAGCAAGGACCCTCACCTAAGTCACAAGAAACACTATTATAGGACACAGATGTAACTCATCTAATTGTGTGGCTTATTAAGGAAATCTTGTGCACCTAAATCAATTTAGATTTTCCACAGCAAAGGGTTCGAATACGGATGTAATTAATATTTTCCTGTTTTTCTTTACTTATCTATTTACTTTTTTTTTGCTTTGAATACATGGCATATGTTTCGGTATGCATCAAATATTATTAACTATTATTAACTAAACCATCATAACTGCCAGCTTCAAAGCAACAAAATGTTAAAACCCTGGAATTTTTGAAAACTTTTGCAAATAAAATGAATACTGTGTAATTAACGAGAAAAAACTTACAGTAGACATGTTTTGAATGGAGATAAGAGTAGAAGGATACTGAAATAAATGATGCTGTCAACAACACTATTAAGCTGTTCTTTTGGGACAAGGATTATAAATTGTTGATTGGGACTAATGAAGAACAGCTGTTGTCAACAGTTCCTTGAGGAGACTTGCAGTAAGTCTTGCACACTCTATAAAAATATTATTAAGCGCAGAAGATGAGGGCAAGACTTCAAAATGTTTCATGGCTTAGTCCACATATTTGACCAGATTAAAGTAGAATTTATCAGTCTATTTCAGATTTAATTCTGCTGTTGCTCCACAGCCTGCATCAGCAATATCATGGATATTATAGAAGTCTACTTGTTGCTCTTCCCAATGCCTGAGAATATTCCTCTGTTTATACTTTTAATAACTCTTCTCCTACGTAGCTCTTCTGCTAAGTTGGTAATGTTAATGATACAGAATAAACATTAATTTAACATTATGATATTAAAAAAATAAACATATTTTTCCTACACAATTAATCAATGATTAATCAATAGTTTGCAACCCCTTTCCACTTGATATGAACTGGATATTAAATACATTTGAAAGAAATCAGCTTTTAAATATAAAAACTTTGCCTAGTAAGCAAGAACAAAAAAAAAACTTTAAAACAATAAATCATTTCATGCAGATTTGTTACAAAGTTCTTCACTATGAATTGGTTAGGAGATGCTATAAAATGCAATTTTCTTTGTAGTATTGGTATTTCTGAGAACACCAGGTGAATATATGTTTAATGCAGCCAGGCACAGTATTGTAAGCTAAACATTTAGAAAATAAAACAATAATTTGATACTTTAGGTAAATTAATGAATAATGAAAGCTAAATGAACTGTATTCTTTTGTTTTTTTTGTCAGTCCATTTACCATAATTTACATGTGTGCCAATTCCAAAATTAAGAAAAGCTTTGATCTCAAATCTTAGTAACTAGAAATTTGGTAGCTGAAACCAGGATGCATACCCTTTTAAAGAAACCACTCTCGCTGATAAGTGATCACAGTTTTCAACTTTCTCATCTCCTTACATAACAATATTCAGAAATTCTGCTCAGAGCAGACAATGTCACTTACTCATGTCTGTTCTAGGCTAATTAGCTAATAAGCAGATTAACTCTTCTCCAAGACTCTTCCTCTTCATATTCAGAGCTTATCCATTATAAACCTGATAAAAGCTACAAAAATAAGTTTTACAAATGTATTTTTTTTATGTTGCAGAGTCAAGTCAACATTAGTGCTTTAATTTCCTGTCTTTTTTTAATTCCACTCTTTGTACTGGTAGACATATCAGTCCTAGATACGAAGGATCACAATTGTAAAACACTTCTTTAAAGGATGGTTGGCAAAGCCTTTTAAAAATCATACTGTATAATCTGATAAATGACTTGTAGAACTATTAAAGTTGTGATGGGATTTTGTATTTCTTTGCATATTTTAAATTTCCTTCACCAACAATCTATACATCCATCCATTTTTAGATAATTACTTAGTTCAATACAAGGCAGAATATACCCTAGATAGGATGCTGGTCATTAAAGAGCTAGCCTTATGTTTTTTGAATAATTACTGAAATTGACAGATGCACATCCATAAGTAAACAATTAAATACTTCAGAGCATCAGGAAACTACGGACTGTACACTGTGTAGCTCATATTGCCTTTGTACTGTGGTTGTCCTGGGATATTGTAAACCTGTATATCATTAACAACCAATTTACTCTATTTGTATTCATTTTCTAATCTTACAATAGAATTTGATGTGGACAGATGGGGTCCTGAACATTACAGAATTTTAAATGATGCCAGATCTACACATATACAAGGAAGTAGTTCAGGTGGGTAGCTGCATCAGCATGCGTAGCCTGCAAAATGAAACACAATGTAATAGGTTGGTTCCATGCTGAAAAGAGAAGAAAGAAAACACAAAGTTTCGGCCATGGAGCCTTCTTCAGGTCGTGGAGCCGAAACGTTGTGTTTTCTTTCTTCTCTTTTCAGCATGGAATAAACCTACAGTATTACTTGTTCCTATATTAAGTAAGCTATATGTAATTTATATGTAATTTAAACACTGCAGCTTTTATACTTGCATTGACAAGAATTCTCACCCAGATCATGTTCACTCTGTAGTGGTTGCATGTACAGTATCTATGTCAGTGACTATGAAATCCCTTTGCTGACCTTTGCAGCTGTACATGCCCAAACACCTGTCTCCCTCCTTGAACTAATACAAAGCTACGCTTTAGGCCACACACTGAGTCTGCTGGTACTGGTCCTCTTTGTGTTTTCCCTTTCTGAAATACATTCGCATGGCTGTTTAACTGCTCTTGCTTTAAGGGTCCATTTATAAAATCATAAGAAAGTTATTTTTCTTTTTACTCACTTGTTCTGTGTTTGATCGTTTAAAATCATAAATGACTAAACTTAACTAAAAGCACCACTGTGCCCAGGAAAGCCAGAAGTAGACAGAGCTCCCCTATTCAAGAGAGTAGTCCAATAAGGGTCATTTATGTCATCATCTAGAAGTGCAGTTTATTTTACTCAGAACTTACTTTCATTGCTACTATTGAGACAATGAAGGAAAAGGGGAGAAGGTAATCTGATGTAGCTCACTTTATTGCTGGAGGTTAATAGATCTGGGGTTTTCATTCAACCAAGTTTTGAAAGGAGCCTTTGTTTCAGATTCCATAGCATGACTGATATAGTGTATTGCTCTTTTTCAAACCATCAAACTTCTGGCACTAGAAGTGCATATACTGCTATTAGAGAAAAAAAAAGATCACCTGACCCATATCTCATTTTCAGAAAGCGATACCAAGCGATAAGCTTTCAAAATTACTCAAACCCAATGCAGTTTCATACGAACAGAAATTGGTGATAAAGATTGTAAAAGAGAGCAGGCTATCTATCTTTTTAATGTTTGTCTGGTATCTTCGAAAGTATGTTCTTATTACTTTGGAGTTGAAAAACCTGTTCACAGAATTTTTCAACAGATATAATAATTGTCATAATAACAACAATTGAAAAAAAACATTAGTTTGCCTGACATTTTTCAGACATCAAACTCACTGTATATATACAGTATATACTACCAGAAATTCTGTAATGATAGAGACTAAACAACTTGAGAGTTGTGCTGACAATTTTGGGACTACTGTATCAACTCTAGAATTATGCAGAATCTGTATACTGATGTAGAAATGGTCCAGAGCCTAAATGATGTGTTTTTTCTTTCTTATGTTTTTCAGAATGATACTAACCTCTGCTCGTTTCTTGGCACCCCACACTGATGCAGCTATCCTCCTGTTACAATTTCATCGCTTAAAAACTATTTTGAAAACAATAGACTGGATTCTATTTTTGGAATTGAAGATAACAAAAATTTTTCAGCACATATTTAAACTTCAAGGGCAAGTTGTCCTAAATAAAGCCTTTAACAAAGGAACCATTTTTATATTCTAATTCACAGAACTGCAAAACAAAAGTGCTAGTAATTCTCTTAATATGTTTAGCTACACAAAGGCCAATTATACACATACAACACTCATTTTCATTGCAATCTGCTGTACTTTTGCTCTTGAAGTCTGTGACTGACAAGTATTTGTTTATAGGACTGAATATTTTGCATATTTTGCATGTGCATAGCTTGCCAGAACTGGCTTCTTTATCAAGCAACAATGAGAGTGTACCCTCTCTGGACCAATAATGCAGTATGCCTTTTAAAATGTTTAGCATTAGAATGTACTGGTCAGTGATATCACAGTGACAAATGACATGATTCAGAACTGTACAGACCGCCTTGCAAGGCCAGATTTCCATTACCTGAGGTGGGGGATTTGCAGCGCTCCAGCTCTGGGGCTACAGGGTTGTCTGACAGCTCTGTTAGACCTGCAGCATAATACAAAAGCAATACATCTCAGTCATTTCTGCAAGTCCTCCTCTCACAAGGTTAATGCCTTCTCATTCTAGCACATTTTTTTCCTACTGTAAACTGAGGCTGTTTTTGTTGTTGTTGTTGCTTTTCTTTGCTGTGTGGCTCAGGCACACACACAAGTGAGAATCCAGGGTCTCACAGCTAACCCCCGCAGAAACATCAGGTCAGGTTTTTGATAATATACACAGATGGACTGAATGGACAGGTAATATGATTTTCTTTATTTAAATTAAAACCTTTTGCTCTTGGTGTGCCAATTAAACCAAACTGCTGAAATTGTATCCTCTGTGTAGCACCTCAGATTTTGCCCCAGTTTACGTGACCTATGTGAAACAATGATATTCATCACAGTCTCCCCCCTACGCCATTTTTGGGATGCAAACATGCAGCAAGCAAAGAAGAAAAAAATACCTTCAAGAAGGCTGACACAGTTATGTGTATCTTGCGGCATAACAAAAATACATTAATTTATTCCAAACAGACAATTTCAACAGCAAACAACTTATTTAAAGGACGTATGGCCAACTAGCCAAAGAGTTGTCATTACACATCTCGTTTGTTTTCCTTTCCAATTTTTCCACATTCTGTATAGCAGCGAATCAGAATTTTCTAAATGGGTCTCTCTCTAGATGCAGGGCTGTACCATGTTCTGTGTTTGACTTTCCCTTGTGAGTCAGCCAACTTTACTCAGTCACCCTTGTTGGGATGAACATGCTACAAAGACTGTGAGTAACTGGTAAGAAATTAGTGTTTTCTCTTTTTAGAAGACCATATGACCTTTTCAATAGCCTGCCAGGCTTTTGTTGACACATTCCACAAACATTACATAACAAACCTATCTAAACAGATACTGTAGTATCTGGACATACAGTACTTTAATTTTCATCATTGTTTTTCATCAATTTAGAGTCTAGATAATAATCTAAATCCTTGCCCTGCGATGGACTGGCACCCTGTCCAGGGTGTACCCTGCTTTGCGCTCGTTGTTTGCCCGGTAGTTTCTGGCTTCCTGTGACACCGTATGGTATAAATCGATTTGGCAAATGACATGACATGACAATCTAAATCCATCTCACTTAGGCATAGCAAAAATAATACGCCCAACAGGGGCTTAATGGTTGGCATTTCACTGGTGAGATACAGATACTTTTGTCGTTTGTAAGGCTGTATTGAGCGTAGGAGGGACTGCTCCAGGAATCACAGTTGAGTCAGGTATTATGCATACAGATGATTACTGCCGAAGTCTTCTTTAACACTGCTGTGCTTTAGTGGAGCTGTTTTAACCATAATATTTATGTAAGAATTAGTCACTCATAATCTGTTTCTTTTCAGAAATGGCAGTGCATTCCCAATGTTAATAGCTCCATGTTTTATATTTCATTCCAAAAATAATTCTGGAAGAAAAATCGGGGATTTATATAAAACCTGAACCTCTCATCAACCAGGAAAGCTTGTATATTGCTGAAGCAAAGGACCAGGAGCATGGGTGACAGGGACAAGGAACATGTGCAGTACAGTAGGTAATGTGGAGACATGAGGTCACACGAACTGCCCTTAAATTCACACTTTCAGAAACAAACTTTCGGAAATCGAGCTGGCACATGTGGTTCCAGATCAGATACTTTGAGATAAGACTGTTTTTTCACATTACATCTAAATTAAATAGAAATTTGTGAAAAAGGTCAGATCATAATTTTGCTTTCCTACCTTTATATTTAGTGCTTATAGAATGTCTACACACCCTTTTAATGTGGCCAAATAGCCTAAAGTCAAGAAAAACTAAATCAGAATTTAGTTTACTTTTATTTATACATTGTAACACACAGCCAACAAATAGACAAATATTCAAACATTCAGAAAAGTAATTAAAAATGAAGATCTGCAAAACTGAGTTGGATACAGTAATTGTATCTTTTTGCACAGTGTATCTTTAGGTGTCTTCCTAAAGTTCTGTCTTATCTTTATCTTATCTTTAGAGCTTCCCATTGTGCCCGTTTCCCACACTCTTCTTGTCACCCTACTGACACCATTGCAGCAGCTCCCTGATTCACTCTTTGCAAAAGCAAGGGGGCACTTGATGAGCCTTATTCTTAGGGTCAGGCTTCAGTTAGGGAAGTTACACCAAACAACCTCTAATACTGTATACTTTGTCTCTGCAGTGCGTTTATTAGTATCCATCCAAACTACTGTTATGGATGATAATTTGGTTTTCTACTATATGTTTTATTTTATTGCTCTTATTCTGCAGCAACATTTAAACCTGGTTTTGCCCTCTTACAATTCACAACTTCCTCTTTCCTTGGCATCTGTAATTATGATAAATTCTTCAGCAATCTGATGAGTAGAACATTTGGTTGGCCAAGAGAATAGAACGATGTAATTCTACTTTTTACATGATCATTTATTTCAGTTTAGGGGAAATATTTAATCCTGCAGTCATCTGTCTGGATTAAAACAGACACCGCACGAACTTGAGAAACAGAAGTGAGGAGCATGGGATTTACCTTTTACGCAATATTTGTATTTATTATGGGATTAAAGTTGACAAGCATGATAGTTTGAAGTCAATTTATTTTTACTGAAAATGGACAAAATACGCATATTGAAAATTAGTTGGTAAATGCTTATGAAAGAAGCAAACTATCAATAAAATGACAAACAGACCGAGCAGCTACACCCCCCCGCCACACCCCTGTTTTGAAGGCAGACTTACTTTGGTAAGATGTACGGATCCGTTTCTTTGAATCTGAATAAAAGTTAGACAGGCCGCGCATGCAAGGGTGGTCTGTCAGGCATGCCAGAACATCAGCACCATCAGAATGGAGAGGGAAGAGAGAAAAACAAGCCAGAAGTGAAAGGAAGGTGACCCCAAACCTGCCCCCCTTTTTAGCCTCAGGGAAATCTATGCGTTTTGGTTTTGCTTTTGTTACTTAGTGCATATTCCAATGTTTCACATTTGCCGCTGTCTAGACACAACAAAATAGAAAAGAAAAACTTTATAGAAGAATTTACTGTTAGTGCCTCTAGTACAAAGAAAATATCACAGTAGGAGTTCAGAAAAACCAGAGACAGCACAACCATGTAATATTGCACTATGCAATCAATTTGCAATTGACTAAATCATTTAAATAATGTATCTTTTATATTTTCATATGTGCTAAATTTAAGTTCAAGGTGTAATAAGACATAAAATTATATCTAATAATATAATAATAGAATGTAAAGTAAAAAAAAACTGCTGAAGTTTATATTTTTCTTATCTGGTTATGTACTGCTAATGAATCAGTGTAACACAAATTATTCCTTTCCCTCAGAATACCACAAGAATAATGCACTGTACAAATGTCATATGGCATTTCAAAATTCTTTTCAGCGACAGTATTTATCCATGATAATGGATAACCCCTAAATAAATACTCATGAGGTATGATTTAAGTTATTCTCACCACTGGACTAGAAGTCAAAACTAAAACATGTCAGAAGAAAAAAAACCTTTTAATCCAGGGAGTGGATTATGGCAATAACAGAAGTAAAAAACAATAGTTCTATGAATTAAAATATTCAATTTACAGGTTATTTAGAAAATATTCTGGTGGTATTCATCGTAACACTAATTCTCAGTCATTATGCAATGTTACCTACAGTTTTACCTGAGGTTTGGGTCTGAAAGTCATGAATCGTGAAAAAATGTGACAGCACAAAAAAATTACCATTTTTAGTATGAAGTTTGATCTGGTTTAACAAAATAAACTTTGAGGACTAACATCAACTAATCCAAAGTAACATTTCAAATAATATAACATTAAAATGTTTGTTTTATACTGTAAATGTACTTATTAATACATTACAGTAATTAAAACAGAATATGAATGCTTAAAGATCTGTGCCTTCTATCCATGAGTTTCGGTACAATACATTATTAAAACCAGTAATTAATAACAAGCTACTAATAATACCATTACACACAAAGAAAGATATACTTTAAATAACTTGTTTATGCATTAGTTTTCACTACAATAGAAACATAGCAACCCGAATTATCATATCTATTATTTAACCTCAATGCCTAGACTTCAAAGGTTTGTTAAACTTTAATAATAATAAACAATCTGTCCTTCCCCCAAAATGCAACAATGTGGGTTCAGCCTCAGTTCTTTGTAAAATTGCAAACAAACCATTTATACTGCTGTGGCTTATTTCATACAAAGATAAGCAATTTTACACATCATTGAGATTTCAACCGGTACTTTCTTGCTTCTGAGAGAGCACTTAAATGTCCTTAAAATACCTCTTAATCCTGTTGTATTTTATAAACCTTTAGTTTATTCTTTTTATAGCACTGTGCAGCCATCATTGGCATCAATTATGTGTCTTTAGTTTGTGTTAAAATCACGCACTTCCCCTTGCAAAAGAGCAGTAATTTATGAGGAGCTTGAACGTATGCGTGCGGAGGGAGGAGTCGCAGGTTAGTCAAAGGAAACTAGCTGAAAAGGGCAATGTGCTCAAGCAAGGGAAAAACAGAATTCATGCAGGGATGCCACCTCAGACTGTGGTGAGCAGGCAGCCAGCATGCTTCTGCACATCTCCTTCGTACCTGCTGCGAACTGCTTGCTCTTTCGCGGGGAGCGGATCAGCCGCTGGTATGGGTCACTGGAGCCATAAAGGTCAAGGGTCCCCATGCTGAGAAGAACTGTCTTCTGAATGAAATCAACCACTGCAAGGCCATTGCAATTTCCAAAAGCCACCCTGCATCAACGAAGCCAAAGCACGCACATCCAGGACACACAGAGAGAACACGAGCCTTTAACACACAGTCCTTGCTAAAATGCCAAAGCTTTCACCATTGCAAAATATGCTGCAACGACAATACAGTAAATCACAGGTCACATACAGTAAAGCCCAGAAAAATGAAAACAAAGCAAAGAAATAACTTCATAGAACTTAATTGGATCGGTATGCAAAAGTCTAGATTGTCACGAATTCGCGTCACATTCTAGCACCTGAACACCTTTTTAAAAAACAGATGGCACTTAGAAGGAGATATTTAAGAAACATAAAAGAATTCCCCCAAATACCCAATGAGCTCTCAAAAGCTTAGTTTGGCAGCTTCTGAAGAAGACCTGCTAAAGGCTTGTATCTTACCACTTGAATTTCAATTATCAGAATCTATTATGCCAATTTATATTACAATGCCCATTTTTATACCACCAATTTAGATATGGGAATTATTCTTCAGCTTTGCTCTACTATCTGATACAATCCATCCAACCAGTCCAGAAAAGAGGGGAGCCTACATTGCAAAATGTGTTTTCAAGCCATCTGCCACCTTCTCTACTGCAAGCCTGTAACACAAACAGCAGGTCTGACATGCCAGGCTGAGTACTGGCACCGTTCTAATTGATAACATCAGAGACTTTACTGTTGTCTGACCGGCCACAGCTGTGGTTGGCCGAGAATTCCCCTGCTGAATTCAAGACAGGCCAAGTGTGGCCCACTCCCTGGGAATCCCATACTACAACTGGCAAAGGAAGGCGATGGCTTTTCGGGAGATGGCTCACATTTTCAAAAGAGCCTTAGTCTACTGCAGGTGTTCTATTAGTATTGCAGTAGTTTAAATTTCCTCAAGATTAAATAAAGCAGTAACTGAATCAGACTGAGTTAGTGGTTAATTCCACTTGGCTCAGGGATTAACAGCCTGACCTCGGGAAGAGGCCATCAGAAACAACCCCACTTGCTGGGATGAGTCTGTCTACAAGCTGCTGTAAGGGTTTTGATGGGGTGGAGGGAGGCATGTAAAGAGAAGAATATTCAGACGCGTTTCAGAAACCTGATACTCATTCTTCGGTGATGGTGAATGAGTGAAGTTTGGGAGTGCCCTTCTCCCAGACCTACAGTTAAACTCCATTTAACAAGTTTAAAACAGAATTTAAAATAAGATCTCAGATGTGACAGTTACTCTTAACAGACTTAGTTGAGCAGTTTAAGAGAAAGGTTTTACATAAAAAATGACATTTTGTGTGTAATAGGAAAATATAACATCCAGTATAAGTGTTCTGTGACACTGACCCTTTTACAAGCATACTGTATAATTGTAAATATAAAAAACAGAGCCTCAATACAATTTTTGAACTCACTGTATTTAAAAACAAGGACTAAGAACATTGTTAACAAATCCATGCTTCTTTGAAGAAAAAGCTGGATGAGATCCTAGGATCAATTAGCTAGGATCAATTAATTTTCAAATTTCAAGATGGGCCAAATCACCTCCTCTAATTGGTTGCCTTTCTTAAAATATTTTTAAAACTCATTCTTTAAAGAAAATCCATGTTAACGAGATCATTTAAAAACAAAGTCCTAAATATACTTAGTAATTTCTCATGCATGTATTTTTATTCATTGCCTTTGAGAGCATTACTTACAACCCATAGGCTGAGTTGATATCTAGACTTGTTATTTGTTGAGGAGGTTCTCCATCCACCCACACAAGTTGTATCACCAGCTCAGCTTGGTAACCAGGAGGCATCCTCACTGGTCGCGTCTTCACCCTGTCAGTTTAAAAATAAACACGTAAAAAATAAACAAAATACAGCATAACAACAAGGTGACCTACTCATCTGACGGCCTTATCAGGACCTCTGAAAATATGGTGCTTGACAGATGATAGGTGAAGGGCTATCTGTGATGACAAAACTCTGTGGTGTGTTCTACCATGAATACTATGTAAAATCTGAATTACAAATTAAAAAAAAATGCAAAGTAACATCAGCTAGTCCACAACTGATCTTGGCTTAGAGGTTATCTGATCTCTTAAAGTAGTATCAACTTTACCTACTGTAATAAACACCTACAAGCCACAATAACATTAACTTGCACTCTCAACCCAGGGCTGAGTACTGTACCTGTTTGAATAAATCAAGAAAACTCTAAAGGAAAAGGAGATCAATAGAATATTTTGCAGGAAAGGTTAAACAAATATCAAAGTATAACACCATGTTAATAGAAGATAGTTATTTTGTCCATTGTGGTTGGAGAACTGGGATGCTTGGAAACACATGTAAGTTTATTTCTATTTACTGTACGTGATTACAACGGTGGTGGTTTGAAAGCAAACAAGAATGTTCAGTTATATCCAGTATGCTGTTTATTTATACAAATAGATTAAAATGGGAAACTCAACCCTGGTGTTAGTGTGTGCATGTCTTTGTCCGTGTCTGTATGTGGCCTAAAGATGGATTGGTATAATGTCCAGCGTGGATCCTGCCCTGAACCTGTCGTTAGCTGGGATACTGTATGCTCTGGTTTCGCCGTGACCCTATTTTGGATAAAGCAGTCAGAAAATGGATGGATAAATGAATAGATGAACCGACAGCAAATACTTTCAGTAAAAATACACAACAGGAGATTCTTACTTCAAACATGGAATGTTATCTTTTATTCCCTCTGGAGTAACTGTCCCTGGGCTTCCTGGAAGAGGCTGGGTTTTAATAGAAGGAGACTGGGAGCTCTGTTCTGGGAAATTAGTGTTGGTCTCTGCTTCTGGAGAAATTAAATCCTCCACTTCGTATTGCAGACGCACTTCCAGTGACTGCCAAAGAGGAAGCATTCACAATGTTACACGGCAAACATGGAAACACCTTTTTTTTTTTGCTTACCACCTTCCTTGCCAAATTATTTTTCAAATGCCCTGTAAGTACAATTAAGAACCTTAAGATGTAAAATTACCAAAGTTCCATGAAAATGAACAATCAGATGGAGCTTTGCTTGTTGTTTGCCAAGTGACTGAAGATAAGAAGGATATTATGTAACAACTACAAAATACTCATGTAAGACATATCCTTATAAATGCTCATAATACCCATAAACAAGACTACAGACACAAAGATGGGGGCCACTATGAATATGCATGTAATGGAAATTATTACAGTATCATTTACAAAACAACAAGTTTAAAGTGACTGCATCTGCTTCTTTCAGACTAGTTTCTTTAAAGTTAAACCATGCATAGGCGGGGGTAACACAATAACAAAAGATGGAACTTGATCCTATGCTAGAAGAATTATTCTGCTGCAATTCCTTTTTAGCAGAAAAAAAAATAAAGCAAGTTAAACTCACCGCTATTTCAGTAGTGGCCTCATGTTTGCTGAACCTGTAGACGATCACATGGGCAGAGATGCCAGCCACGCAGAAGATCCTGCTCTCCGGGCACCAGCTGATCATCTGAATAGCAGAGGGGTCCTCCTCCACAATCTCTGCTGCCTGCTTCCCCTCGGTGGTCTTCTGCTTCTCAAATACCTTCGAGGTCTTCAGCTTGTAGAGCATCTGAAGGGTGACTGCAATGGGAAAGCAGCACATGTGTTTCTTTACCAGGCTCTTGGCTCTAGGACAGGACAAAAATCTGCTCCGTTACTTCAATGCAACCTTTCAATAAAACATAGGTGCCCTTTCTCTTACCCTTGTGTATCCACTCAGTTGTTCCTTCTACTTATACTTAATGTCAATTTTGTGTATTACATGCAACATAGGATAGGGGGATCTGCTAGGAAAATAATGCAATGTACAGATTATTGGCATTATTAATTTTTTTCCATACTCATTTTTAAAGTTATAAAAATCATCATTTTGGCAAATACTACGATTTTGAAATATGCTGTTCTTCTTCACAGAATCCCAAATTACCACGGCTGTTATATTGTAGCAGAACCATTGCAATTCTCAATCCTCCGCATGGAAGGGGCAACTTGGCACACACATGTCCACCCAGAAGCAAAGCTTTATTGAGGTTATTGTACACATTCATGTTATGTGACATTTTTGTACATAGAGAGTTATTTACATATGTATACAAAACTCTCCACGCCAAGATTGGATTTCAGTGAACTGTATGGTGTTATCACAGTGTGAGGCCTGTCACCTAAGTGTGACAGCTGCCACTCTATTCTTCATCTGCTGGGATTCACTCACAGTTGTTTGTGGGTTCCCAGTGTTCCTCCCAGTGGGTTCCCAGTGTTCATAGTAGAGACAAACTCTACTATGCTTTTACTATGCTTTCTTTATGAAGTAGCATTTGGATGACCACCAAAACATTTTGTGATATGTGTATTACATTGTGTTACAAAATTTACTCCTTCAAAAATTATTTCAGCATGAAGCTTTTGGCTTTAAGAATCTTGTGGCCGTGGTTGAAGATACAGAGCAAACAGAAGATACAATAATTATTTAGCGATTCACCTCCCCGTATAAATGATTCTGACACATTCCGGTGCAATTATGAAATGTGATTTTATTTCAAAATACCACGGGAAGATAGTGGAGAGTGTAAAGGTTTTGAAAAAAATAGTGAACCAAACGAACTTACTGGCAGATGCATCCCAGAACTTGACTGAGCCGTCTGCATGCCTTTATAAAGAAAAAAGACAATGTCAGTGACAAGTATTTTTAAGATGCCAAATAAATAAGCTTTAAGGTTGGAGGAGAAGAAGAAGGGTCAGCAACCTTCAGTTTGAAACTGGCTGTGAAGCACATTCGTTCATATCAAGTAAGTCTCACCATAAAAGGGGATTAGAATTGTTATTTCTTAAGGCTCATATTGAATAGAAGACAAACACCATTTTATTGAAGCATCTACCATTCACTAGGGAACTGTGGTCATCAAAGAAACCATACACAGTACATATTCTGGGGTCCTGAACACTGTAAGGAATAATGTACTGTACACGAGGAAAAAAGCTCAACTTTATTATGGCATTGTGCCTTAAATTCTAAAGTAGTTAAATAATTTTAGGAAACTGATTATTTTAAAAGAGGAATGTATAGTGTTCTTGCCAAAGTACACCATCATATTTAAGTGGTTGGGCCCAACCCTCACAGTTCTTGTAGAATTTACAACAAAATCCTACAGAGGAAAAATGTAAGCAAATGACTAAATGACTCTTGTCTTTGGTAAGGTACTTAATTTGACAAAAAGCTTCAATGTATTATGGCAAATCATAAAATTACCTGATAATTAAGTTGCTTTATACTGTATATATTTATATTTAAAACATTATTTATTTTTGGGTAGTTCCACAGTACTTGAATTATATATCAAATAAATATCTGAATAGCTATGGTAACCCAAGTTCATTTTGTTAATTCCAAAGCAGTTTTACATAATTTTTTCATTTAAATCTGGAAGCAGAAGAATTGAAAAGGAATTTTAAGCAGCTCTTAAGAAGACAAGCACTGGGCCAGCAGAGATTTGGGGATGCTATCCCTGTTTAAAGGCTGCCATGGTGATTATCTTTCAACTGCGTTCAGTTGATTCATTTTGCCCACTCTGGTATGAGGGTCACACTGTTCTCAGCACCACAGGGCCAGAACCAATCAGTCCTACTTCAAGCTCAGTTTGTTTTATATGTGTCATGCATTTTCCCTCACTTTCACTTCCTTTCAAGACAAAGGATGAATATAAACAAAATCCCACAACCTGGATTCATGTGCACACCCTGTTACCAGGAGTTCTCTCTGGAATTGAAGTGTGATTTCTCATTACATATGACCACAAGATAAAAAATCAATTTAAAATACCAATTTTCACAAACTTTTGGTCACATACGGTAAATACACGAATTTTCAAAATATTAAATAATACCAAGTGGAAACATGCACTACATTAAAGCATCAAATTAATTAACCCTAGCAAAATTAACTTTTTAAATAAATAGTATTGTACAATAAATTAAATATGTATGTACTGTGAAATGTTTCTATGTTGGTAAAACTATACCAGTTAACCACACACAGCTAATTTAGAAAAAAAAATCTAAATTTCAAATTAGGAGTGATCTGTTTTTTTTTTCTTTTTTTCAGAAAAGAAATTTTCAAAATATTAATGTGTGTCTGCCAGTTATAACTGCAGTTCTCATTTAGAAAGTGAACCTGTGAATCAACAGACAGGTCTAATGTGGCCAAATGATGCTTCTAGTTTGGCCTGCAAGCTGTAAAACTCATTTATATAAGTAACCATAGAGTTAAAAGGCTTTATATCTGCAGAAGGTATATTTGCTAGTCACAGATGAATGCCCCTCAATAAAAATGAAAGAGGAGGGATTTTCTTCACATTTTCTTCACAAGAATGTCAAATTCTTTAATTTTAAGACACCACTCAGCATAATTAAACAGACTGTCCTGTATCCTAAATTGTCTGGGAACATAGAAAAATGGATATTGTATATTGTGACCTACTGTGCACACATTTCTATCTTACAACATTGCCTTTTCTAAAAAACCTTTACAAGTTCTTCAAGTGAGTACACTGACCTGCTGTGATACAACAATGTTCTTTGTTTAAGAAGTGGGCATATGTCCAAGTGCTTATGTACTCTTCACAAAGAAATAATAGAATTTCATAACAAAAGAACGATGAGGCCTGTGAATTCCTTATGGATCAGGCTCTTCTTTTGTTACAGGTAGCTCTGTGTGAAATTACAGGTCACTTGGATTCTCTCAAATTGAAGCTCCAAGGCCGTCCAAGCACCGCTAGGTATTCATTTGAAAATGTTGTATGTCTCAGAAGAATCCTGAAATCTTACAAGTAGGAAAGATGCTGCAGTTTCAGATATTGCTTGCTTGTGCTAGATGAAACTGACGAACATTGTGCAAGAATTCATGAACAACCTAAATAAAAATGTATAATTCTAAGATTCCAAAGGATTTACTGTTGATCTATTTATTATCTCTTTATATGGGTATTGCAAAAGCAAAGAACATTTTTTGATTTGAGGAAAGTGCCTTTTAGCTAGAAATTGCAAAGCTCCAGACCTCAAAAGTCTTAATGTGTAAATGTAGACAAATTCAACTTTTGGATTTCTGGACTCAATGAGTGTGTCAGTTTCTGAATAACAAGAGTCTTTTTTACACAATATTCACATTGATTTGCCTCTTGAAATTAGAGATTTCCACAAGTTGCAGTCAAGGTCTTCATTTACCGTAAGCAAACTTGTTTTTATCAACCTTTAGGGGAAATGTTCCACAGCCTTAAATCCTTTTAAAGCATTTCTTCAATCAGCACAATAGATAGCTGCATTTGAGTATCACTGAATTCCTGAACTTTTGTTGCAAATACGTACTGTTTATAATAATTTAAATAGTGATGAAATTGGTCTATCATTTATTTGAGATTCTCTGTGTTTGGTATTTCAATTGAACCAAAACCACCAAAATCAGTTGACTAAGAATATGTAAAAATAGTTGTGATATTAGGTAATGCATAAACAAAGACCATGCCTGGTTTGACTAATGAACTGGTTGCTATCAATGTGATTAAATTAATCTTTTTATGCATTCATAGATAAAATGACTAAAAAGTAACAAACAAGTTTAAAACATATAAATCTATAAAAGCAAAAGACTCTGTAGGAGCAAACTCACAAACATTTGCAAAATTAAAAGTATACTGTACCACATAGGTAATAAACTGATGAAAATTGCAATTCTGCTCTTGGATACCTCATTTGTAGCATGATATTGATCACAAAAACTTCTTTTGTACATAACTTGGCCTCATTGTCTTTATTTCTTTCACCCTCCAGCAGAAACAATCTTACAAAGAGATTTGTCATGCCAATTACAAATTCAACCCTTTATTTTGTGCAGGTGAGTTTCTAACAGCCAGCACCCACCTTTCAATAAGGAGCCAGACAGAAGACATTTTAAAGTACAAACAGTCAAAGTGTGAATATTCATTAAGATGCTTTCCAAAGAAACAAATCACAATAATAAGAAATTAAATGCTTAAGTCTCTGATCTTCAGTTTCAAGAATATTGCTGTTTTTTACTCTAAAGGAAAATGGCAGCGATTCAACACTCTTAATAGTTGTAATGATCATAATGATCTAACAGAAAAGCTGAGTTCCCCACTTAAACATTGAAAACATTGCTGTGTAAGTCCATATGAAAATGCAAGGGGCCTGTGGCAGATATCCCAACATAAATGGTTGCTTTGAAAAAGGCTGATAAAAATATAACCCGTATAACACTGGGTTGTTCTGTCCAGAAGCATCCTAAACCATCACATTACAGAATTCTGCTGCAACTGTTTTCTGAATGATTTAATTGATAATGGGGGGGGATCAATGATACAGTGGCACTGCTGATAAGACACTTACCCCGTGATGATGATTTCAGGGTATGTTTGTGTACCCAGGTTCCATGTCCCTCCATTTACAGGCCATTCCTGCTAATGGAATAAGAGTTTTAGAAAGTCTGAACTGAAGAATAACTCACAGTTCTGTCTTTCTGGTATTTGTTTCATAGACAAAAGACTCAGTCCTATCAACTGCTTCTCAAACTGAAAGGATTTGCTGCAGAACTTTCTTGATAATGTAGATACTGATCAACACAATTATTCTTGACATTAGTTCCTTCCATTATACATTTGTGTACAGTGTTTCAATCTACTTTCCAAGCAGCAACTGCAGAGATATCCCATGTGTCATGAATAGAATATATAGGACAAAGCCAGCTGAATCATTGATTTATTTCCAAGCAATGGAACACCAACATATAATGTTAAGCTCATTCATAATAATAATAGATCAATCCAATATCTTTAGCTTTGGATGAAGGGCTTAAATAAATGGCATCAGTGATGAGGTTTTGTATTTTGTGCAAGGGGAGGATATTTGGGAAGCTACACCTTTTCTTTAGAAACACTTAAATGCTACAGTCAAGATAGTAAGACCTTTCAGGCATTAGACCTAGCAGCTAGACTCCTATCTACATTAAGTAGAAGTTTAATGTACTGTATGACAGTACTCTGTATGGTTAAATTACTACATGGTTAACATTTTAACTATGGCGCAATGGATACTGTATGCTATACGTTTACCAGAAAACATAAAAATGTGGGCTTCCATTGAGGTCAAAATATAACTGAACTACCTCCATATAAGGACATCTTATGATGTCTTTGTAGAACTTCTTTTCCGAAGCTATAGAATTTAAAAATAAATTAAATTGAAAGCCTCATAAATGATGTTCAAATAATACACACAAGTGTAACTCTCAAAAACCAGAGACTCTGAAATGATTATTTCACAGCAAGAGCTGCAGGGAGATAAGAAGACTGGTGATGGCAACTAAAGCCTTCTTTTGTATTAGTTAATCCTTCCACTTTTCTTCTGAATCCACAAGGGTACAGTTTGTGTTAAGCAGTAGTAAAAAGAAAAGTACATGGGAATAATTTCTGGAAAAAAAACAACCTGACTGGTACAGTAATTCAGTGAATTATAATGATTTTGCCCTACAGTATGTATAAACACTTCTCAAAGATGTCAATACTGTAGTAAAATGTGCTTTGCTAAGTAGGCTGTTCTCCAAGACTCAATATAAATTTTAAACTTAGTCCAAAAATGCCTGATTTGAACATATTTCATTTACACACTCAGAAATCCTGTGGACGTTCCCATTTTATTACCTAGAAATTACAGTATTTATTATAGTTCAAGTAGGTAGCTGTGTCAGCATGCATAGGCTGCAAAGGAACGATTTTAGAGATACTTTTTGGAGATACTTATTGTGTGATAGGACACAATATTTATTATGTCCTGTCACACAATAAATATCACCAAGAGATACACATTCTAGGGTAGCATGAAACCCATTGACCCTAGTTACCAAAGCTCAGTGTCCCAGAGGGAGTAGTCCAGCTGTGCTATTCTCTAAAAACATCTCCTGGTGTGCCTCTTCCACCGCAAAGAAAAAAATATTTGTAGGCTTAGGTATCCCCCTCCATTCTCAGCTATCCTGAACAACATGGTCCCAGATGCTCCCTCCCACTTTAATATTTCTCAGTCCAATGTCAGTAAGAGGGAAGACAATGCTGGGGCCTTCCTCTAATGCTCTCTGGTGCCTGAGTCCTCTCCTGGGTCCAACACAGCAATTCGGGGACTTGGGGAGTAGAGGGTGAAAGTGTCCCTTTGATGTCTTGGATATGGGCAGAGCTAACTGCTCAGGGCTCATTGATTGGCTGCATGCAGATGGCCAGGTGTAATGATGCTGTGTATTGGTACCTTGTTCTAAAGCCCACCTCTCAGTGTGAGACCCAGTTAGACCTCCGAACTGTTAATTGACAAGTGCCTGTGCAAGGAGGACCTTTGATCAATGGGAAGCTCAAGAAAAGAAGAAAGATGAACTCACCAATCTTAGGAGACACTTAGCATTCTATGCAAATTTTAAGTCAACAAAGTCCCCAACACCTGTGGCCTCACACCCAAATTTCACAGTCTGTGACACTACAGTATCTCCAAAAACTGTATGAGTGGCTTCTTCCAGAAGTCCATTACTCTAGATGTAAATTACTTCATCAGTTCTTTCTGCTTGATGTAAACAAACCTTAGAATTGGTGGAAATCAAACCTTCCTTCCATGTTTTTTTAAGTAAATAACGTGTGTAATTGTCTTTCTGAGCAATTGTGGATCGGTCTCTTGTTCAGTTCTCAGCACTCACAGTGTTCACCGGTTCTTCTCCACACTTACCTTATTGCTGTAGCCTTGCTTTTTGTGTTTGGCACCAATTGAATATAGAACAGGGATCAGATCAGGAGGGCAATCTGCGAAGTATGCAGTACAGGTAACTGGAGATTCATGAATATCCATTGGGTATGGGTTTTCAAATATAGGAAAGCTACCAGAGAAGGAGAAAACAAAAAGACATTAAGCCAAGGCTGTCCAAGCCTGGTTCAAAAAGCACCAATCCAGTTTAAATCATAGGTTACCTGTTTCTTAATATTTGGAACACTTGTACGTTGTTGGAAGATTAATTAAGTGTGCAATCTGTTCAATAAAGAGAACTCTGGTCTATTACTATTACTAATATTTTCTCAAATGTTTCAAACGTTCTGAATTTAATACATTTCCTGCTCCACCGATGAAAAGGGAAGTGTTAAAAATATTTAGAAATCTGTGATATAATGTTGTCCTGATCCTGTTGGATCAGGACTCATATAAAACCTGGTTGGAGATGTTTGATGTAAGGTTATCTATATTAAAAAATACAATACTTAATCTATTACAAAAGAAATCCTTCTGAATATTGAACCATACTGACAGGTGTGGTAAAGCACAATTACAGCAAACAATGCATTCAACAAACAAGGAGGAAACATACACTAAAATATAAGGGACAATTTGAATTAAAAAATCTGTGCTTTCATTCTCCCTTAAAAATTATTCAATATAATTCTATTTTATATATTAGATCAAATATATATTATATTTTAGGAAGCTAGTTGAAAAACAGATGAAAAGATAACAGAGGCCATCAGTAATATAATATATGCATGCCTTTGTAGACAGGCTATGAGATAGTTTTGGTGTAATGGATGCAGGAAAGATTGACACTAATTGATTGAAAATCAATATCTGGGACCCATGAACATGGCTTCTTCTGTTTTCTTTTCTTACAAGGGAAATTATTTACTTAGTTTTATCGTGTATTATTGTCTCTCATTTTTTGCCTTTGTTCCAATTCATCCTGATAATTTTCAATTAACTGAAGTTAGACCACCGCACTATTCAGGCATTAAAGTCACGATATAGGCCATTTATATTTTGTAAAATGATTATTTGAAACAGACAATTTAATACTAGCACAGTGAACTCAAAATATATCAAATGTTTTACTTATTTTTTTCAGAGCCAATGTGAGGGAAGGAACATAAAAGAAATATAGTACCAATACATCTGTGGGACTGACATGATTTGAAAACTGTTTTTGCCATTTACTTGCCAAATCAGCTTTTGCGATGTGATGATTGCTGGTTATTAAATGTTGAAATGGAAGTGCAGAAGATTGTTAGATTTAATCTGTTTCTGTCCCTCTGGGATTAGTCAGACAGATTGTGATGGAGTGTTTTGGCAGAAGGAAACCTGTTTATTCAGCCCAGTATTCTGTGGTAATAATAATCCCAAGATAATCACACATAGATGCTTAATTCAGTCCAGGTAGGATTTCTCTGTTTTGAACATGGTATTTAATGTTCTTCTGAACACTGCATGTTACAGTATGTACAGCCTTGAAAGACACAGTGAATCTAAAAAATACTCCACGAAGAGTCAGTTTCAAAATTGTACCTTTATATAAATTAGCCACAAAAGCAGAAAATAAAATGACAGATGCATGATTTGCAAAAAATGTACAATACATCTAACTATGCATACATACAGAATATCTCTAGAGAAGGACTTATCATACAAACTAGAATATTATATCTAATTGTTTCATTTCCAAAACTGTTATAACGTATTCCCTGTATTAACGTTCCTTCTTAGATTTTAATGTTGGATTTTTCTATGATGAGCAAATGTGAGCAGCTCAAAATCATTCTCAATATACTTACGTGCTTTGTGTCAAGTCCACAACAATGAAGTCCTTTTCAAGCAGCACAGCTACAGCATAGGGTTCCTGGAACTCTATAAGAGAAACACCGATTCAGCACTCCAGTTTTAATGTAATATACTGTACACATAACTTTTATAGAATCCATAAGTTCTGTTCTCTCCTGCAAGAAAATGTGTGTAAGATTAGTCTTGGCATGCAAGACTGAACAATCAAGCTCCACTTCCCCTCCTATGATTCTAGTGTCTTCTGAGAAACAAATCTCAGATATTTGACTCAAGAAATAAGCACACAGTACAATAGTATAAGCACAACAGATCACATGTTTAGACGTAGCAGGTAGAAGTGTGGAGGAGAGGATGGAATTCTTGACATGTAACTAGAAGGTGCAGCTTCAGGTCCTAGACAGGGCACAGCTGCTGCCACCGAGTAACCTTCTTGACTCAGACTGCTGCAATAAAATGCCCTGCTACTGTACATACAGTAAATTGACGTAAAGAGTTTTGGATAAAAGTGTCAGCCAAATAACCTTAATAAGGACACATGCTTATCAGATTCAGCACAAACATAATGGTGAAAAGTTAAAACAACATATCCTAGAAATGAGACAAGTGGATTTTTTTATTTTTATTGGGACAACTGAAGATAATAATGAGTGTGAAAAGAGGAGTAAAACAGAAATGGAATGCTATTCCAATGAAAAATGAAGCTATTGTAGAGTTAAATAGTTGAACTAGAGGGAAAATACAGATTTGTATAACACAAATCAAACCAGAATATTACAACATTTTTAAAAAATTGAATTGCCCATCATACATGGAATGTTTCATTAAAGGAGGAAAGACCTCATTTAAGGGAAAATGCCTACCTCCTATCTTATGACTAATTGTTTAATTCAGAAATAAACTATAAGTGGCATCCATTTTTTTCTGTTCTGAAATCCAGAACTGACATATCCATGAGAAGTTCTTTTTTAATCCATTATAATCAGCTGAGGAAGACATTCAGGTGTGGAAGCTATGATGGTAAAGGCAGATGTTTTGGTAGATCAATGCAGGTTTAATGAGCAGGAGAAATTGTGTATGTGAATGATGCACTGGATTATGATCAATGCTAGTTCATTAAAATTGTTGTATAAAGTAAAACATTCCTTTACAAATGTGAAAGTCAGATACATATTTTTTCCTGGCACTTTTACCAACATATACTATGAGGCATTAAAATGCAATAAATGAGTACTGGGACCAGGAGCATTTGTTGTGATATATAAGAATACCTCTGTGTATACTCTACATGCTTGGTTGTGTTCGCCTTTTTAAAATATTTTCTGGTGTTCCCCAGAAAAGTGCTAGAATAATTGTATTGAAATATTACTAAGATCTAGTAAATATAAAATGACTGCATACTCTCTGTAAGTAACATAAGAAATATTGTGTAAACTACACCGTGTTTATTATCTAATACTTTTTATACTACCTATACCTAACAGGAAAATGTGTTATCATTGTTGCAACATAGATCCATAAGAAACTACTTTTCAGCCAGCAGTTACAGTACACCCTGCAACTCACAACGACAGTAGCAACCCACTAAAGCTAAGCAAGTGTGAGCTTGGTCAGTACCTGTATAAGAGACCTCCTGGGAAAGCTCAGGATGCTGCTGGAAGAAATGTACAGTAAGTGGGACCAGTAAGGAGCACTCATCCTGCAGTCTGTGTGGGTCCTAATGCCCCAGTGTTTCTCCAAAAGAGTATGGGTGTTACCCTGGTGTCCTGGCCAAATTCCCCACCGGCCTTCACAAATCATAGACTCCTAATAATCCCCATCTATAAACTGGCTTCATTACTACAGTATGTTCTCCTCCCCTCTGATAGCTGATGTGTGGTGAGTGTACTGGTGGGATCATCCAAGAGATATAATCAGGTTTACTCAGCAGGAAGTTGCACAAAAATTATTTTTGTTGTCATTTTCCAGTTACTGTTGATGTGAATATACAGTATATGTTTGATTTATTTGTTCAATGATTTTAAGGAGTCTACAATGAAAATCATACATTTATTAAAAATGGATGCCCTGACATTACATGTCAGTATGACTTTTTGCTCTAAACATTTTGAGGATGATGGATTTCCAAAATATACAAAAAGAAACAAGAAACAGAACAAAACAGAAATGTTACAGTTCAGTTATGTGTCATTTGTAGTGAACTAATTCCTATGTGCAATACGAAAAAATCAAACAATTGCTGTTAAGGCCGATTGTTTATAAATCTTTATATTTTTCTATTTTTCAGCATCAGTTTAAGTGTTCAGTTATAAAACTGTTATTTATTCAGTAAACCTCTTATAAAAATGCAGTGCAAGGGCTTCATTTCAATTGCTGTGGTTTTCTGAAATTGCCAGGTATGCACTGAATTTAAACTTCAAGCAGACTGACCTTAAGCTGCCACCTGCATTTTTGTCACTCTGCCCTCCTATTGCTTTCCTAATAAAACATCGTAATGATTGCTGTCTTGAAGAGATTGTGTGCTGCCCTTGATACCCCTCTCTATTTTTCAATTCTAATTAAATCTTTTTTTCTTCCCCACAGGGTAATTCACAACCATGTGAACTCTCCATATAGTCCTCATTTGCATTTGTGCCAAGACTGATTATATAAATGCAAATGCAAAAAAAGTACATCTAGCAAGATAACTAAATGTACTAATGTTACCAGATGAAGGCCTGAACATGGCAGGATAATCCCAAACCTAGTTTATTTTGTTGAAGATCTAAGACATGGCATTTAAAACTGAGCTGTGATTTACATTTAGTCTCTTTGTGGCCACAATACAATTTCCAAAACACAAACGACTATGTCTATTACCATTGAAAGCTATATAACTTTAATTAAGAGGCTACTTAAGAAAAAAACCTAGGTTTTTATGTTGACACTTCACTTACATTTTCAAGACACTGTGAGGAAGCAAAAAAAATGCTAGGATATGTAGTTTAAAGTGTATAATTTAAATCAAGGGATGTTATATTAAAATATGTAATGCATTAGTAAGGCTTCATTTAGAATATCGTGTACTGGTCACCATGTTATTGAAAATGATATTGCTGCTCAGGAATCAATCAAGTGCAACCATATACTGTACATTCTAGAGTTTAAGTGAATGGCCTACACTGACTGGTTGACTGGTTGAAGAAAATAACATTTTATATTTTCAAACCCATTAGTTAATCTACGAATGACAGAATGATATTTCTTATTTCTCAATGGCTCCATACATATTAAATATATGAAAAGTTAGAAATGTGGTACAGTAAATGTAGCAAGTTTTACTGCTAGTAACTATTTAATCCAGGCACTTTATGAAGAGTGATAAGGTTTCAACAATAGGCCTTGGTTGTAAGTTGAGCCTTTGATGTAAAGACATGCATGAAGTATATGTATGCTTAGATGTCTAACTTTTATCCAAACTTGGCAGACCACACCGTCTCATTCATTCATTATAAATCCTACTTTCTAAATTTTTTTCACCAGTTGTAGAGGAGTTCTGATTGTTCCAGTTAATAAAGATTTACCTGTAAAATTGATTAAGGCTTAATGAAGGATAGGTGACTGTGAAGCATGTTAATGGCTTCTGAAGCAGTATACAGTACATACTATAATAAATTAGTTGAAGAATCATACTTTCTTACCATTAGGATAAGGAGTCTCACAAAGGGTTAAGAATTCCACAATAGGATGATCCATCTCCAGCACTGTTATCGATTTGCTGTGCATGATTGTCAGGCTGGGTCTTCTACATGCTTTATCATACGACAGACCTCCAGAGAAGATTATAAATGGCTCACTGAAAAAGAAGATGAAGATGTTATGGTGCTGAAAGTAATCCAATATTTTCCAGAATATTTCAGGTAGCACAGCATCCTAAAATTAAATAATGTTGTCAAGAGCTGTTTCTATGCTAAGCAAAGCTATCGTGTTATGTTTCAAAAAATCAATATGCTTTCCTCATTCTGCCAGCATATGACTGACACTAAAAATGGTATTCAAGAACCTTAGTACCTTTTGCTGTGTACGTTAAAATCCACTATAGGATCACCTGTTTAAGGAGCATGTACGGACTTCTTAAACACCTATATATCACACTTTCATATACAGTACATGATATGGGAATTGTTCAAATTTATAGGTATATGCTTATAATGAAATTATAGTACAAGGATCCTGTATACAAATAACAGAAATACTATATAAAAGTACAAGGGGTACTGAAAGCTTGAAAAGCATCATGTACAGTACCATGCCCTGAAGTCTACACTGCAAAAAGAAGAAACAAACACCTGCTTTTTGATGTCTTGTACTCCACTTTCAGGATAGGCTTGCAAGGCTCTGGTTTTTTCCCATCTCGCGGATTTTTCCCTTTGGCGAGAGAAATTATGAACATAACAAAACAAATAATGACTATTTGCTGAAATGTTTTGCATAACATACAGTACTTTGTGATGACAATGATATTGTTTATGCTTCTGGAATTGACTGTTGCTGATGTCTAGTGTCACAAAATAAAAAAATAAATTATAAAAGGGGACCACTTCCTTCAAACTGATAACTCGTTAGATCAGTGAAAAAGAAAAAAAACTGCCCTGGGGTTTCACAGCTCAGCGGGGTCTGTTAGATTTATCAGTCATATGGCAAGCAAGCAGGACAACCACTGCTATTTATCATGACTGGATTTACAGGAGAAGATAATTTCTGTTTGAGGGGATAAATCATTTATAAACCTGCTGAAGGTCACACCTCCCGGGTAAATATGTTGAGTAATTCCATTCAGTTTTCAAAGTGTGTTCCCAGTCTTTGTACTGGGTAAAGCATAGAAATGGCACATTGCTTCACACTCAAGGCAGTTGGACTTTCAGATCAAAGCTGGTCTTTCATTTTAGCTTACACAGCCAAGAGTTCCACAGCCACTGTGACCATAAACCGAAGTTCGTTATGTTCAAAAGACCTCTGGATATATTGGATTTGATTCTGTAAATAATGTATTTTAAACAAGGTAGAACAGTCTATTTGTCCATGGGATCAAAGAATTGTTTGTGCTGTTTTGGGAAAGAAAGGTTTTAAAAATGACAATAACATACAGTAACATTCTGAAACGAATTTTTAGACATCTGCCATTCTTACATTGGTAGGAATTACTGTACATCATTGTAGGAGAAAACACTTTTGTCATTTCCTACCAGGCTCACAAACAGCAGATAGAGCTGTTTTCACAAGTGTAGTCCAGAATCAAGTCTTTTTCAGATACGCTCCTTAGTAAATAAATGCTGGAACAAATTAGAAGTAACTTGACAATCTGATTTTCAGTGTGGACAATCAAGCTTTCTGTTAAGTATGTCAAAAAAGCCTTTATTTGTTTATGGAAGAAAATGACATACAATCTTTTGTGTGTTATTACAATGTTAAAGAGTGTTGTTTAACTGTACTTTTAAACACCTGAGATGCCACAGTTGTCTCTGACGTATTTATACAGATTTCTTAATTACTCTTTAGAATGCTACTCTGTAAAAGCCTGGTTGAGGTCTTGTGAAAAACTAAGCTATTATATACAGTCAATATAGCTTAGTACAATTTTTCACTTAAATTCCCTATTCATATACAGTACAAATAAGTAAGTTAAAAAACAACACACAAACTGTGTTGCTGACAACCACAAGCTTCCTAGTAAATGCACCAATTCAGACATTGGACTGAGACCCATACTGCAGACATCAAGTCAATGTTTCAGTAATTGGGACAAATTCAAAATCCAATTAAATGAACTGATTAACATAAAGGCATAGCATACTTAATACTTCATTGTTAATTCATCTGGCAGAGGAAACACCAGCCCTAGCCAAAGATCAGCACTTTTACAATCCTCCTCATTTAGGAGACTTGAAGCAGGGACCAGTGATCAATTTGTCAAACACAAATTGCGTCTCAAGCAGATGCACTGTGGTAGCTAGCTGGTCTCAAGGTCCTGCTGCAAGCTAGATCGAGTTCTGTTCTGACAGAGTTTTGTCTTTTCAGGTTCACCCTCTAACTCAGTGCTTCAGGAAAAAGTTTAGATAGAAACTATGGCAGGCACATGGTTCTGTTGTCAGTCAGCCAGTTAGTTTGGTGAAGAGAGCAGGTGCTGTTAGAGGTGATGCACCAGTTTTTAACTGGAGAAAACTAAGTTGGTGATTGGTCAATTGGTCAAGAAGCTACAAGGTGGAGTGGGTACCCATACCCTGCAGGTCCCTGATTGGCTTGTCATCTTGTTGGATGAATGACCACGGGCCTTGAATTTTAGGATTATTTTCAGATAAGCCTACAGTATATCCTTCAGCTATACATCCAGGTGCCATCTTAAAGGAATATTGACAATGGATCTGGACTGTCCTGGGAGAGATTCTTATTCAAAAGATAAGCTCATCTCCCTCACTTGCTCACATGCAAAGACCTCTAGATCACAGGAGAGGCCTCTTTGGCTACATTCCTGCGACAGAGAACAAGCTGTTTGGCCTCAACAAAGATTGTAAGAAATACGTAATATCAATTAATTCCAAGTTAAATAATAGGCCTTCTCCCTACACAGTAGTGTGGAGACTGTCCTAAATCTCATGTAAAGTTTCATAAACTAAAGTGTAATGTCTAAAGAGATGTGAAAAGCATTAAAAACTGTTATTTAAATTATCACCAAACACCACGTTATACTATATAATAATAAATATTATTATTATATATAAGAATATATACAAAAATAATAAGAAAGGAGAGAAAAGTTAGGTCTAATTGATATTGTTTGTTGGACAATATTACCTTGTGGTGTCATCAATACCATCAATGGTATCAACTAGGTATTTATAATCCATTTAATTAACCATAAAGGGTAGAACATTTATCCACAATCCCCAATTATTCAACAGAGAAAATAATTACACCGATATATTTAAAGGCTGAAATCTGAAAAAAAATACCAAGTGTTCAGTCTTTAAATTAAAGGTTGAAGAACTGTGGAAAATGTTGACAGGTCACTGAATCTTTTGTCTTCTTTTCCTTGAGATGTAGTTTTTGTGTTAAAATGTCACCTCACAGCTGCTTCTCTCTTAGACCTGAAAGAAGCTAATCAATGGGGGTTACCAAGATACGGCACACGGGGACACTGAGCTCCATTTGGCTTCTCTTTCCCTAGCGTCGTGCTGAGCTGACTCAGTAGGGGTCATTGTAGGATGCTGTGGCTGATTTAGTGATGTGAACTTAATTATACCTTAATCATAAACCTTTGTTCCATATCTTTTAGTCTCCTTAACTGTAAGCATTAATTTCCCTACAGAAGAAATTAGCATGGGCTTGGGTTTGAGTTAGTGTAGCATGTGGATGAGACTGCGGTTACGAGTATAATAAGGTTTAAAACATGCATAATATTTTATACATTATATAAAATATTACTTACATTTCATTGTGCTTCTGTATCCCAAAGGATCCCTAAGATCTTTACATAGGGTATACTGTAGGTGGGGTTCACAACTTTATTTATCAATAAATATGTAGCGAGTAGTACCAGAAGACCCTGTACACATCAGATCAGGTGTAATAGCTTTACCACTCGAATTAAGGAAACATTGAGGAAAGAGATTTTCCTAGCCCAGAGTGTAATTTAGCTACTGTCAATGTAGGATTAACATCCTAATTCTTTCAAAAAGTAGTCAGGATTTTGGTTTTAATGTCTCATCTGAAGGACTGTACAACTGGAGACACTAAGCTGTGTCGTACTTGGACTCTGGGTTTGGAAATCCTCATGGGATGGGAAAGCATACTAGTCTACCAACACAACTTATATTACTTATAGAGGCAACTTTGGCTTCCTTAGAGGGCTCCCTTCCAATGCTGATCAGGCCCAGCCTTGCTACTAGGACCTGATGAGATCAGGCTTCAAGCTGCAAATACTGCTGCGTTATTAGAATCCCCCAGAATGTTAGGCTTTCAGTCTAATTTAAGGTAAATTTGGGCTTTATTCACTTTTCAAATTTTAATGGTAGGGTTAGGTTTAGGTTTGGCTGTAATTTAATTCTATAAATGGACTTGGGAATTCCTGTGAGATATGTTTTTCACTGAACCTAATTTTATGTTACAACAATATGGAATTAATGTTATTTTAGCCTGAGATTTGAGTGTGGGTTCATTTGAATTTTGTGACTGGCAGACATAGCTCTGTGTTTTGATCTGTATTTTATTCCATATGTCAAGTGAACTCAGCTAGATTTATTTTAAATTGCTCAATTCAAGTTTAGCTGATGATGCCACTCACTGTCGAAGCAGATGCCTGTGTAAAATCGAGTCACTTCTAATGACTGGTTGAATTCCATCCTGAAAAATCATGTCCCATATAAATCCATCTTTAAAATTTGTCTGGCTGTCTCTTTACACTCTCTCATTTTCTGTCTTTGTACACAAGTCATATACTGTTCTCTCAAACCGCTTTCTGAACATAAAGGTTTCTTTATTTAACATTTATGACAAATAATATCCGAGAGAAAAATCACAGAAATTGCACATCAATGATATAACTTGCATATAGATTCAATAATTTAATTATATAATACATTTATATTTGAAGGATGAGCATAATATGTTCAGATAAACAACACAAAACAAAATGATCCTTCTTTTCCATCCATAAAAATTCTATATGCATCTAATCTTAGCATTTCTCAGTCCTATTCATAACACAGTATTTTCTGATTCTGTGACTGGACTTCGATTAAAACAGTTCAAAGAGCATATGTTTTTGTAAAAAATAATTTCAATAAAACAGATCAAATATATTTTACTCGTCTCATCAGGAGTAAGAGATTTAATTTTGTCTTCTTCACTATGGAAAAATACAACAGATTTGGAGAACTTTGGAATCATGCACATTTTTTGTAGAAGAGCATATCAACCTGAACTGAAGCGGATTCGTTTTCATCCAGAAGAGCCACGCGCTTACCATGTGGAAATGTGATTTGGATGGGCTTGGTGGTGTTTTTCAGGCTCCACGTGGTCAGGCTGCCATCTGAATGACTGCACATGAACTGTTTGCCTTCGTGATGCCAGCTGACTGAGTGGATGGCCTAAAAATGCAAAATGAACATGACAGAAAAACACAACTTTTTAAAAACAGTCACAGAAGTTAATGCATAAGAAATGTAATTAAAGTCCATAAAGGCAAAGGCAAGAAGAGTTAGAACAAATAAGTAGATATTTGGCAGATCTTGCTTACTTGAATCAATTTTCAATTTTCTATAAATCTTAAGCATTATATTAAAAGTACAAACTCCTCACTAAAGATTGTATTTTCTGTATGGAAGATACTGTAGTTTGGATGTATTGCACAAGTAGATCAATCATTTTTTAAAACAATTTTATGCTCACTGATGCTTTTATATACAAAGCAAGGATGTTACTGCCCAATTAACATGATATATTTTTATTAAACAACATCCTGTATTCTGACTGTGTTTTCTGTTATTATTTAATATTTGTCTTGGCCTTCTTTCCATTGACATCGGCCATGAAATATTCGGCACCCTCATAATATAGTGCCTCACAAAATACAAGATGTATAGGGTGAAATATAGAGAAACATATAGCCTTTAAATATACTAAGATGTATAGAGAGCTTTGCAGAAAGAAAACAGCAAATTTTGACTAAATAATGTTGTTCTCTTTGACAGTAAGCTTAATTGCTAAATGATTGTTGACCACACAACAATATACAGCATCCTTTGTGTCCTGATTGAACTGTAAGAAACATTTTTATGTTAAACATTTGTATTTTTAATATGACTTTGATTTACTTTGTTACTTAATGGAGGGTACATTATATTCTACAGAGTTAAAGGGAAGATGTTCATGGAATAAATAAAATAAGAAACAAGGTTAACATTTTTAACATTCTTCATAAAAACAGGTTAAATGCAGTCAGTGTTTAACCATTACAGTATAACAAAGGAAAATACAAGTTTTTCTTATTTAGCAACACAAGAACTATGATGAACACTTCTTTCAATCTAATTAGGATTAGAATTTGTTTTTGTAACAGAAACTGAGGACAGTGAGGTAATACTATGAAAGAAAAGTGTGAAACCATGACATGTTTCTACAATTCATCAGCTGGGCTAAACACTATTTTACTGATTGCAACCTAAAACTATGTCAGACAATGAATACAATTTGCATGTTGTGTGGATTTGTGGCTAGTTTAGTGTTTCTCAGTGCGTCCCTTACAACCAAAAACCCATTATATAGTGGCTGCTACTCTATATCTAGTGGGACTGTTCCCAAAAATACACATAATACATAATATTCTATAAAAGTAAGGTATACACACATGAATATAGGTGTGTGCATACATTATTAACTAGAACAAACTGCTGGTATTGATTTCTTATACAAGCATTAGTTCATAGAAGAGAAGGAACCTTTCAGGCATTTTCTGTCATGCCTGTCCTCACAGGAGCACTGTGCAGCAGGCTAGCCCTACCCTGGCAGCTGACCATACTGTACCTCTTCCATCCATTTAACTCTGAGCCTCTCAATCCCCGGATTCCTACTGTAGTTCACTGACTTGCACTTCATTTGGATTTACGACCCCCACTACAAACATTCTCCTTTTGCTTTGAACTGTGATTTACTCATGCTATGAAAATTTCTGTTCCTTCCCAACCTTGCCTTGTGAATTTCTCTTTGTGTTTTCACTCTGTGTAACATGGCTTTGGACCCTGATTATTTGAGACTATCATGATTCTGGACTGTGTTTAGCCTGTTTGCTATGCCTTGCTGTTGTTAATTATCTTACTTGTTCCCGCTCTAGGGTTTAATCAGATGACCCACAGACCACTGTTACAACAGCAATTACATTTGCATATCCAGTAAGGCTGTCAAAAGAGTATATACTGTAGGAAAATGCACAAAGGAAATATTTAGAGTTGGGAAGCTGCACTCTACCAATCATCCTCTCTACAAATCATCGATTTGTAAAACGTTTAAGCTCTTTTGAGAACACAGACATTAAAGACTACACAGAACTATAGATTACTATTAAACCACTTCCAGAAAACTCAGAAGATACATATTTTCTTAACATATCCCTTCACGGAGCAAAAAAGCAATGCCTCAGCACCACGGACAGCATCCACTTATACCATTAGAAAGAAATACTTCAGAATCCACCACCACTGGTAGAATATTGCCTCAGCACCATGGACAGCACTCAACACCACCGTTAAAGAGCATGCCTCAGCACCATCAACACTCTTATCTTTCCTGATTGCTGCTTCCCTTCCCTTCAGTGTCCAATACAAAGGTAGCTTTTGAGGAATCTAGAAGTGAAGATGGTTTGTAGTCATTAATTCACTTTCCTGTCATGTTGCTTGATCCCTCCTTTATTCTTTCTCTCCCTAAATTGTGCCTCTTTAAGGAAGCTGTAAGTGGTTTTAAATACATGGGATTGCGGTGTCCCACACAACAGAGACATCAGTTTTTTTACTTAGTTAGATCTTTTAACTGATTGCTTAACTACTACTCTCAACTGTTTTGATTCTGGGGGTGAGGGTGTCCCTTTTGGAAAGGACAGGGCACTAATTAATATAACCTTTGAGACCTCCCCCTGAATGATAATATGAATGGCAACATTGATTTAACACACAAAGGCAGATGCTTTACTTATGAACATGAACACCAAATGATAAAACTTAGTCAAAATATAACATTAATAAGGACTGATGGTCATAGAATGTGAGAAAATCTTCTTAAACATGGTTTACTGTACCTCAAAATTGGGAAAATTACATGCACTATAAAACTTTTTAACAATTTTTGAATATGACAAACAACTTTGTCACTTTAATCCTAGCCTGAGCACCAACTAAATTAAAAAATACCATGATATTTAACAATCGTATTACATAAAATTGAAATCCGTTTATATTGGAATATAACAGTAGACAATAGACAAGCAGAATGATGCACTGTAGGAAACACATTTCATTCACTGGCAAACTTTTAATCCATATTTTTCTGATATGGGTCCATCAAAGGTCCTGAATATTTTTTGCTTGCGTTTTTTAGCAATCATTTTATGTTCTTATTGCTATTCCTTTTTTAATATCTATATGAAACTTAGTGTTTGGTAAATGCCCCAGGTAACTCAATTTCGCAGTCGATTTTTCTTTTGCATAAGCAGTAGAGCAACAGCACTGCAAGCCTCAGAATAACATCAAGGGGTATTTGTTATGCTTCATTGTCTGAAAGATATGAAGGAAACTCATTTGTTACCCTTCTATGCCCTTTTCAGTTTTAGTCCATTCCAATGAAATGTGTTTAGAATAGAAAAGTATGCTGACTGCCCTTCCGTATAAAGCTGGTGGTGACCTGTGCAGAATGTATTTTATGTTCAACTGAAAAAAAAAACAACTCCATATTTACCTTGTTGCTCACTGTGAGAAGATTCTTTTCACAATAAGAAGTGCCTTTACTGTATATACATTATATATTTACATAACAGAATTGACACCTGATTGAGAAGCAATTATATTTGTATTCCAGTCAAAATTAATTTTCCCACAAACTTGATCCCAAATTCCCATTTGTCATCATGTTGAACCTGTCAGCTTATGACTACTTAAATCTGTATTTCCTGCATCTGTGCAACCTGTGTGGAAGCCTTATATTGCACCTTTTTTAAAAGCATTATCTACAATGAAGTGCGACCATTATTTATGAAACTCGAAATTACAAGGGTAAAAAAAATATAGGCAAGATAAAAGATGTGAAGGCAGAAGTTTCACAAAGGAACACTGATTACTTAACTTTCAAATTCTGGACCTTAATAAGCCTGATCTTATCGAGGGTCCAGTCTATTAATGAGAGAGACATGTTTCTGAATGTTGAAGCAAGAGTTCTATTTAAAATTAGTGGCTGACTTTGTTTGACTCTTGTTGATCTTGTATCAGAAAAACCTACCTTGCAGTGATGTATCAAATGTACTTTAATAATAAATATCCAGAAAAAAGTGGAAGGTGGTTTTGACAATTAAAAAAAAATCCAGTTTATCTGTCTCCATCTTTTAGACCTTGGGGATGCTAGCTCTTCCTCATTGGTGACCTCTCAGGGAGGACTGTACTGTCCTCTTCCTGCAATGCTGCTCTTGGCTCTATGCACACTACCCACTAAATCTTCACTGTCTTCATTGATTGAGGCAAAGGGGCATTCACCCTGATTAACACAGGTTAAGAATTGTTGCACAATACTTAGCCTTTAGTTTATTAATCACTATTCATCATTCTGACCAGCTATGCCTCATTTTGCCATTTTTCCCATTTAACATGTGGCCATCTTGGCCCAAGGCCAGACCATTGTGCCTGAAATTTGAGCCAAATGGGGTATTTTTCACAATACTACCTCTCAATGGGAAAGTCACATCCCACACATCACATGCATAAGATCTAGGTCTTCCATTTAGCATGTTAATTTACTATATGTATTTGTGTATATTTAAATATGAACAGATTCTAATCTGTTATTAGAAATGCCCTTCAGAACCAAGTATTGATAAAAGTATTAATGCAAGAATGTATTTTTTTAATTAAATGATTTTAAAGTTTTATTAGAAAAACCCATTACAGCCTGCTTCCTATATGCAGTGGTGTGAAAAAGTGTTTGTCCCCTTCCTGATTTCTTATTTTTTTGCATGTTTGTTATACTGAAATGTTTCAGATCATCAAACAAATTGAAATATTAGACAAAGATAACACAAGTAAACACAAAATGCAGTTTTTAAATGAAGGTTTTTATTATTAAGGGAAAAAAAATCCAAACCTACATGCCCCTGTGTGAAAAAGTGATTGCCCCCCCCTGTTAAAACAAATCAACCGTGGTTTATCGCATCTTTGGAAAGCTGAGTTCAATATCTAGCCACACCCAGGCCTTATTCCTGCCACACCTGTTTTCAATCTAGAAATCACTTAAATAGGACCTGCCTGACAAAGTGAAATAGACCAAAAGATCCTCAAAAGCTAGACATCATGCTGCGATCCAAAGAAATTCAGGAACAAATGAGAAACAGTAATTGAGATTTATCAGTCTGGAAAAGGTTATAAAGCCATTTCTAAAGCTTTGGGACTCCAGCGAACCACAGTGAGATCCATTATCCACAAATGGCGAAAACATGGAACAGTGGTGAACCTTCCCAGGAGTTTCAGGCCAACCAAAATTACTCCAAGACCGCAGCGACGACTCATCCAAGAGGTCACAAAAAAACCCACAACAACATCCAAAGAACTGCAGGCTTCACTTGCATCAGTTAAGGTCAGTGTTCATGACTCCACCATAAGAAAGAGACTGGGCAAAAATGGCCTGCATGGCAGAGTTCCAAGACGAAAACCACAGCTGAGCAAAAAGAACAAAGTCTCGTCTCAATTTTGCCAGAAAACATCTTGATGATCCCCAAGACTTTTGGGAAAATACTCTGTGGACTGAAGAGACAAAAGTTGAACTTTTTGGAAGGTGTGTGTCCCATTACATCTGGTGTAAAAGTAACACAGCATTTCAGAAAAGGAACATCATACCAACAGTAAAATATGGTGGTGGTAGTGTGATGGTCTGGGGCTGCTTTGCTGCTTCAGGACCTGGAAGACTTGCTGTGGTAAATGGAACCATGAATTCTGCTGTCTACCAAAAAATCCTGAAGGACAATGTCCGGCCATCTGTTCGTGACCTCAAGCTGAAGCGCATTTGGGTTCTGCAGCAGGGCAATGATCTAAAACATACCAGCAAGTCCACCTCTGAATGGCTTAAGAAAAACAAAATGAAGACTTTGGAGTGGCCTAGTCAAAGCCCTGACCTGAATCCAATTGAGATGTTGTGGCATGACCTTAAAAAAGCGGTTAAGGCTCGAAAAACCTCCAATGTGGCTGAATTACAACAATTCTGCAAAGATGAGTGGGCCAAAATTCCTCCACAGCACTGTAAAAGACTCATTGCCAGTTATCGCAAACGCTTGATTGCAGTTGTTGCTGCTAAGGGTGGCCCAACGTTATTAGGTTTAGGGGGCAATCAATTTTTCACACAGGGGCATGTAGGTTTGGATTTTTTTTCCCTTAATAATAAAAACCTTCATTTAAAAACTGCATTTTGTGTTTACTTGTGTTATCTTTGTCTAATATTTCAGTTCAGTGTAACAAACATGCAAAAAAATAAGAATTCAGGAAGGGGACAAACACTTTTTCACACCACTGTACATAAATACAGAAATAATTTAGTTTATGCATCTTTTCAGTGTGTCTTCTGTTTGAAGATTGGCAGACCTTAGGACAGATTTCCTTGATAATCATTTTGTATTACATTAAACGATTCAGAGATGCCATGGTTCTTAAAATATACAGAACAAAAAAGAATAAGTCAACTGTAAGATTCTTTATCATAACGTTTTAATAGAATGATAATTTTAAATTATAGTAGTGTGGATGTGCTTCTGTTTGTGAATAGCACTAATGTGGGCTAATATGTATTTATATTACACCGGGCGTAACACTCACAGGAGTCAATTACAAATTTCCATTAATTTTTCTGGAGTGCAAACATTTAAAAATAGAATCTGAGTTTAAATGAAAATTACTTGATGCAACCTTTAAATAAAAAATTAAACGCAGTGTGATTTCACTCAGATCACAAAACATTGTTGTTAGTAAAAATTGCATTTTGTTCAAATGAAGTGAACATTTCTGTACGGATATCCTAATATGACCTGACATTTCCAGTAGAGAAAATTTCTCTAAAGGCACAGATGAAAGGTTCTTGCAATGAGTGAGGCACACATGTTCTTAGAGATTAGGAATTGTTAAATATGGATGAATTGCTGTTGTAAGAGTTGCCCTTGTACAGAAAATAAACATGGTTAAACGTATTTGGCAGGTATTATTTATCTGTAGGCGATTTATTACATTCTATTTTCATGATAATATAAAACAGCCTCTTACAACTTTTTTTTTCCCCATAAGCAATACAATCTGTACAAAAATTCAGGATGACTGAACAAAGATGAGTAAGCCTAAGGAAACAGACATGGAATTAATCTGTCAAAGTCCTTTTATTCATTAAAAATGGTTTAATGCTAAAAGACCCTGACACTATACAAAACTCTAATTATATGCATTTTAATAATTTATTCAAAATTTGAATTGTTAGACTGTTTTTTAATCATTTGCAACATTTGTAAGTATTATTTATTTGCTAGAAAAAGTTAGTTTTGCATAATATTGTGTGTGTTGCAATAGTGTTGCATTTCTGTAGTTTAGAATCAACACTTTTTAACCAAATCTTAGTTTTTACCAATTTTACACCAGCTTCATCTGAAATTGCCAATTGGATATGAAACATCTTTATAATTCCTTTACCACTCAGAAAAGACAAAGACATGCTCCACTAACTCATCAATTTACAGAGCCATTCATCATTTGACACACTACAAGCTCACAAATACCTTGCAGAAGATACCTTAAGAAGCTAGGAGCTGCATTTCTTACTGAAAGCAGTGGAGACCTTCCAGCATCTGAAAAGTCATAGAAACTGAGGAAATCTGTCAGAATCCTTTACTCAGCCAATTACTGTACATGCGGCCACTTGTAGAAAGTCTTATGATTTCTTCTGAATCAAACCAATGCTATTAGGGTCTGTAGGGCTCAGCCTGAGCTCAGAATGGCAAGCAGCCAATAAGAATCTTAGCTGCCTGGTATAATATGATATGCCTTACATTCCTGTTGTCTCATTTGATCTTCGGTTCTTTTCCTTACCAGCTTCTCTGGGTGATCATCTCACCATGGATCCCAAAGACTGTCTGCACCCTTGTCTGTGGTTCTCAACACCAGGATTTCACTCTGAAGTCGATTTCCCCTTCTCCCCCAGGGCTTGGCATGTTGCCGAGCATCCCAACGTTCCAAGACCGAGATACCCGAGGATCCTCCTTTTTTTTCCTGGGAGCTCGGCACTGGATCCCGCTCCGTAGCCGAGGCTGCCCTCTCAATTCCGTTGATGGGCGGATTCACCAAGGGTGAGATCTCCAGGCTGGATGCCGACTACTCACCTCTTGTTCCCGCCATCCAAAACCCAAGGGCTCTTCCCTGTGCAGGTCTGCCTCTCGGTTTGTGTCCCAGCCCACTCCAGGATTCACTCATCACCGCATCTTCTGGATCAGACGGTATGGAGGCTCTTGTCCTCGGTCCTTGGATTCCTGGACTCTTCTCTGCTGGACATTTCCCTCTGGTTCTGTCCCACATCCAGGAAGCAGCTACTGTTATCCAAGACCTCAGGGCATCTTCATTTCCATGCCACTTCACTACACACCTGAATGTCACTGTGTACTGCAGCCTCTGACCTGGACTGAATGAAGACTCCCAGATCTCTGCCATGGCCTACCTGGACTTCTTCACTGTTCCCAATGGTTCCATCCCAAATCCAGGAGGCTGCTCTTATTACCCAGGACTCCAGGGCTGCCCTTGTGCAGCCCTGCACCTGTGCTTAGGTTTGACTGCTCAGTGTCTCCTGGCCTCTGCACTGGGAGCCCTGGACTTTTCCCTGCTGGCCTACACCTCCAGTGGTTCCATCCCAGGACCCCTGGGCTCTGTCGGTGCAGTCCCCTTGCCTCCTTTTCTCTGTCCTCTTTCCAGGCTGCTCTTCTCACTGCTCTTTGGGAATACTCCCTTTCTTCGTTCAGGGCTCTTTTCTTTCCCTCTCCTTCCTATTTCTCAGGCGTTCTCCTTTTTTCTTTAGTCTCCTTTTAGTGTCCCAGAACAGCCTTCTGTTCTGTCCTGGGGAGCCAGACATCCTTGTCTGCTCTGTCCAGAGAGCATTTCCCTGCTAGCCTGATTTTTGTTCTCGGGCTGACTGTAGCTATGCTGAGTTGGGGCTCTAAGAGTTGAGAGGGATCTTAGGACGGGTTCTCGCCTCTCATCCTTTGCAGATGTCTCCCCCAGTGGACTTCAGTCACAGAGTGAACCTGGGAGACATTTAATCACCAGCTGTTCTGACTGGACCACTGTGTGGGGGTTTCCTGCCTTGCCATTACAGTGAGACTCTCCCTCTCAGTAAAACCCATGGGGACAAGCACAGCTGTACCCTGAAGAGACATCTTTTTCTGTCCCACACATCAGCTCATGGGTTCACTGGCCACCGTTATCATTTTCCCTTTCTCCTGGAGTATCCTAGCCCTCAGTCAGGTCTTCTTGCGTGTTCTGCCACTCTGGGGTTACTTGTGCTTCGGCTCTGATGCGTCACCACTCTTGCAGCAGTAACTGGACGCGGCATTACATTTTAACTTTTTTTTTAGTTTTTGTGGACATGCAGTGTCAACAAATTTGATTCCATTGGAAGGGAATTAATTATTTCGCAAGTGATGAAACTACTTGTTAGTCCTGTGGAATTTTGTTTATCTTTGAAAGTTAAGCTTATCTCAAGGCTGTAAAGGAGGGAAGGCACCTTGATCTCTGGAATTCTGGCCAGACAGCCAACTACAAACTTCTCTAAATAGCTGATTTTTCTTAGTTGATCTTAGCCATACACCCTGTCAAATTTCTTGTAATCATGGAAATCTTGACATTATTGAGCTGTATAAAGGAAACTGCTTCTTTGTATTCTCTGAACATCTCTACTATTGAAGTGTTCTTTGTATGCATATAATAAGGCCTATCTGTTTTCACTCCCATCCTGGAGCAAGAACTCTTCAGTTACAACATAAGGTACTATACAACCACTGTTCATTTTATCTGCTGGGCCCATTTTCACAGAAGGGGCCCATTTCCTCAAAATATTCACTGAGCTCCTGCTCTCAAAAACAAATAGACTAGTGAACAGTTCAAACATTAGGAACAACTGCATTGTAACGAAGAAGAATATGCGTTTCTCACCTCATCGTAGTATATTCGGAAGTCTGCTTTTTTAACTCTGAGGTCCCAAAGCACCACTGTTCCGCTTTCAAAACCAATCAGCAACTGCGCATTAGAAAGATAAAGATGTTAATAAAATTAGATCACAATTAAAAACGGGCTTTAAAATTCACAGCATACTCAATCAATTACCATTTGTGGCGTAGCTAAACATAACAGGTAGTTTACTTAAATTCACAACGAGAAAACAGAGAATCAGAGGGAAATTTCCAATGATTTGCTCTAGTTAATCATTAAGAGTAAACATTCAGCTAGAAAGACACAATAGGAACATACAGAAGAGAGCCAAAGAAATAAAGAGAGGAAGACATGGAAAACAAGGAAAGCGATACAGAGGGAGAAATAAGTAGTGTGCCAGAAGAGAGGACCTTTTTCTCATCCTTCTTAAAGACCAGGTTCTAGAAAGGTATTTGAACCTTATTTAAGAGAACGTGCTGTCCTGCTATTCAAGGAAATTGATTTCCTTTGTAAAGGAATCCTCAGGCTAAAAATTCTCTCTCCTAGATGGTGATGCATTTTTAGTATAGGGAGATGGATTCAAATTCACTTTGGATTCATTGGCATCCAGATTTATAGGATGTGAGATTTAGCTCTAAGTTGTTCTGTGTTTTGTTCAGAATGGAGATTTAAACAGCGAGTAAATAGTGTTATGTTGTGTAATATTGTATATCTAGTTGTGTTATTGTATCGTTTATACATGTTTGCCTCTTTTACCAGAGCTGTGCCAGAATTAAAACCATACAAACCACTCATACTGTATATATCTTCAACATATATACATTTTTTAAATTATTTTGCTTATACCTCTTTATTTTTCTATTTTCTTAAGTCCCCATTTGTAACAATACATTCATCTGAAGTGAAACCCAACTTCTATTTTCATTCCAATACAGGGTTAAACAATCTGGTCAATGACTCTTGGGGTATGGGGTAAATATTATAGGAAGACTGCAGGATGTCCATGGGACCTGTTATGGGTTTTGTGGTACAATATTTATTTCACATAATCTGAGAATAGTCATGAGTAAAAATAAATTGGCTTGCTCACAATCCACTCCATGCAAGCTTTAGTATGGATTTTTTTTGCAGATATACAGTAGTACTGTATGCTCCTATGTTTCATTGTGAAGAAGAATTCGTCTTAATATTATTTTGACCACCAGTGTTAAAGGTATGATTTTGAACATGTACTGTATAATAAGTAGCAGAAAATAATCTAATCAATACATAAAATAAATTAGAATGGGGACTTAATTTTATCAGGGTACATTAATCTTTTTACCTCAAAGAAAATAATCTGGTACATAATAAAACAAATTAAGTTTACTGCACTAATGGCGCTTGCACTTAATATATTATGAAGTTATATTCCACAATGTCTACTAGTATTGCTAACACATATTGCTAATTCTTATGTCTAAATCAACTAATTGTATGTTTCTAAATACAACATTTTATTATTTAAACAGCCTGGCATTGTAGTAGAGCAGCTTGATTGAAGTACCTAGGAACAGAAAGTCCCCATGCAAGATTTGAACCCCTAACCTCCTAGTTGTACTGCAAGTCCTATGCATCTAAATCAGTTGTTAATGTATACAATCCCGTATAAAAATAGTGTACAACCACCCATCTTGTAGACTGTGCCAGTACTCCTCATTGCTGTCTAATACCCCACATGACTGGTCTGACAACAATGAAATTGAAATATTTTTACAACACAGCACCAAGAGACATAAATTAAGTTCCTCATTATGTCCAAGCATTTACAATTCCCAGGAAAATAAGGCATTCAAAGCATTTCTCTCTTTAATAAGTGGTTGACTAGATATTGTGCCTTCCAAGGTATTGGGAAAATAACATTACTCTGGTTTTATAGGGAAGCAATTTAACCCGCTTGATTAGAAATGCACTTTCATTTATCTTACTCATTGAAGTGTCCATTGAACATTCAAGTTTAGAATAAAAATACTCAAAAAAGGGATACACATCTGTTTGTAATTGAACATAAAGGGACATCATTGGAAACAGGTGAACAGACACTGATGACCAGAGCTCTACACTTGGATGGTGACGTGGTCTCAGCAAGATTTTGCATCTTGTATTCCCTCTCAACAAGTGCGGCTGTAAAGTCAGGTAAAAATTGGCTGTGAGCACCATAAACCTTGAGCTGTAAGCAGCAGGGTATGTCTTCATTCAGGTTCCATATGATGATGGCAATGAAGACGATGCTCACTTGAGGAGTGGACATATTGATTACTTTGTCAGTTTTTAATTTATGAACCAGGCTTGGCATTTAATGGGTTAAATCAACTCACCACCGGCACTCAATCAACTCTGTCACAGATGAGGTAATTCAGTAGTTATACAACAGGCAGAGTCACTTTAACATGTTCTTATTGATAGTCATTATTCATGCAATAATAAATAGTAAAAAGATGGGCAACTATCAAAAAGGTAGTTTATTATTTCAACCAGAGGTTCAAGGAGATTGTATAAAACAGGTATATTAAAATTCCCTCAGTATGCATTTGTAGAACACATTCTGTCTGTAAAGCAGGATTAAGTTGAGATTAGGGAAATAATTACTCTCTGTATGCTACAAATGTATTAAGTCTGTTAACAGAGTAGGATTTATTTTTAAATCCAGGCAAGAGCATAAAATAAAAGTATATGAGTTCTGAATGTTCTGGAAACAAAATGTTGACTCGGAAATTGCTAAAACAAGACAATGGTTGAAGGGCTGTAATATAATGCATTTATGTTTTCTGCTTCTTTACATAGATTTCTATTCTTATCAAGTAGTACTGTATATATGCATTTAAAATTTGCACATCCTAAAAAATCATAGTACTAACAGCTGTGAACTTCTACATAAAGATGTCTCTTTAGCAATATACTGTTGCATTGAGACTAATATCTTTAGCCTGTACCTTAACTGCAGAAGATTTTATTGTGACTTATTCTGTATTATTTCAGTATAAGTTAAATTAGGTAATATCTTCTCTTTTTAATGGACAAATGTGAGGAAACGATATGGGGATGGGGAGGAAACTCTCATAATTGAAGAGAAGAAGCTGTGATTGTATTGTATATCTTGGAAGTTGCCCTGGATAACGGCTAAACAAATAAATAATAGGAATAATAATTACATTATCCTACTTCTCACAATTGTTTCCACTGTTGCTATAATGCTCTGTTGGCATTTTTCCTCTCCTACTGTGACTTGTACCACTTGTAATTGAAATAACTGTGAAGTGTACACATGTTTCATATTAATTGTAAATATTATGAAGAATTATGAAGTCAAGCCAAGAGATTAAATTAAGTTTGACAATAAAAGTAGGTCTGCACATCACAAGAGGGAATTAAAGCCTGGGAGGCATACAGGAGACAATTCTCTACACAAAAAGTCATGGAGAAGGGGAGAAAACTGCTCCACCTTTCTGTTACAGCTGACCTGGGTAACAGCTGCTATGAAATCCAGGCTGTAATTACCTACTAGCAACCAAATGAGCTAGATGGCCCAAGAGGCATGCTGTAGTTTCTACTGTATCGCTTCTGATATTCTTGAGCAGGATGTTAATATGAATTCGTATTCATGCTATTCTTAAGATTCATACTGTATATTGATTTTAAATATACTGCCACCTGCTGTATAGTTACTTTGGGTGGGGAAAATGCAGATCAGGACAGATGGAACAGGACCCACAGAGGCAAAGAGCACACAAGGGTTATGTGAGAAGAGAGAGGGAGATTGTCAAATTCTGATTGGGACCATGCTCTAAAGGAAGCAGCAGCACTTTCATCATCTACCGATATTAAACAGGAAAAGCACAGTGGAGACAAGATGCAAAGAACTACTGTAGATCCTGACAAGTAAAATCACTTTATGGTGAACCATCACAGTGGAAGTGCAGATCATACAATCCTTTATTGGATTGGACAGGCTGGTGAATAAAGCTGTCAAGTGGAAGGAAACTAGGCTTAATTCGCAGAGCTCTGTTGGAATGGAGCATAAAGCTCAAAGAATTTAAAGGCAGTTGTCAGCTTCTGAACAAAGCTAAGCTTAAGCCAGTATCTACTGTAATATGGCACTCAGGCTTCCTTCCACTCCATGGCAAGGAAAGGAGATTCACATGGAATATAATTTCCACTATATAATGTGGAATCTTTTAAATATGGTGAGCCCATCCAATTTTTTTCTTAGTTCAGATTCTGTGAAACACAGTATATTCTGTATTTCTTTGTTTTATTCAACTTGGAATTTTTCTGCTCAATATTTTTTTTTGCTCTATCAATTCGTATAGAGAGTCCTCTTATGGACAAACTAACTATTGAACTAGCACCAGACAGATGAAGGTTTGTTCAATTTTATAATTATTTCACTTTAACCTTTAAGCTTAATAGACATTCTCCCTCTACTATTTTCTAGTGCAGACTATACAGTAGCTCACTCTACAGACAAAATGTGCTCTTTGGAAACCTTTGAAGTTTAGAGTTTGGCCTTGCCTAATTCAGTAGAAATAAGAGGAACGGGCTTAAAAGTAGAGAAAAGGCTGAAAAAGACCATGCAAGAGGGTTGGATCATCTTTGAGTGGTTTACTCAAATGCTATTGCCATACTTGCAAGAAGTATAAAAGTGTGAATAAGAACTGTGCTGTATATGTGATCTTAAAGAATCACAATATTTTTTTCAAACCCCTACTAAGCATTATTTTTATTATTTAAAATGATGCTAACAGCACTCTTCCCTGTTAACTCTAAAACAAGTGTCTTAATGCAATGGATGGGAGCAATGTCAACAACTGAGGCACAGTGTGGAGTGGAGTAAGAGGAATATGAGTTCCTGTAGAATTTTTGGCAATAGTACATTGTATGTTTGGTGTACTTGATTCAAAGTATTGGTATAAAACTGTGACAAATCAGGCAAAGGTACTGTGTGGACCATTATCACAGTTCCCCATGTAAATAAATCTTATTTTAATTTTACTATTAAAACTGGATGTACTAATCTCTTCTGAATTATTTCTAACTTCAAGTTTATATGATGTGCCACCTCATACAGTGATGTTGAAAGATTACAGACCGATTTTTTTCTAATTATATCCTGTCTTTTATAATGTGAATAATCAGGTTTCTAATATGCCCATATTCTTAACTAACTAGATATTTGAAACTTTTTGGTCTCTTTTCTGCCCAACGTCCTATACTTGTATAGAACTTAGACACATATACTGTACAGGAGATGAAATATAACACGTTTTAATGCATAAAAACACTGTTTTCAGTGTGGCTGAAACTTTGCTCAATCTTAAAAGTTTCTCACACACATGCATAAATGAATGGTGTCATTTAGCCATCGAGGCTAAACCTTTTTCAAATAGTTCTATTGAAAAACATAGTACAAAACATTTCACACATGTTGTATTGTACTAAGTGGAATATGTTTAATAAATAAGTAACGTTGCTTGTATTTTGTTTAAATGCTAGAGTGTTTCCTGATGAAGTTATCTATGTTTTTAGACTGGTATTTTGTACTTACCTTTCCTTCATCCTTTGGGCTGTCACTTAAATGCACAACAGGGCCAGGATGTGTTTTGGTTGATCTGTGAAAGAAAGCAGAGCATTTGTTTTACACCAATTCTTTTCCTTTAGCAATTGATTTATTAAAGTGATACCATCATGATTCACTCCCTGATAGAAATGGTAGAACATCTATAAAGTTCATGCTATTTAAAGATAACAGTAAAAGCACTTTTAATGTCAAGTAAAAAGTCCTTTCCTGGCTGTAAACAAGACATTTCTGATCAAAAAAGTTACACCCTCAATGTAATCAGAAAGAAAAGGTCAGGAAAAATTAGAAGACTATTGAGGCCAATTTATATTACAGTTATACCCACTAATGCATCAACTGGCCATTCCCAATAGTATCTACTTTGCATTTGATCAATAATCATTGATTGACTACAGATGGGAAAATATCTCTGCAGTGTCATGTAGTGGAGTGTTAAACAATGGGAAAATTCCTTTTGTCATCAGTGGATTCAACAAACCAAATGAACGTGAGGCTTCAGTAGATCACTAGCATTTGATCAAATATGCAACATGCTGTCCTATAAGAAATACTTACCTATAAGATTGTTTCTTTGGAAATTAATTATTTGTAATAATTTTGTATGTTGACTGCTGAAGAGTTAACTAGATGCTCCCTACATGAACAGAATACCTGCCACGAGGGTAGGGGACAACAAATCATGTCCCCACAGAGATGGGAAATGCCAGTAACTAGCATTTTCCCCATTTGCACCGAGCTCATGGCTCACCCACCTCTCGTGCCGCCTTTGGTGTTTGTAAATGATTTGTGTGCAAAGCACTTGATACTGTTAAAATGATACAAAGGCAGAACCCTTTGACTGAGTTCCAACGGTGAGAAAGTGAAACAGAGAAACCTATGGTGTGTGTGTGTGCCTGTGTGTCCTAACCCACTAGCAGGGAGCTTCCTCCACAACAGAAACACAGCACGTCTCCTCTGTAATGCGCTATGAGATTGAACTCACACAGGAAATAATCTAATCCTCACAGGGCCGCTGTCTGTCACAAAACCTAAGTCTTAGTAATCTGTCAGCAATAGCAGGTGTTACAGTTTCTTTAATCTAGGACTAAGTTCACTAATAAATGTATGCCTTATTAGAAATGGTTCTTTTCCTACCCTTGAAAATTAAAACTAATCTGTTAAATCCACAAATAACTACTAAATACTCTTATGAGATAAAAAGACAACAAGACTTTCTGAAAAATTAATGCTACACCTAATCCGTATCACATCATGGTACTTTTTATTCACAGTATTACTCCGATTAAACCGAAGATTATCCTTCTGTTTGATTCATGCAGTTAATATATATCAGTCACATGACACAACCTTAGAATTGTTGCTTAACACCATAAAGCAGAAAATGCCCATTTTAAGGCTAAAATGTAGAAACATATTAAGGGTGCTACACATTTTGATGCTTCATATTGTTTCTAAAACATTAATATTAAAACATAATCAGCTTTTGTTTAAATGCTCCCTGTCTTAACAAAAAATACACAGATTAATTTGTTTATAATGAGCATGCAGAATTTAATTTTGAGAGATTACTTGAGAGTATTCTAATGAGAGATTACTTATCTGATTATAAGGTTACTATAGAGTCTGCTAGATCCACCTACTTCTCTCACATAATTGAAAATCA